GACCTTATTATTCTAATCGAGCACGTGATCCCAGATGCGATCGTTTTCACGGAGAAGTGTCGCCGTAAAAAAAAAATTGGGATGCAACTACTCGTGCGTGATAATACCACTCTGCTCCCTCGATAGTCCTTCACGAATGACACGTGACACGCGATTTAAAACCTATCGATGTTCTTCATAGGCCGCGTTTTAACGTACTTTTATTAATGCCTTTTAATGTGAAAACGTTTTCTAATTTGATTCGCGGTGACATAACTGCTTTATTAAAAATTTATGAGTCATTATTTTGATGTTACTATTTATATTTTTAAGAATCGTTTTTGTTCCAATCCAACGTACATTGAAAAAATTGCGCTAAAATAACTAAAATCAGAAATATAAAAATAATGAAATATTAAAAAAATAAAATATTTTAAAAGAATAGTTCACACATTATTTTGTATTCTACATTTTATATTACGATGTAGTTTGAAACATTTTCGTTAAGTAATCAATTTTTTAACGATAAATTATTATTTGTAATCCTCTTTACTGGACAATAATAAATATTTTTGCAAAATTGAACAAATTTATATATGAATATAAAATTTTCTGCGATTTAAATTTGGAGATTTAAAGTTTCTAATTATTTATACGTGAAAATAATAAAAGTGATTCCAAAATTATCCGTCTTTATTAAATGCTCTCATATTAATCTCTTCCATAGATAAGAAAATTATTAATACAAAAGCATACTTATATATTTCAAAAAACTATGTACCTTTTTAACTTCATAATCTTGCATACATAAAAATATTTTTGATTTTATTAAGAATGTCTCGCCTAATGTATTATCGTGTAATTATGCGCTATAAGAATTCGGAATTAATATAGAACACTTACAGATTTCTCTAGTTCCTTTTCATCGATGTTGTCCTACTTACCTTATATCACATTTAGTTCTTTTCATTTCTGTTTTGATTGAGACTTGTACAGTTGCAATATGCAGTCGCTGAGGTGAAAGTGACTTTTACGAGCCAATCATACTTTTTATAGAAGATGCTTGCGTATACGTCTGACCTCGATTCTAAAATAATAGCCATTATTATGGATTATTGCGTGTCAAATATTATTTTGACCCTCTTTTTTAATACTTACGTTAAATTGTTCATCATTTACGTGCAATGAAGTATAAAAAATATTCTTGCAGAATTAAATAAATTTATATGTGATTAAAAATATTTTCTATGTTTTAAACTTTGTGGAATTTAATTTTTTTGGAAATAATATGTGATTCTAAAGTTATCTTTCTTTTAAATGCTCTCATATTAATTTTTTTCATAGAGTTTTAATCTACAATAAATTTAATCTATAATAAAAACTATATTAATAAAAAAGAGAAAATTCAAAAAATATTAATAATAAATTACAATTAAATTTTATCTAAAAGAAATATGTATAAAAGTATAAATATACATTATATACACATACATATATATATGTAAAATTTTTTTAATACAATATATTTTTTATTGCAACAGAAAATAATATAAAACTATATATTTAGATTCTTCCAATTCAATAGTATACATATTTTAATTTATATATTAAGATCACAAATAAAATATATTTCTTATTCGCGATGACTAGAAATTTAAATGGAACGAATTTAAAATGCATTAGAAACTGTTCCCATGTCACATACATTCAAAAGAAGTTATTTATGGAGATGCAATCGTAGAGGTTCGCATTTAGATGATCTTATCGATATTCATTACCTGGAGCACTATAAAGGTGTCAATGTATTCTCATATTGTAAGGATGATATTAGACTAATAGATGTTCTATCATCACGTGAGATTTCGACTTTAGCAAGATAGTGTTGTATATATTTCTTATCTGTTCTTATATATTTCATTATGTATTTTAATTTTTGAATTTATCTAAGTATTGATTTTGCAATTTATAAATAATGTTAAATTACCGTGAAAACACAGATATCTTATTTTAAAAATAAATTCTTGAAACATTAAATATCATAAAATTCTTTTGATAAAAATTTCATTATAAGAACAAAATATAACATGTCAATTTTTTTGAAAAATTAGTTATTATTTTATTTATTAATACAAATTATATGTTTTAAGTAAGTTGATCTTATATATTTTTTTATTATCTAATTTTTGAGTGATAATATAGAATTATTATATTTGAAACAATATTTTATTAATATATTTTTGAACTTGTAAGATACTTGTAAGAAAACTTGTAAGTTTTTGTAAGTTTTTATTCTACAAAAAAATGGTTAATTCTTAGTTTTTATTTAATATAGTATTATTTAGTATAGTTTTATTTAATATAGTATAGTATAAAATGATAAGTTTAACAGGACGTAAATAATATTTAATAATAGGCAAAAGTAACATTAAAATTGTTATATCTGTGTCTCAATTTTCTGTGAATTTATCCAGATAAAATTATAACGTAGGAGATTCGCGGAAATTAACATATGTCTATAAACCTTCTGTATGTATGTGTATACTTGCGCTATATAATGCTCTAGTTTGCACTGTTTGTTACATTATCGAGATTTTGAATTATCTGATTGACTCAAACTAACTCGATAAAGTTCTAATTACATTCGATTGTAACAACACATGCACAACTGTATTTGATGGGTATCTGAACATCAATCACGAACTCAAAATATCTCTACACGTTGCGTGATATGTGCGATGTTATTCACGGGATTCTATCTACATAACTAGTATAGTTAAAATATATATAAGATACTATAATGTAAAATTTCTTCTGTACTAACAGATTTTTTTATTCTTAGCTTTAATTTAACGAGCTTGGAAAAATCGATATTTTTTCACAACCATTTTATAATATGATAGTTCTAATTTAATGTTTTAAATAAAAGGATTTTTAAAATAAAAAAAATTTTTAAATAAAAAAATTTGAAAATGTAGATATACCAATCTTACACATGTATTAATTTAATGTGGATTTGTATTTTATTTAAATTTAAATTTAAAAATTTAATATTAATATAATTTAACATCAAAATTAAATAATTATGATAATGATTCCAACACAACATTTTCAAAGGAGAATTTCTCAAAAAATATATTGCTAAAGAAAATCTATGATAATATTAATAATCCTATGAAAAAAGTATAAAATTAAATTTGAAAGTTGACCTTAAATATTATCATTCATCTATTTAACATAGACATAATTCTATTATGAAGCATTGGTTATTGTGATTAGATATTCGTTATTTATAAATAACTAATGCGAATAAGAAAAACAAGCTAAATGGATAATTAATTTTTTCATCATTCGAAATCATCACGTACAGTACATTAATACGTCACAAATTTTGATAGGCAGATAATTGAGTTGATCGATGTCAGTCGGTGAAATTTTTATAACAAATTTATACAAATGCAAATCTACACAAATGAATTAATTTGATATAACTATGAAATTATACAAGTGCTTTGTTACAAAAGCAGAAAAGCGAAATTGTGATAATCTTTGCCATTCTCGACAATACTTTAAAATTCTTCCTATCATAAAAGTAAAAAATAGCTAATATTGTATTACACATTTTAAAATACCACATAAAAAGTTTTTGATTGATTCTTGTTTTAAATGTACTTGATGCGAAAATCTGGAAAATCACGATATGATATTTGATCAAATGATGCAACACCAAACAATTAACCTCGCGAAGTCTGACAGTGAAACGAAGAACACGACAGAAGGAAACGTCGATGATGGCGAAGGGGAGAAATACAGAGCACGAGTGGTAAAGGTCTTCTTAACGCGTCTCCGCTTTCGATCCGGCTCTTAGGGGTGCCGTCGATTCGAAGGGTAGATCCGCGGTCCGTATTAGGGGAGACCCGATATATATATATAAAGGAGGGTTCCGATATAAAGGACTCGTGTTGGGAACGGGTCTCAAGATTCGATCACAGGGCTTTGTCGAGGCTGACAACTCGGTGCAACGGTTGCCAGACACTGGCCGTTTTCGGACATTTTCTCAAGCCCGGAGACCTTAACGATTCATCAGGAGAATTCAGGGCGCGAGTCCTTTGAGAATTCATAACTTTGCCTTGACTGATTACTGTATCGATCCTTGAACCTTTATCAGAAGATAATTGCAGATCGACAGATATATTTTTCCTAGTCATTGTGATTGCTATCTTGTTGATCTCGTCCTGAGATTTTTTGGCCAATTTGATCTTTTTTACATCTTTTCCTATTCTATTTTGACATATACGCATTTAATAAGAACAATCTAATATAATTAACATATCAAATTAAATTTCTTCATAATTTCAATTATTTTGCATCTTTTGAAAACAATTTTTAATGATCACATTTATCGAATTAAAACTCATTCTGGATTAAATAAATACTAAGAAAATATTTTGCCAATCTTATTGGTAAGAAATTATATTAAAATATGTGTATATATATATATATATATATATATATATATATATATATAGACACACACACATACATATATTTTAATATAATTGCTTACCAATATGAGATTAAATTATAATATATTTTTAATATCATAACAAAATATTTTTTTGATATTAAAACAATTTAATTATTCGATTTTTTACATGTATATTCTTTCTCTTTTTTTCTCTTCTCTTTTTCTTCCCCTCTTCCTCTCTCTCTCTTTCTCTTCCATTTTTATGATTAAAGAATGATTAAAAACTTTTTATTATAAAAATAATCTCTTCTTTACATCTCTGTTATAAATTATAATTCATGTAATTGAATTATATATATATATATATATATATATATATATATATATATAACAATTTTCACTCTCCATTTCATAAGGGTTAAGGTATTCAACGACCCTACGTTTATCCGTCATGGGTAGTTGATCTTTTGCCACATTCAGAGAAGAGCTCTTGCTTCTTGAACTATTGCTCGAATTACAGGAAATAAGTCGTATTTTTTCTGCTCTGTTATTATAGAAGCGCGAGAGATCGCCGGGGAAAAGAATGGATCGGCTTCGACGAAGCTTCCGGGATAGCTTTCGCCGACGGAAAGAATCTCACGTACCCGAGTCCAGCAAGCCCCATCAATGGCAAGCTGATGAAAGTGCAGTACGTTCAGCCACGTGCGCTTTTCACGTCAAGGTAAGCATACAATTTTAATGATATATTAAGTATATAAATTAATGGCCAATCGTATAGCAATTATTAAAATGAATAGAATTGATCGGATTTGGCATTGGCCTAATTAGAGCTATGGTTAACATTGTTTTAGCTATTGACATACTTTTTTTCAAATACTATAAATTTATTAATTTTACATTGACATTATTAAATTTTGCATTATTGTCGAATAATTATTGTTTACTTGCAATAATTAATTTCATATAATTATATTATTTGCTTTGAATAATTAATTTTGTTTGGAATAATTGTAATTTTTTATAATTGATTTTTTCTAATGTACCAAAAATATACATCAATTTTAATGTTGAAGATTAATCTTTAAATAAAGAGCTATTGGCCTATTTAAATTTTTAACAGATAATTGAGCTGGATAATTGAGCCAATATGTTTGTGTAGTACCTGGGATGCGTAGAAGTGTTCGAATCGAGGGGTATGCAGGTTTGCGAGGAAGCCCTTAAAGTTCTCCGAGTAAGTATTGCACGTTTTTTGGAATTAATACGATTTCTCTACAAATATATTAATCAAAGATAATAATTTTTGAATTTTTGCCTCTTATAATTATGCTCTATCTACTCAATTAACATTTTACGAAATATAAAATAATTCTATATATAAAAGCAAGCGGATTATTTTTTGAGGTTTTCTTATTATTTGGAACATTAAAGAAGGTTTTGTAACAAGCTGTGCGAAAGTTAGTAGGCGTCATACTCTCCAAATCTTTTGCCTCGACTATATTTAGCACGGCTCACATATAAAGAGTCGACATTGACACCAAAGAAAGTCTGAAAATAAATCGGTGCTCTAAAGGTCAGAGGGCAAATCGACCACTCTAGTGATTCTATTTTGAATTTTTAGAATTCGAGGCGAAGACCAGTTCGGGCGATACTTCACGTATCCGGTGACGGACTGCGCGTTGTAGAGGACGAAACGAAGGGATTAATTGTCGATCAGACGATCGAAAAGGTTTCATTCTGTGCACCTGATAGAAATCATGAAAAGGGGTTCAGTTATATCTGCAGGGACGGTACAACGAGGCGATGGATGTGCCATGGATTTTTAGCATTGAAGGAATCGGTAAGACATAAATCTTTTCATCCTGTTCGCGAATCGGATAAAATTATCCTAATATACAAGAAATAAATTCGTTGATGTATTAAAATTGCAAATGTACACAATATCAGCTATCACTAAAATGTGGCGAAAAACAAATTTATAACAGTTAAGTAAGATACATATTTCAATAAACAAATTTCAATTAAATGAAAAATTCAATTAAATGTCTTTCACACATTATTGAGAAATATACCAAAAATAATTTGCTGTAATGTTGTAATTTTTATTGAGAAGAGAATTGTAAAAACTTTAATATTTAAAATAAAACTGTCGTATATTTTTCTATTAATTGAAATTTGTATTATGTATAGTTTTTCTGTTCGTAATGCATTTTTTCCTATTTTGTCTAAAATAAAATAAACTGTACAGGACACATAAATTTTTAGAAGACCTTCATAATGAATAACGAAGATATTAATTTCAAGATATTCCTTTTTATGAATTTTTTATGAATTTATCATTTATTATTCAAGGGGGAAAGATTGAGTCACGCAGTGGGTTGCGCCTTTGCCGCGTGTCTGGAAAGGAAGCAACGACGGGACAAAGAATGCGGAGTTACAATGACTTTCGATTCAAAGACTTCCACCTTCACGAGAAGCGGCAGCTTCAGGCAACCTAGTCTCACGGAACGATTGCAGGAATCACGCGATCGTGCAGTAGGTAAGTGTCGAGAGAGATTATTGTTTATAAATGTCTACTTTCATAATTATAATTCAATGCGCACGGAAACGCAATCTAAGAAATATGGTTTTGTGTGAATATCATTCTCTCTTTCTTATTATAAATGTGATGTATTCATCAATAGTCGTACTTGAAAGAAAATTAAAAATATTCGTATAAATATGATTAAAAATTATCATAATATTATAAATATATTTTGGCTTAAATATTGTATTCCTCTACTTTATTATATCTTAAACGTATGTTTTTTTTCAGATGTTCCTCCGGTCAAGCAGGTGTATAATCCCTTCGCAATCGAGAGGCCGCACGCCACTCCGTCTATGCTCGAACGACAGGGTTCTTTCCGAGGTTTCACGCAGCTTAATCAAGCATCCCCATTTAAAAGGCAGCTCAGTCTACGAGTCAATGATCTTCCTAGTAATCTGGAACGCACACGTAGTCACAGCCTCGAGCCGACGGATTTGTCGCGAATGCCATCAGCTCTTTCGCACATTGTACCTTTGAAACCGCCGGGTGAGTGTTTATGGCCTTATCTCATTTTGTTTTAGTTCCTAATCTTATCAAACAACTAATGAGCGAATCAGCTCTATACGTTATACGCAAGTCCATAAAATGTGATTATATGTGCTACTAATTTAAATTGTTCTTGACTGCTGAATAATGATGTGCTTCCCTGTTTTTTACAACAGAGTTCGAAGGATATGACGAAGGTCATTACTCCTTATTCTGTTAATCCCCCTTTGTTGCCTGCTCTTCGATGTATTCTTAAACGTGCTCGTTTTTCGTACACACAATATATCCCGTACAACTGCGTTAACAGACAAAAACAGATTTCACGAAAATGTGTAGCTAGAATCATCGTAATCATGTTTCACTTCCTACGTGATATTGTGTTCGTGCTTGAAAAAATAACATTCAACATCATCGTATATACTTCTTCACTTTATTCCGACACGCGTATATTTATACATCCTGTAGCATGCCTCTTGTACTATGCATCCCAGCATCACGTTGCAAAATTCGGATTGCGATTAAATATACTGTTGAACTAATCTCTTCTGTTTTTTCATAGTGAGTCCAATACCAGAAATATCTCCCGGTGGCCAAGATAGCGTCTCTGCGATGTGTCAGCAACTTTCTCGAGGGCTTTCTCTGCTTTCGAGCAGCGACGACTTTGGACCATTGCCGCCCCAACTTACTGCGAGCTCCGTCGCTAAACAACTTTTCACGAGCATCACCGCTAACTCTCCTCCAGGTATAATTTTCCGGAAGCTTATCGAGCTCGTTTTAATTGTCTAGTTTAATCAATCGCGATGACATTTAAAGAATTGTTTATTTTTGTTAATTTCTATCATAATTTTCACATCACGATTGCATTCTTTGCAGTAACGAGTAGCAGCTCGTTGGACGAGATGAAACTGCAAAACGGTCCCAGCATTAATAACAACAACGACAAAAGCGACGAGCTCAGCAATTTGAATCATGTTGGGCCCAGCTGGCAAGAGTCGGCATCCCCTGTTCTCGCGTCGAACCATAGGCTCACTCCGCTTCTTAAAGCAAACAACTTGAGTCCCGTTCTTCCAAGGACGAACGCGCCCACTCCGGTCGTTATGAGCACACCAGCACCTGTTTCTTCTGCTGTAGGTGCTTTTGGCACACCACCGTCAGCAGCAAGCCCCGCTTTTAGCACAGCTTCTACGTCCTCTTTGAGAAATACGCCTACGCCGGCTGCGAACAGATCACCGATACCATTAAATTCGGCAATGACACCGAAAACAAGTTCTCCTAGTGCCAGCGTAGCGTCCGTCTCTTCGGCATTATCGACTTCGACCGACGTCGCCCAAGTTTCATCGGCAACCGGTGTTTCGACAGCTTTAGTAAGTTGAACATACTTGCAGCAGTACAAACAGGTTTTTCATTTGAAGAAGTTCTTTAGAATTTTGTTAAAATTAAATATTCAAATAAATATTCTTCATATTGTTTTAAATATTTCTCAATCAATATTTTAGTAAAATATTTAAAAAATAATATATGTGTATTTTATAAAAATGTAATGTATATACTTTTATCAAATCGTCAGAATTGAACAATCTTCGAACAAATCTCACGAATAAAACAAAACTTCATTGAAGCATAATATAGTGCTAATCTTTGAAAACATTTTGCTTTTATATTTGTAAGATCGAATATTCAATTCACCCATTTCCATCCTCTTGAGAACTTTTATAATTTCCATTATTTCCTGCAGCCAATATACAAAAATCTTTTTTTTCCATTTGGTCTATTGTACGTATAATATCCTACATAAATACTCAGGAACGTCTTCTCACGAGTTTCTCTATTCAATAGGTACAACCGCTTTCCACGGCAGCCGGTTTGCCGAAACCAGAACAATGGTTGGGTAGTATAACCGGCTCTGTACCATCGCCGGTACCGCAGCAGGTACCTGCCAGTCCTCGGCGAGCACCTCCGCTTCACGCCAGGGCGCTTTCGCTTGGATCAGCCGCGATGGGCCAGGCTTCCAGAGGAGGACCATCCGATCCCTTCGATGTCGAATGGGCGGAAATCGCCGCCAGAAATCTGCGGCAATCAACCACGACGACGAATCCTTTTATTATGCCGAACGCGACCCAGGCGTTTCAGGTGCAGTTGTAGCGTCAGGAGTTCATTAACAACGTCGCCAAGTATTTCCGTTCGAACACATAGCGGCAACAAACACGTTCGCGTTTCGACATCGAGCACGATCGAAAATACTACACGTGAGCTGCCGTGTCTTCGAATCGACCTCGGATGCCGTCGAATGCTATCGCGTGCATAATACCGCGATCGAGCATCCGGTTGGATGGTACGAGTTCTCTCTCGACGGGACCCAAAGAGAAGTCAGATCCCGAAAAAGAGTAATGATCTTTCTCTTATCGAGTCGGCATTTAGTAGCAACGACAGTAGCAGCGAACTTTAAACCAGCACAAAGAAAATATCAGCGTAAATTACTTTATAGATAGATAAATATACGCGCACAGCCTTAACGACCTCAGTAAAAATAAAAAATGGTACACGCATAAATGCATAAAAGCAAACGTTCGGGAGATGACGTGACAGGAGATACACAGTTTCACGCACCGAATAATAACAATGGCTTACAAGCTCGTCAGCCGATTATAAGGAGAAGCAATAGATGTCGCGAAATATCAAAGGATTTCCCGACAGTATCGATAATTATATTCAATGTCTGTCACGCGATATATCATAATTGGATATTCCAATTATCTTGAGTAGAGTTAGGCTCGAACCGCGAGCGGTTATCGTCGTTCTGCATGAAAAACGAAATTGTATGCACCCAAGAGATTATACTGCACCCTTAACGATTTTTTTCTTTTTCAAGAGAGAAAATTATGCGTAGTGTAGTCGCTCTTCGTGATCATGTCTCGCGAACTGGATCACGAAGTGAGATAATTGTACCTTTCGCAAAAGAGGAATTTGCATTTCCGGCGGGCTCACCCGGCTCAGACAAGCACTTAGATAGACGAATGACGTTTCACCATACGTGAAATGTCATTATGCAGGTGGATTAACATCCGCGTGAGGGACTGTGATATCGATGGGAAGTGGCCAGTACTTAAGCGAACAGGGTCGAAGAGAAGTATCGTGAAGAACTTGCTCAAGGTCGTCGTGCCGCGCGATAATAGAGAATAAGAGCGATCGTGAGCTCGGGTACCGCGGACTTTATCGTCCTGTATAGCCGGCAGAAAACACCCATATAGATTACTTAAATAAAAATTAGCTGTTGAAGATTATAGCGAAGATATTGTCTTACATTATCGTCGTCTATTATATACACACACACACGATCGTGTTGCATTTATCGTAAAGACCGAGGATCGTGGGATGATGAGAAAATTCTCGCACGAGGACAACGCTCGCGGAAAGATTTCCTCGAGGGTCTTTCCTCGACGGTGCTTCCGCTCTGTAATAGCAACAGCTGTGCGAAAATCGTTCGCTGAGTCGATCCTCGAAATAATGCGAATTCATATCTATGATCTAATTGCAATCAAGTGCAAAGGAGTTTCCTCAGTCCCGTATAGAAATTGATCGCGTTTCGCGAGATATCAGTATTGCGCCTCTAGCAGCTTTCAGTCTTTCAAATTAACGGCTGCACTTTCGGTTTTTCGAAACGGATCGAGGGTAAACGTCGAGGAAGGCCAAGGCAGATAATCACAAGAGGGATAATTGAGGCGTGCATGTGTGTATGCATTGTATATAGATTAATTATTTAAAGTATGAAGCGACAGTGTAGGAACATGAGGGAATGTATGAAAAAATTATAGAAAGGAAAAGAGAGAGAGAGAAAGAAAGAAGAAGAAGACATAATGGAATCAGTTAGTAAACCGGCGACTCAGCAATGATGCGAGAGAAATTCTTCCTAGAGTTTAATCGAAGTGTAATAATATGTTATAAATATGAGTTTCGGGGATTATATGAAGAGAAGACGCAACAATATTGCATATGAGATCTGCGTGATTTCTAATTTATTTGCGGATTTTATTATACAGCATCCTCCTTTTCTTGAGTTACTTTTAAGAATAGCAGATTGTCATAGATTCGCAGTCATTCTGATAAGTATGTACGTATATGTACAATACTACGATATATATGTAGACATTCCTGCAATACTCCATACCGAGATATATATATATATATTTACGCGACATGAGTTTTTTTAATCGCGAGATTTGATTTCGACGCATTAAAATCGCATCCAATATAATTTATTTATTTATTTCGATATAATCACGCTGCGAACATGAAGCTACCTATATCGATATTCTTCCACACGGCAAATACTGTTTAAGAAGTATTACCGCTTTGATTGCGTATAATAAGATCTTAATCAGATAAATGATTTAAAAGAAATTATTATTGGCGATTGTGGAAGTGAATGATATGCATCTATTTCTGCGAGAGAAATTTTTGCCGTCATTGTTGCGAGTTGTTTAGCGAAAATGAACTTGGTTTTTCGAGCCACCTTCCGTCCGTCCCGAAAATCAAAAGGTAACAAAGAGATAACAAAATTAAAAGCGCGAAGAAATTTAAACGAATACTGTAAAGCAGCAGCAGCAGGGAATGATCGTTGAGTACTTATAGCGGTACTTATCGAAAAAGAATATTGATTAATCAATGTACTTAAATATTAATACATGTAGAGAGCTCGTTGCTGACGATATCGACGCACATCGTCGATCACTTCGTCTTTATTTGTTTTTTTTTTTTTTTGTAATTTTTTCCTCGAAATAGTTTTTTCGTTATTTCATTCATTTCCTTAAGAAAAAGAGAGAGAAAGAGAGAGAACGAGGAAAAATATGTACATAAGCAGCATAGTAATTCGTTATAACATTATGACGTTTATTTACGTACTTACTGATTTTTTTCCTTTTACGTTTCTTGGTCGATGTATGCTAACATGGTTCATTTGACTAGGATCGAAAAGGAGTGATAGGCGTCTTGGCTGATATTATATCCATTTCTATGATGCTTCTGCGACTTCTGGGCATTTGATGTTTTTTTCTTTTGTTATAACTTTTAATGAAAGAGTCTCGTTCGTTTGTATCCATCTTTTTTATCGCGCCTGGAAAAGCGCGGGGGATCAGCCAAGACGTGTTCCGGTGTCTCGTTCGACTGAAACAGATGAATGCATTTAGAAAAAATGGATAACAGAAATAAACTTACACACATCTACATATCCAGAGAAAGAGATGCCGGGACAAGAATATATAGGCAAATATATGCACCGCGTGCCAAATTCAAAAGTGCAACCGCGTTGCCTGCCAATTGGTACATCGCGCACGCTTCCGTGGTTGTGTTGTACATAGTGTCGCCGGTCGATTCCTGGATCACAACGTACGACTTAATGCGTGTATATTTCGTAAAAGTATCCTTGTTCATTTTACATTGTATCTGCCACTGTAAAAATACGATTTATTATATAATATCTGTTGTGATTATGAACAGGCCTTTTATTTCTTTCGCGAAATATATCTCCGCACTCTTTTCAAGTCAATCTCTTTCCAGTCTCAATAAAAAATGCGATATTTATCTTTATAGCGACCAAACAAGATGGAGAAGAGGAAAAAAATGGTAATTTGTAATAATAAATATGATATTCAGGTCTCAATAGCGTGAAAATGATTGAAAAATATTCGTTTTTTCTTCGAATTACGCGAATGTCAATATTGTCAATATTGGTTTCTAATATTTTATTTTTGAAAAGACAAAATATATATTTATTCTTGATATATTTATTAAAATATGAAACTATTGAAAAAAATATATATAATATATTTGATGAATGTTACTAATATTTATTGTTCATAACAGTATTTTTTTAGATAAAACAGGAAAATTTTTCAACATGTAAATGAACAAGTTATATTTCTTTTATATGTAACTTACAGCTACATGCCTATTAAAATGATAGCACACACACACAATCTATGTATAATTGAATATATATTAATGTCTACTACGAAATGTAAGAAAAGAATGTGTTTTTTATACTTATATGTGTATCAAAAATTTTGAAAGAAATGACCCGACTTTTGGACCAGATTTTTTGTTACAACTGCATTCATTCTTTGGAATGATTCAAAAATCATGTTTGAAATTTTTGTGTATTATTAAAAAAAAGGTAATTAAATGTTTTGTTTTTTTGTGGCATCCTATATATTGTTAATATTATTATTGTTGTTATTGTTGTTGTCAATATATTATTTTTTATAACTCAAATGAAATGATATAAATATAATACGCATCATATATAATATAAAAATGACATGATTTTATTAACGTGATTAACACATAAAAGATCTCATATATGCTGAAGTTAAATATAATTTAATATAATTTGATTGTCACACTGATCGATATAAGAAATTATTTTTATTCATATATTTAATAAATATTAATATTAACTGAAACTTTAAATATTTCTGTAATATATATACAAGAAAAACAAACTGATATGGATGAGGAAAATTCTTTGTACCTTAATCATATTATTAAAATAATTTGTAACGCAAAAATTATTAATATGTAGAATAACCTAAAGAGCACTGCATATGTTTATTAGAATATCGATAAGAAGTTCAAATTATGTCAAAAAAGATTTGCTATCGTGATCAGTACAAGCTTAATCAAATACTCGAGCAAGTAAAAGCTCTTTCAGACGTAGTGGACGAACTTAGGATGGCGTTAAACGATTTGAAGAAGGCATCTCTCAACGTGAATCATCAGATAGGTTTTTTTGAATCTACAAAGAAAAATAACAAAGTTGATTATGTCAAACCGACTATATTGCGAAATATAAAAACATATTTTAAAAATAATGGAATTTGCACAAGGATCGAAACGTATCGAGCCGCAAAGAATACTCAGGTTATTCAGGTACTCAGGTATTCATAAAATATATTGGACAATGATCTTTTTAATAACAATAATTACACAACATTTGCTACGATTACAAGAAAATTAAATGTCATATATTTGTATATTTTTTATTATAGAAAAGTAGAAGTAGAGATAGCGCTGAATTTTTATTACATATAACTTACAAAAAAATTTATAATTTATCTTCTTATACAAACTTAAATGCATTTCAATTTTTTATATAAGTTTTTGTTATATCTTTTGACTTAAAAAATATTTTTGTCGTAAATTGTTAGAGAAATGGAAAAAACATTATGAATATATTTGTTGTAACATGTTACATAAATGTCAAACACATTATGATGTTGGTTATTAGACTTGTTGCTCAACTTCTCTAAATTATATGGTTCACTGTAAAAGAAAAAAAGATCATAAATCATCGGCACATATAAGCAAATCCTCAACGATATACGATGGTCTGAAATTTTGTAAGAATAAAATTATAAAAAACATACAAAGCATTCGAAAAACTCGACGATCCTTGAAGAGCACTAAGCACGAATGTGTGACATCCAATCAACAGCAAATTTGCGTTCTGCAAAAAGAGGAAAAACAGAAGTCACTTAAAGATACAAGAGACGAAGAGATAATTAAAGACGCTGATATCAGCGAAGAATTAAGTAATTCAGCAGACACGTCATTTACAGCTGATACTTCTACACAAACAGAGATCACTATATGCTCATGGCAAGAAAACAATAAAAATTTATCCTATCTTCCATGTCAAAATGTGATAGAAAATAGCACGCAAATGAACCCGTTATCAATGATAAGCAATGATCGTTTTGCGATTCCTTCAAATTGCTTCATAAGCGAATTATCGAAAAATCGCGCGAAACAAACATTCTTGACAAATAAAATAAAAAAATATAAAAAATGTCCATGCAAGGAACAATGTCCTTATTCATTATATAAATTGCCATGCAACAAATATAAATGCAGTACACCGGAAAAGAAAATAGACAATAAAATCAACGGATTGACACTAGAGTGCTTAAATTGTCAGAGAAAGAATAATTTTCCGACATTTATAAATGTTGATACAGCGCAAGAGAAAAATGATAGAAGTTTCGCGGATTTTTCACCTGTTAAAATTGGCATAGATAAATCTTCGATTTCTTCGCTATCAGTGGATTTTGAAGTTAAAATTTCCAACGATCATCGTAATTCGGAAAATATCGATGAATTCTCCAAGCGAAGAAGAGCCAGAACGTATATTGTAAACAAAAAGAGTATAAGAGAAAATGACTTAATTAAAAATTTTAAAAACGAGACTGAATCATCTTTCAATATAATTTCCTTATGGAAACATATAAATGAAAAAAAGGAAAAAATTGATGAAATAATAGAGGTAAATTAATACTGATGATTTTACTCGATTTAAAAAAAATCTCGATTTAAAAAATCTCATTACAATTGAGATCATTTTTATATACTATTACATGTTTTATTTGCAGAACATATTATTACAAAAAACATATCTAAATCCTGAAGAGACTCAACAAGAATATCAAAAATATAAAACGGAGGATTTTATCGATGATCATTGATTATTAAAAAAGAATAAACAGGTTCAATGTTTTATTTCTGCATTACAAATTCCGATATTAAATAGAAAGATATCCATAAAGACTTCAAATCTAAAGTTTCAACAAAGTGATAGCCTAGATCAATCATGCTCAAAAACGAACAAGACGAGACATACTAGTTTTCCTAAAACGATAACTCCGAAATGGATGAATGCACAAGCGCAAACCAGCAAATGCTCGTATTTTAATTATTTAGAAAATAGACTGTCGTTTTTAAATATGCTAGATAAATATGCATGATTATGCAAGTGTAAAAGATATGAGCAAGATGAATGAAAATGTAGAAAAAGATATTCCGAAAAAAAATAATACTTGCATTATCGAGATGGACGTTTCATCATCGAAAATAATTTGACCTAAAATCAAGAGACATAATATTACATATATTTATTCTGCAATCCAGACTAGAGAAGCTATTAATGCTCACTTGAAAGAATCTTTGAGTCAAACATGTGACCAAACTGACTGGCGAATTTGGAAGTCCGTAAAAGCATCTTGTCCATTTCATTGTAATTACATCTCCGCTGACAAGTATAAAAATCCCATGTCTTTTTTTATTAATTATCCTCATTTTTCATCTAAAACACTGAATTTTGAAATGAGTAGTATATCTGGCAGACTTTAATTCTCTTGAAAAACTCGAGGATATTACTTGATATATTCATAATCGTAATATTATATTATTGTGTGCTTTATCATTCTTGGCGTTTTCTTATTTTTGATGATTAATGATTAGAAATAGAAATGATTATATATATTGCCGCCAAATGTACACCACATTAATTAAAATATAATTTATTGTAGTTTTATAACACATTATTTTTGAGAATATATATGTGTAAACATATATAAACATACATTTACAAAAATGCATTTATACAAATATTATTCAATATTTTTCTCACATATATTATGGATTCGAAAAAGAATATACACTGACATTTCCTGATAATGCATTGATTAATTGATATTACTTAATAAAAGCAATTTTCTTCTATCTATAATATAGTTTAAACTTAAAATATATGTATGCGTAAATGAATACATTAAAAATATATATACTGAACAAGATTTAGTTTTGTAATAATATTGAAAATACATTATATAAATCTGATACACACATATTTTATTTATGTTTCGAATTATATATCTCGTGGATAAATGGAAAAATTTTAACATAATTTAAGGTTATGAGAAAAGTACTATGCATATATTATATAAGAACATAGACGCATTAAATACAATGGCGGACGACTTTGTTTAATATTATTTATCATGAATTAATGTCGCAATGCTCCTAAATTCAATCTTAGATATTTGAACAAAAATTTAACACATTTTACGCGCTCGTAACATTACTTAAATATAAAAAGGCAATATTCTTTCATTATAAAAGAAATGCAATGTTATAAATTAATCACGCATGTAAAGAATTACACACACACACGCACACACACACGTATATATGTATATATAGAAATAATAATTGATTTCAAATATCCAGATTGAATTTTTTAACGTAATTACCATATATTTCATAATATAATATATACACATTGAAATACATAAATATATGAGATAATTTATACATACCGCATGATTTTACAAGAGATGCTACAATTTTGCATATCTATTGGAAATATATGTCATGTGTTTTGCACGATAGAACTTAGAAATAAAGAGAGAACCTCAATAATATAAATTAAATTTTTCTGCAAAAGGTATAAAAAAGTACAAATCTCATCGATGAAACATCAATGAAAGATCATTTAAGCTTTGCGAGAAATTCTTTTCTCTGATATTTAAAAATAAACTCATATAAGAATTAATGGAAGAACAATATAGTCGATGTGACATATTTTAAATTTATGTCATTATCGTAATAAAGCCAAGGAAAACAATTACCATTAATCGATCGACGGATATATAAAGATCTAAACGAATCTTATTAAAGAGTTAAGCTATATGCGCACATAAATGTGTGAACGCTGAAAAACAATAAGTCTATGGAAATTATTAACATAATGAAAGTTATTTCTTATCATTGCAATCCCAACAGGTACCGTTTCGCGAATTTATCAATTGTAAATTCGTCAATTGATTCTGATTACATTTTGGACGCTATTTGTTTCACATTATTTTTATTACTCACACTTTAAAGTTTGGATTTGTTCTTCGAGGCATTCCGTAGTAGATTCCACGAAAGTTTTATTCATAATTTCATACACTTGCTCCATAAGCTTTGGAAGATCGTCTTTGGTCAAACCCGCGGTAGGAATAGGCGGTAGAACTGTAATATAACTAGTTCCTAAAATAGAAAGTTTTTCTTTTAGAGAGATTTGTAATGTATAAGAGAATTTAATTATATATGTACTATATAAGAGAAAAAAATTCTTAAAAAATACAGAGATTTAATATTTATTTTTAATTATTCAGTTCATTTATAAAAAGTATTTATCTTCTTTATTTTTTATATACCTGAATAAAACCTCTTTAATTTTCCATCTAAGAAGTAATATTTTGACACAACGACGGGTTGAATTGGCATTTGAGATTCAATCGCGACATGAAAAGCGCCTTTTTTGAAAGGAAGTAACGAATTACCCGAATGCCGATGTCCTTCGGGAAATAGAAGAAGTCTCCGCTAAAAAATTCAATCAAAAATATTAATACATTTTTCGTAAGATTTATTTAAAATAATAATCTAATTATTTATTGATCGAAAATAAAAATAAAATAAAATAAATTTATATATAATTTATGTGTATATATATATATATATATATATATATATATATAATATGTTCATTTATATATTTTCCATACATATTCATATTAGATAATTTAAATAATTTATTCTTTAGTTATCTTAGATATTTTGTTGGAGAACTTTGAACAAAAATCACCTTTGCCAAACGAATAGATTCCGCTGTAGCGTTAATAATTCGTTGAGCTTCTTCAACGTTTTTTCTGTCGATAAATACTGTTCCCCAAAGCCAAGTCGCGAGACCGAATGGTCCAAGGTACATAATCTCTTTTTTAGAAATAACAGTGCAATTCTCCATCGCTAACCATAATTCACCTAAAACTATATTGACTAGTTTTATTATACGTATCTCTATTATTTTTGATAAAAGATATGTCTTCTTATATTTGCAACACATTATTTTCTCAGATTTATCAAAATATTCTTTTTCTTAACGTAACGAAGTAAATTTAGAGAACATTTGTAATAACTGATTGTAGTTACCACAAAGATCTAGGGAACTCTGATGATTGATAAGCACGACACAGCCCGAATCTTTGAGGATGTTCTCTTTACCACGAAAACGAAATTTGATTCCAATGATCTTCGCAACTCTTACTACACATCTGGCTGGCATTCTGAAAGATTTTATTATATATATATATATATATATATATATATATATATTTCACACGCATATGTTATAATCAAACCATAGTACCGTGTAGGCGCTCTAAAGATTGAGTGATCAATCGTGTGCAACCAAGTGTCTTGGTAAAGACCGAAATAACTTTGTATTTCCATTTTTGATTAATGTACTTTAATATCTATACTAGTATTGACTCAGAGTGATTAGCATAATTAATCAAAGTCAAAAATTAAAAATAATCACTTTATCTTTGGTTAATCAATTCCAAGGATGATTATAATGAGGATATTTAAGTCCGACATATGCCTTGTACATGCATATTTTGACATAAAAAAAAATTATATAACATATTTATTACATAACACATTTCGTGTTATATTTTACCAAAGGTAAATTTATAAACTTATTCCGCAGTTGATCGTTCAATCCTAGACATGCTTGTGCTACGATGTTTTGACTATAACACATACACATATTTATATTTATGTTTCATATTTCAGGCTTAAAGATTTGATTTTATTCACATATATGAGAACTTACAGTGCATTTTTCCAGCTACCGATTCGAAACAGCATGAATGGTATCCATAATCCTGCAGCTAGTGCGCTCGCTACTATGAAGAAGATGAACTTCGCTCGATATCTCACTCTCTCGCTCAAGGCACAAAGCATCACAAAGAGAAATATCAAGGCAATTCCGCTTGTTGTATAGATGCCGCATAATACACTGATATTGTAACATTAATTATATTGTGCATTAAATTTGCGTGATACTTAAAAATTAAAAATTAACAAAATATTAAAATTAAAATTCACAAAGAAATGAAATCATAAAAAAATTATATCTAAATAAAAGAAAATCTATATAACTTGTTCTTTATTCATAACTATGGAAAAATAATACGTTTTATTTTTAAAAAGTTTGCCTCAAAAGAAAACCACGTTCATTTTTTTTTAAGGCTTATGTATAAGAACTCATGTGCATCGTTGCACACTTATGCTTATAAATTTATTAGTCATCGTCATCGTCGTCGTCGTTGTCGTCGTCGTCTCTCTCTCTCTCTCTCTCTCTCTCTCTCTCTCTCTTTCTCTCTCGCTCTCTCTCTATTTATCGTTAATTAAAAGTTTATAAAAAGGTTTTAGTTAATTAAAACATACTTTTAATAGTTGTAATGTTAAGGCAAGATGATGTACACGATGATATATACGATGATATATACTTTGATGTTTTTATGCAAATCTTTTTTTCTCTTTCCTTAGTGATTTGTCTGCGAGTTAAAGTTGGAAGGTTACTACTATTCTATATGATTTTTATTTTCCTAATTTGTTTGCAACAATTTAAATTGTTCACAAATAACTGTTCCGTGTGTGATCACAAAGATGATCAGAACTGATTATTACGTAAACTTTTTTTATGTATACATAATATCATTAGATAAATTGTCGGATCGAAAATCTTAGTTTTGTCTGAAATACTTTTAAAATAAAAAATTTCTGATGTAAATAAATGCTTAAAAACATGAATATTAATATATTGATTGCCATGCAAATTTTAATTTTACGTTTTACCGTGAAGGCCACAGTATATTTTCTATTGTTATAAGCATGTAGAGTAAAAATATATTGAGGTAAAATATTGAGTAATATTATCAAAGATTATATCCTTAATAATAGTGCGTTAGTTAATAATAGTGACTAATAGTCATTCATGATCACTGAAGTCACATTCGTTCTCTTTTATAAAATCCAAATCCGATTAGTTGCTTTATGTTTCAAATCGCATAACTTCATTAATTTTTCAATTCGATACAGATTCTTTCTTGTTATGCAATTACTAGGCACAATATATAATTATATAATTAAATGCTTATTAAACCCATTTATTTTGTTATACCTTATTTTGTTATATCAACTGCATAACATTAATTTCTTATTAGTTATTGCGAAAATTGCAAAACATAGATATAGAGAACTTTCCTACTTGGTTTAACTCGCTACACAGGAAAGGTGATGTGATTAATTTCTATATTATAAATACATAATTAAGTAAATTTTTAATTTTTTATGTGTTCAATAGCGCACTTTTTACTTTATACTGTTATCTAATTATTGTATTTACATTATTTAAAATTGTTTGTTCGATGGTATTTATTTTATTGTAATTACTTTTAAATTTGGGCATAGATGGCCATCATCAACAATATTAACAATATTAACAATATTTAAGAATAATAGCTGAAAATTAAATCATTTCTATTCCTTATAATTTTAATCACTCCTATTTTTTCCTCTATTTCGTTCTTGTTTAATTAAATATTATATATTATGTACATATATATATTTATGTACATATATAGATTTATAATCAATATTATTCGACATATTTTCTTGAAAATTAATTATAAAAATATAAAACTATATCTATATCTACACATAGCATATATAAAACATTGAAATTCAAATCATGATTTATATATTTTAAACAGTATAATTTTTTTATAAATTATAATTAACATTGTGACTTAGACTTGAAGACAATTTTTAGTTAATATACATAATCGATTTTATCATTATCGACAACTAATCGCGATACGCAAAACAAGATGATAATTCAGTTTTTCTATTCGTTTAAAGTTCAACTTCTTTTAACATATTTATTAACCATTGTTTTCTAATATTATCGAAAGAAGCTATTCAAACATAATCTTTAATTACATGTAGATGCGAATGTGTGAACTTTGTACTTTGTATCCTTATATTGTTGAGAGACTAAAAAAATAGAGATATCACATGAAAGTGCTTATAAACAGATATATATTTTTACATATCAAATAGATAAAAAAATTAAATTAAGAAATTATTTGCTTATAAAACTATAATGCATAATATGTATTATAATTTGAACTATATAATGTATAATACATATGCATAATAGGTTAGTTTCATAATTAATATAATCTTGTTGTTAGTTTAACTCACTCTTTGTCTCTTTCTACAGGAAGAGTTAGAAGGAGATAAAGAGTGAGTTAAACTAAGATTAAAGTTAAACGCGGTTGGTGAAATCAGGCATTAATGTAAAGTATGTTGTAAGTAAATAATTGAAAATAAAAAAGATTTTATTTGTAAGATTTTTTAAAGATTAACAATGGTATTTTATATTATATATATATATATATATATATACTTGTTTATTCAAATTTAATTATTTTAAAATATCAAACTATACTTATGTATCAAATAAATATAGTTATGTATGTTATTATAGTATCTACAATAATTTATATTATTATTATTGATATTTTAATAATATATCACTTGTTTTATATAAATTTTATATTTCTTTTATTTTTGAGTAAATTATATAATTTGTGAATTATTAAACAAAAAAAACTAAAATTTAATACACAGCAAGTTGTAATATTTCATGAAAAAAATAATAATTATATGTGACAAATAAAATCTTAAATTAATAAAATTCATATTATTCATGAATAAATTTTATTATATTAAAAATCTTGTGAAAAGCATTTATAAGTTTTGTTTTTTTAACCAACGACATATTAATATTATAGAAATTTTATTTATATTTTTATTTATATTTCATTTTTATTTTTATTACTTCCATTTATAGAAAAGTTATAATTCCCATTTTTCAAAATAAATATAATTGTCCTGGAAATCATTGATACAATAAGAATGGAAAAATAAGAATTATAAGAACAAAAGAAATAAGAACAATAAGAATTATTGTTATATCTTCTATAAAATGTGCATCTGATAATATTATAATTAATTCATTGTATGTTCATTAACTGACTCATTGTGATATGCAAGAAAATGAAAGTTCCCCAATAAGCAATTATATTTTCTCAATCCTTATGTGATAGTGTCATGACAATCGTTGATTAATTTAAATCATTCCACACTTCTATTTTAACCATGTAAGGTCAGGTCATCTATATTGCAAAGTAATCTCTTCGTATATTCTCCTTAGATAAAAATACCATTTGATTCTATATTTCCGCTCTTTTATTCATATTACATAATTTCGCTATTTTCTTGTGAAGAGTTCACTACGTTTCTTTACGCGATTCAAAATTTGTTAAATAAATGTTTAAAATTATTTCGGAAGTTATTCGAGAATTTTTTTAAATTTAAATATTTTATTTGCGTTGTAATACCTAACTTTAAATTTATCCGAAAAATAATTGAGTTGTATTTTTTAACAACTCCTTATAGTCAAAACCATATTTTTTGATCATACAGATCCCGATTACAATTCAAAAGAAAGATAAATTTGTAAATTTTTAATATTGCATTGATATTTTGCATTATATAAATATATTTAATTTATAATGGAATTGCGAAACAGTTATAATTTCTAAGATTTGAATTTCAATATTATATTCAAATAATTGGAATATACTTCCTTTAACTGTGATATTTAAATATACGGTAACATTTATTTCAAGATAAGATTATGGTTCAAGGTAAGATTATGATTTGCAGTATATTCTATTAGAAATTTAAAATTAATTATATATTTTCTAAACCAACTAACTTAATGTTAAACTTCATTATTAATATTTGTAAAATTAAAACCATTTTTTCATTTAAAGAAAGTTACTTAAATTTTTAAATTGTATATTTTTTCAATATATCCATTTTTCAGAACTTTACATTTTAAATCAATCGTTAAATATCAATTTTGTGTGTGTGTGATTAATTTCAAATTATTTAAACTAAACTATCAATAGATAAATAACATAAAATAGATAGAAACATGTCTTGTGCAATCTGATAAAATAAGTGAAAGTGTTTTCAACTTGATAAAAGATATATGTTTTCCTATTATGCACAAAATTGTGCAGCATATGAATTAGATCGATTTATTATTATAATAATGATTTATTATTATAATAATGATATTATAATAATGATAATCTTAAAATAAGAGAAAAATTAGAGATATTGGTATAAATGTGATAAAATAATTGTATCTGTTTGTAATATATAGTATTTTCACAATATATATTATGACATAAATACAACAAATTATCTCTTAAAGTAAAAAGAGATAATGAGAGATTTCATGAAATTACTATTTCTTGCTATTATATTCATCGCAATAATATTGCAGCTCCAATCTTCTATTTATAATGTGAAGTAAATAAATAATTATCATAGATATTACGTAGATCATTCGATCGCACTAGAGGTCAAAATTCTTCTTGACCGTTACTCAAGTCCTTTACTCTTTCAGTTGACGAACGCGTCAATTCATTCGTTAAAGGTTAAACGATTTCATTCAGTAAGTTTCAATTTGAGTCAAATTGTTAAGATAATATCTTGAGATACTTTAATTTTTTAAATTCATTATAATTCCTGTTTTCTATATCAAGTTCATAATAAACATAGAAAATTATTATATCGATTCAACCATTTATTATTTATTATTTAATGCGTTGAATGTAAAAACAATATAAATAAATAAAATATATTATCTTACGATAATATTTTTGATGATGAATGATTTACTATTTTGAAAGATGAAAGGTAATTAATTTCCTGAAGCAACACATTAACACGTAATATATATGTGCAAAGTATCAAGTACAACATGTGGAGAGCAGTGAGCAACATAGTCCGATCGAAATTCAAGGAACATAGTCCGATCGAAATTCTATACATAATTGAAATATATACTCACACCAGTGGAGATAATACACGGATAACATACTTCATCCACACAAATACATCTATTACATCTATTACATTCATATGAAAGTTCTCCTTTTTTAGCTATATAATTTTCACTATACCATATTATTTATTTATAGTACTAGTACTATCAATAGATAAATAACATAAAATAGATGAAACATGTCTTGTGCAATCTGATAAAATAAGTGAAAGTGTTTTCAACTTGATAAAAGATATATATGTTTTCCTATTATGCACAAAATTGTGCAGCATATGAATTAAATCGATTTATTATTATAATAATGATAAGATTTTATGTTGACAAATAATAATGTGTAATAATTAAACTCGTAAGTAAATTATTTTCGAAATGTAGATTATTATACGTACTTATCTGCACTACAGGTAATAGTAATGATAGAGAATGTGTTTTGTATAATAAAAAAACACGCTTTGTATAATATAATTTTATGGTATAATCAATAATAGATAATAGAAAGTCATAATAGATTACAGAAAGCTTTATGCTTATGTATGTCACTATGTATATATGTGAGATTGAAACATGTTATTGTAAATTTAACATAATACACATTACAAATTCGTAAATACGTCTCTTTGTCGATTTAAATAAATTAAATTTAATCATTTATTTATATTTATTGTTATTAAATAGATTATTATTTGCTTATCACAAATATATTGAAAATATAAACACAGTAAACTTCAAATATAAGTGATTAATTTAATATGTATTTATATTTAATTTAGATTAATATTTTTAATTATTAATAAGAAAAATTATTTTAATTATTTGTATATAAGCCATCTATATAAATATTTAAATAATCCAACATTAAAGGAGCATGACAATTTATTTTTTTCTTAAGGAATATTTTTTTAAACAATTAATTTTTAATCAAATTTAATAAAACTTTAAAGATTCTATAAGATACAAATTATAATGTTTCGGTTTGTATGAATAAAAATTTGTCATTTGTCTGATTAAAAAAAAAAAATTTTTTTTTAAACTCTCTCAAATATTTTATTTCATATAATTATACCGCGTATATCATAAAGATCAGAGATTTATTCATAATTATTATCCTACTTTACTGAACATGAAAAATTAATTTTAATGAATATAAAAAATTAATTTGCTTATTGCGTCAAACGGAAATGAACATTTTAATGAAGAGAATTCATTGGAAAGAGTGAAGAGAATTCATTAATCTTATTCAATTTACCTTTTTCGTTTCATATATATTTTCGGTTCACATATTACACATAGTTCGTGTAGCTTATGCGTGTCCTTATTCTCAATTTTTTCATTCAATAAACATCAATAATCGCGTTAATAATACCATAGTATGTAACACTGTTTTATTTGAATTTACTTTGTGTTCAATTCGGGACAAATTAGACGAGCAAAAAAATAATATTTTCGTGTTGATTACTCACGTCTTTAACATGATGTTCAGGCACGTAGCGTTCACTGCGGTTGATCAAAAACAACTGTCAAATGCTAACAACTGCAACCTCGCTATACCGCTATAGTGACCTATAACAATATAATCATAGATGGCACGTGGTCCATCGAACGATACATCGAACGATGAGTCGACAAGTCTCGTAAATCTTCGGCAGTTCCCGCCTTTTGAAAAGCATCATCAATGGAGTTTAAGTATACACTTGATATTCTCAGATCAATAATCTATAAAAGAAAAAAACGAGATGAAATAAAAAGAAGAAAAAAGTTCGTATATAAAGACAGACAAAAAGAAGAGAAGCTCTATATAGTTGTTATTTTCGAAACAAGAACGAGAGGAGGAGGAAAGCAAGAAAATAGCCTACCCTATGTCTAAAAAAAGAGAGTAATAAATTATTTTTAAAAATATATATATAATTATTAATAAAATAATAATCTTAATTATACGAGATTATTTTTTGCAAATTAAACAATTACAGATAGTTAATATAAATAAATATGAATATAAATAATTAATATAAATCGATAAATATAAATAATTAATATAAATCAATAAATATAAATAATTAATATAAATAAATAATTAATTATTTGATTCTCAGATAATAATATTCAGATAATATAATTTGAACTTTTCTCAAGAGAAATATTCTCAGCTTTATTATTATTGTTTTATTATTATTGTTTTATTATTATTCTCAGCTTTATTATTATTGTATTTAGCTTCTAAATATTTTTTAAAATATAAATATACACATAATATACATAATTGCTGTGAATCAATCACAATCACTTTGCTCACTCATCTTTTGCTAGTGAATCGTGAATATATTATAAATTTTTCATGAATTTTATTGCACTTTACTTATTTTACTTTACTTTTGTGTTTATATTAATATTCAAACTCACCTATTATTCATAAAATTAATAATTTATTGCTATATGTATATGATATGTCTACCACACATTCACGCAGCATTATAAACTACACAATCTACACATACACGTAAATCTATCAGTTACTAGTCCATTACCGCTGCTGTGTTCGTGTGGTTGTGTGCATCTCGAATCTCACTACTGTACTATTATCTTAAATTGATCTCTGCGATGGCATCTCCCGAATCAAAATCACCTGAACAATCCGAAAAAAATCGAAAATACGACAGGCAATTAAGGTATGTTAGTTATAATAAATTTTGAGGTTATATAGCAATATTTCTGCCTTGTCTTTTTTTTTTCTCCTTTTCTATTTAAACAGACAATATTCTACCCTTTTCATAATTTTAATTATATTTCTCTCAAATATACTTGTTTCTTTCTTTTATTTTCATATGACAAAATATGTTATATTGTACAATCTCTTCGTATAATATGTTATATTGTACAATTTCTTCGTTGACAGATTATGGGGCGATCATGGTCAAGCAACTTTAGAAGCTGCTCATGTCTGTCTTATAAATGCCACTGGACTTGGTACAGAAATATTGAAATCGCTAGTACTTCCAGGAATAGGAGCATTCACTATAGTCGATGGCAAGAAGATTACTGTTGAGGATGTTGAACCTAAGTATATAATATTAATATTATAATTATTAAATTAATATTACACTCTTTATTTCAATGCGATATATTAAATGGATTTGAATTAGTTTTTTTCTAGAAGCAGACAGTGTTGGAAAATCTAGAGCACAAGTAGCCACTGAAATGCTTTTGGAGCTGAATCCAGATGTAACAGGTGATTACATTGATGAAGAGCCAGAACAAATTTTATCCAACAGTCCAGACTTTTTCAATAGCTTTACAGTGGTTGTAGCTACTGCACTGACTGAGAAGTAAGAATTCCGACAGTAAAATATTATAAAAAAATGTTAAGTAGTTAAATGTTAATTACACAAATATAATTTGTAAAAAATATTAAGATAAAATCAACTATATTACATATACTATATTCCTAGTATTAAATATTTAATATATATTTTTAAAAACACATTTTGACTTTTTAGAACATTGGTCCTTCTGTCAAAAAGGCTTTGGGAATTGGATATTCCTTTAATAGTATGCAGGAGTATAGGCTTTATTGCATATATGCGCATTCAAATAAAAGAGCATACTGTTGTAGAAACCCATCCAGACAACGAAACGCCAGATTTACGTCTAGATAGACCATTTGATAGCTTGAAGAAACATTTAGATTCCATAAATCTGGATGAAATGGGCTTCAAAGACCATTGTCATGTACCATATCTAATTATTCTATATAAATACTTAGAAAAGTGGATTTTGGAGCATCGTACTTTACCAAAACTGTATAAAGACAAACAACAGCTCAGAGACATGATTAAGAGTGGCATAAGACGTGATGAACATGATTCGTCTAATAGTGAAGAAAATTTCGAGGAAGCTATGAAAGCTGTGAATACATGTATAAGAGCGAGCGAAATTCCCGAAAATATTAAAAATATTCTAAATGATGATCGTTGCATTAATTTAACAGCAAAGGTATCAATGACACGTTTCTATGATTTATATATAATTTAGAAAATATGCATTCAAACTGATCGGTCTATTTTAGAGCAGCTCTTTCTGGATTATTGCAAAAGCAGTGCGTGATTTCGTTGATAATGAAGGAAAAGGACTGTTACCACTTAAGGGTACTCTACCTGACATGACTGCAGACACTGAAAAATATATTACGCTCCAACAAATGTATGAAACTGTTCTTTAAAAAACGATTATATATAAGGTTGTGCACAAAAAAATAGTTCAATTTTGTGTCGAATAAGAATTTAGAGAATTAGTTTCTTATTTAAAAAATAGCGAATATGTCAACGTAATATTAATGTAATAATTTAAAAATATTTGTAATATATTTAAGTAATTATTAATAATTATTACATTAATCATACACACAATATGGTTACAATATTATTAATAATGTTGAAAAACATTATTAAAACTTTTTCACTCATGATTTTATCACTCATGATAATCAAGATTGAACTATTTTTTTTTTCATATTTTTTTTAAATATCTTTTTTAAATATCTACTATAATTATATAGACTAAATGAATTTATTTCAGTTATTATAAGCAAGCATCAGCAGATGCAGAAGCAGTATGGCGACGTACTTTGCAATTGCTACGTCAATTGGGGAGACCATCAGATTCAATTTTAGAAAAAGATGTTAAATTGTTCTGCAGACATGCCTCAAATATTCATGTAGAGAAAGGAAGCTGTATTGCAGACGAATACGATTCCAAAGTTTTTGATACTAACATTATAGGTAATTATCTTTTCTTACAAAATTATTAAAATTAAAAAGTATTTATAATAAATTAATAATTTATAATTATAAAAAGAAAATCATGTAATTATATATAAATGTAATAATATGCAAAAATAATTTTTAAAAAAATTATATAATTATAATAGTTATATTGTAATTATGTAAAAAATAAATTGATCTTAATATGATTTCATATTTTTTACAGTTCAAAATTTGGAGACTCCAGAAAGTATGATGATCTATTATGTTATGCTCCGGGGAATGGATAAATTTCAAGCAGAATACAATTCATATCCTGGCGAATTCGATGACCAAGTAGAACCCGATATTGTAAAACTTAAGGTACCATCTTTTAATTATATTTATAATAGAATTATTTTGTATTATGTAATTACACAGTATTCTGTAACTGAGTTACATTACAGACATGCCTGACAAAATTATTAAGTGAATGGGGATGCGGGCCATTAGCTAAAGATGATTACGTGCACGAATTTTGCCGATTTGGTGGCGCAGAATTGCATTCTGTTTCGGCATTTCTAGGTGGTCTTGCAGCACAAGAAACTATCAAACTTATTACAAATCAATATAAACCTGTACACAATACCTTCATCTATGATGCTGTTACATCAAACTCTGGAACATTCTTTTTCTAAAACTGTTATGTGTGGAAAAAAATGTATCTACATTAATTAAAGTAATAATACAATTTTACAGCTTATATTAATTCATGAGTGAGTGAGTTTTTTGTTTTAGATTAAGTGACTTTTGCAAACGTTAAAGCTATTATTATCCTATTTTCATATCTTTATTATTCTATTTTGAACAATTTTCACACGATTATATATCTACAAAAATTTATTTAAAAAAGAAAAAAATATGTAATGTGAGTTTAATGATTTATTGTAATTTAAAAATTTTTTTTTAAAGCATATTGTATATTTTTTGCAATTTTCCTTTTTTTATATAATTTATACATATAATTTATACATATAATTTATATATATAAATTAAAACAAAATAACGCTAAATTTAAATTTCTCTTTTCTTATACATATATTATAGAACAAGGATAATGTATTTAAAGTTTCACAACATTTCTAATAGAATTAACATGAGTTTTGATAAATTTTATTTTGTAAAATAACAATATTAAAGTAGTTAAAATTTTACGATTTATTTTTGATCGACTATAAACAAGAATTATTAGATAAAACTTGAAATTTTATATACACATAGTTCGCTAGAAAATCGATTTCATGCATGCGCAAAATGTAACATTCAGATAATTAAATAAAATGCTACTTGGTTTTTTAAATTTAAAAAAATTTTTATTTCTCAAATTCTCTGTTTAAAAACATATTGATATATTATAAATGTATATTATAATGCAATTTGAGTTTTACGAGTAGAAAAAATGTACGTAAAATCAGCATCTAATATTTTTTCAAAAAATACACACGTTTTATAAGATATAATGGTTCAAATCTTTCTTATTTTTAGTATGACTTACTTTATATGCAGTAATTATAATTTATCTCGTTCATTCGCAGGATCTCGTTATCTTACATTCGCAATAACTCAAATATAAAAACTCAAATGCAGGTCATTAATTGCGTTCAAAAATCTTTTTGGAGTAGAGTTTTTTATCGACCAATCAGGACAAAATCTTCTAACTGGTCAATTAAATATTATTATACCAATCAAGAATAAGAGAAGCAGAAATTTCTTTATCTTGATTGGTCAATTAAATGCTATTCTATCCAATGAATGGATTTCAACGCAGTTATTGTTAACTCAAGGTGCAATTTCATTGACGCTAGAAACCAGCGGCAAATTAAAATCACTAAACTTTCTCTAGATATGGCGTCAATAAAATAAAGTTCAAACAGTTTCAACTTTTTCAGTGTGTAAAGCGACCTTTTCATTGACGCTACTTTTTAGCGTCAATGAAATTGCACCTTAACAGTTGGCAGCCCTACGAGATAGGCTGTGCAGCACTGCGCGTATATAAAATAAATTTGAAATCGCTTCTAGCCTAACCATCTTCACGCGATCGACTTTATTTGAATTGCACGGCATCGCATCGAATTATGATGCGGCGTCGATTTGTTCGAACGTAATTCGAGACATCGCGATGCTGTATAAGCGTCGAATGAGCACGAATTGTCACGCAAATATGATAAATCACATCTACTCACCGTTCACCGGCTGTTCCACAGGCCGCTCCACTCGCTCGCCTCGGGATGTCCCATTCCGATCTTGATGCACACGATATCATCAACGCGAACGCGCGACACTTTATTCGGCATTCCCGATATTCGCTCGCATTCGATAATCATCATCAAGGGCGCAAATAACGCGACGCGACTTCGCTCCATCTTCGCGATCGCGCTATCACTGAACTGTGAAAAATAGCTGTCGCGCACTTTCACCGACATATTATGAAAGTCGCGCGATCATCCTTGGACACTTTCGACGCTCTTTCACTCGCGATATTCGTTTAAAAACGGTTAAAAGACGCGAAAAATGCGGACGTACGACGATCCGTGTAACTGCGTATGACTCCGATTCACGTATGACGCGTATGACGTAGCAGTCACGCGCTAACATGGCGGCCGAACCAGTGCGCAGAAACGAATGCGCACTGGTTCGGCCGCCATGTTAGCGCGTGATTGCTACGTCATACGCGTCACTGCTACGTCATATGCGTCATACGTGAATCGGAGTCATACGCAGTTACACGGATCGTCGTACGTCCGCATTTTTCGCGTCTTTTAACCGTTTTTAAACGAATATCGCGAGTGAAAGAGCGTCGAAAGTGTCCAAGGATGATCGCGCGACTTTCATAATATGTCGGTGAAAGTGCGCGACAGCTATTTTTCACAGTTCAGTGATAGCGCGATCGCGAAGATGGAGCGAAGTCGCGTCGCGTTATTTGCGCCCTTGATGATGATTATCGGATGCGAGCGAATATCGGGAATGCCGAATAAAGTGTCGCGCGTTCGCGTTGATGATATCGTGTGTATCAAGATCGGAATGGGACGTTCCGAGGCGAGCGAGTGGAGCGGCCTGTGGAACAGCCGGTGAACGGTGAATAGATGTGATTTATCATATTTGCGTGACAATTCGTGCTCATTCGACGCTTATACAGCATCGCGATGTCCCGAATTACGTTCGAACAAATCGGCGCCGCATCATAATTCGATGCGATGCCGTGCAATTCAAATAAAGTCGATCGCGTGAAGATGGTTAGGCTAGAAGCGATTTCAAATTTATTTTATATACGCGCAGTGCTGCACAGCCTATCTCGTAGGGCTGCCAACTGTTAAGGTGCAATTTCATTGACGCTAAAAAGTAGCGTCAATGAAAAGGCCGCTTCATCATCTGGCCACGAAAATCCCGAGATTTCTAGAAACATTGAGATAATCTCGATTTTGTAAGATTAGGTTGGTATCTGCACGGTCTTGTGATCGAACAGCTGAAGAAAGCGAAGAAGAGGAAAAAGATTGGAGGTCTGATACTTCGAACAAAATAATTTCTGTATAAATTAACACAAAATCTCACCAAATAACAATCATGGTGGACCGTGCAAATATCAAGCAGATTATACCGGCATTGCCGGATGAAAAAATTGGTAATTATAATTCTATAATAGAGATTCATCTATTTGACAGAATGCCCCTCCCAGCAATATTTTTTATTGTTTAATAATTAATTCTCGTTATTAGAGTAAAGAAATATGCTAAATTATATTAAATAATTTTGATATTCCGTCTTTCCTTTTTTTGTATAGTATTCATATATTGATTTATGCAATTTTGCAGATATGCTGGCAGCTACAAGTGTGCTCCAACAGCAAGCTGCTGATATTAGAAATCAACGAATTAATTGGCAGTCATATTCCCAGTAAGTACTTATTTTTGAAAGACCTAAAAACTTCAAAATATTCTAATTAATAATATAAACTTAATGGTAAAAATATGGTATGATAACTTGATGGTAAAAAATCCAAGTATTTGTACAAGAAATATTTAATATTTTAAAAATATCTAATGTTTTTCTCAGATCTCAAATGATATCGAAAGAAGACTATGATTTTATAGCAGCTTTTGACACAAGTGATGCTAAGGCAAGAGAAAATAAGCTGAAGGAAAATCCACATCAGGCAGCTAAAACATTTCTTAATTTGCTTGGTCATATTTCAAAGGATCAAACAATTCAATATATTCTTACTATGATTGATGACATGCTACAGGTATAATTACATTTCTTTTTTCTTTTTTTATGTATAAAAACAAATGAAATTTTTTTATTATTCTTAATTATTTGTCATTCTGTCCCTAATAATTGAGATTTTAATGTAACGTTATTAATAGGAGGATCGTAATCGTGTGGAAATTTTTCGTGAGCATTCTACACGAAAACGAGAATCTGTTTGGGGGCCATTTCTTAATCTGTTGAATAGACAAGATGGCTTTATAATGAATATGACATCACGTATTATAGCCAAGTTAGCTTGCTGGAGTCATGATCTTATGGAAAAAACTGATCTTCAGTTTTATTTGACATGGCTCAAGGATCAATTAAAACTTAGTGTAAGTTTACTTTGACAAAATATTATATCAGGTTGCGCAAGTCAAAAGGCTATCAGTCTAATAAGATTCAAATCATATCAAATTATATTTATATTGCAATATAAAATGCTAATTCAAAAAACAATAAAGACATGATTTAAAAGTACAATTAATACTGACCATTTGAATTGCACAACTGTATATATGAATTTAATGTATACTTTTTGAATGATTGAATTTTTGTTGGAATATTAAAAAAAAAATATGCTTGTCTCATACATTAACAAGTGGTCTGTGCTTAAAGGTTACTATAATGTTAGTTGCTTTATATTTATCTACAGTTATTTTTGCATTATTATTTTAATATTATTGGTTTGTCTTTTGGATAAAATAATTTGTTCTAATGTGTGTGCTGCATGCAATCTATGTTTAGAAATCCAGCTATTTTATCATATTTGATGGTTTTTATGAAGATATAAGAATACTGTGTTTGATATTTATATTCAAGAATATGAATTTCTTATTAAAAATTTTATTGCTTATTTACTGCACTAACATTAATAATACTGTTTTATATATTATTTATTTAATATATTATAATATGTAATAATTTTTTTAGTATAATAATTTAGTATAATATGTTTTTTATAAATAACATTTATATACTAATCCAATAAATACACATAGTGGTAACTTGCAAATTATAGTTTGTACAAGTCTATGACAAAAATTTTACGAAAGCCATAAACTAACAATAGAGACATAACTAATTGAATAAGACAAAAAACCGATTTGTGACTGATTATTATGTAGATTTATCGCTTCGCGCAATTAAGCTTAAAACGGAGAAATTTCTTCGAGAATTATAGTAGAATTTGTGTAGATAAAAAATGAGATGGGGTTTTAGTTTGATGCCCTTCAAGATCACAAAGGCTTGCATGCGGGACTAGAACAAGACATTGCTGTGGAACAGGCCAAGGAGGCCCATGAGCTGCACGAATTGCTCAATCCGGTTGGTTTTGTAAAACGTCTTAATCACAGTAATATTACTTATTATTCTAAATAAAATATATTCTTAAATATATTCCCAACAAACAAATTACTGACTTATGAAGACGTTTAATCGTACACAAATATGTTATAAATTTCTTAAATTGAGACTAAAATTGATCAATAAACTTTAAACACGATGAGTTACGCATGAATTATGCTGTAGAGGAGCCTGTTTGGTGGATGTCATTTTTATATTTGTATATTTTTCTTAAATATCCTAAATGCTATATCTTATTTAAATGCTACTAATAGATACTAAATCTTTTTATAAAATCTATATCTATATATATTATGATTTTATATATGTTAATATAAGACATATATCTATAATATATATATATATATATATATATATATATATATATATATAACATCAAATTACTATCATATTTTTGCATGTAGCAACACATCAATTAAATATTTTTTAAATTAGAAAGAGAGATTTATTTTCTTTTTTTATCTTTTTTATCTAAAAAACATAGAAGGTGTACACATTATATTTTCTTTATTTAGAATAATGAATACATTCAATCAGTGGCACGTTGTCTACAAATGATGCTTCGTATAGACGAATATCGCTTTGCGTTCGTATCCGTTGATGGAATTTCAACTCTCCTCAGTGTTCTCTCTGGAAGGGTAAACTTTCAAGTGCAATATCAACTTATTTTCTGTCTGTGGGTACTTACTTTCAACCCTCTTCTAGCAGAAAAAATGAATAAGTGAGTAACCTTCCTTTTTCTCTTCTCCTTATACATTTTATTAAAAATGCTCATAATATTCAGTATAACCAGTATAATGTCTAAAATTATATCTTATATTGCAGATTCAATGTTATACCCATTCTCGCAGATATACTTAGCGATTCGGTCAAAGAAAAAGTAACACGTATTATACTTGCAGTATTCAGAGTAAGTTAGAATAGAGAATAAAAGAAAATATCTAGTATAATATAGAATTATATTTATACATATTATATATTGTTCGTATATTTTTTTATATTATAGAATTTAATTGAGAAAGTGGAAGATGGCCAAGTAGCTAAGGAACATTGCATTGCTATGGTGCAATGCAAGGTATTGAAGCAGCTTTCAATACTGTGTCAACGGAAATTCGATGACGAAGATATCACTGATGATATCGAATTCCTTAATGATAAATTGCAAGCATCTGTGCAGGATCTAAGTTCATTTGATGAATATTCAACGGAAGTGAAGTCTGGTCGTCTGGAGTGGTCCCCTGTTCACAAATCGGGCAAATTTTGGCGTGAAAATGCCAGCCGTCTCAATGAGAAGAATTACGAGCTTCTGCGGATTCTTGTTCATTTATTAGAAACCAGCAAAGATGCTCTCGTCCTCAGTGTGGCTAGTTTCGACATTGGCGAATACGTGCGTCACTATCCACGTGGCAAACAGTACGTTAATTTACGTTATAGAAAAACGTGCTCGTATTTTATTTCATATATACATTTTGATTATGCGACATTTCAAATTGAGAGTTTTTTGTTAAAATAATGTCTCGTGTACTTCAGTATAATTGAACAACTTGGCGGAAAGCAACGTGTAATGCAACTTCTCGGGCACGAGGATCCTAATGTTAGATATGAGGCTCTTCTTGCAGTACAAAAACTTATGGTGCATAATTGGTAAGTTATGAAATATTAAGAATTTTCCGCACTTTTCATTATTGGACTCTTTTCTTAAAACAATCAATTTAATTTTACTTTTTTAAATTATTAATTTAATTTAAATTATCAATTTAATTTTTTAAATATTTTCCATGTATATGTGTATAAATTTTATTGTTTGACGTCTATATGTAAAAATTCCATAATTCATAAATTTATTTTTTAGGGAGTATCTTGGAAAGCAATTAGAGAAAGAACAAACAGGTGTATCTGGGACGTCCACTAATAAACCTGGAGCACAAGTGCCGGCAAAAGCCTGAACATCATTCAACTTGTATAAATCACTTTTTCCGTTCGGAAAAAAAATACGAGAGTATTATAGAGAATTTGCGCGCGTGATATAATCTACATCCGTTTATGTAAAGCGCTTGTATAATTCGAGATATTTACATTCCCTTCCATTCTGTATTATTGTAAAAAAAGAGAAGATATAATTGTGAACTCCCATTTTTCGTGCAATCCAATTTTGTAAAATAATTTTTGGTTATATATATATATCCACTCTCATGTATATACAAACTTATATATACGGACGTTTTACATTGCGAATGTAATGAAGTATATAAACGTCAATGTAATGAATCCCGTCACGTGTAATATATTTTAGCTTTATGTATAGAATCTGTTCTTTGGGATGTTAAAGAGAATAAAATTTTATTCTGTTGAAAAACCTATGTATTTTCGCGGTTACTTAAACTTTTCTAAATTTCAATTTAACATTAATATTACAGGACGCCAGTTGTATTAAAAGAAACCTAAAGATATATGGTATCTCGATCTCATTTACATTGTCTTCTTCACCGCACAGACGGCATCTTTTATCATCCTCTTCATGTGTACTGTTCATGATTAATTCCGGTCCGAGTATTGAACCGCATTTTTGGCATGCTAAAGACTACAAATAAATATTTTTTATAATCAAAGAATCTTAAATACGTACTTTGTATGAGTAGGATTTATTTGGTGTGATTGGCATATATTAAAATATTAAAGTAATATTTTTTGATGTTTACCGTCATTTTATCGGAACAATGAAAGAGACGATCTTGAAGAAGATACGAACAACCATGAGAGATCAAAGCGTCTCGTTCCATCTCCCCAAATCGAACACCGCCGCCTCGTCGACGACCTTTAATAGGTTGCCTCGTTAACTGATCTATTGGCCCAGTACTTCTTACCTGAAAATGATATACAATTTCAGAGACGGAAATGGATTTTGTCGATTTCAAATCGATATATAGGAAAAAGAAAATTAATAGAAACACGCAATTGCGCTAAAGGAAATTATAATAAGTAAAAACAAAGAAATTGCATAAAATAATGAAAACAAATTTTTGTTAAACTGATACAAAAATAAAAACAAATTAATTACCTGCCACTTGTCTGAAACCATGTGTCGCAATCTTTGATAATGGACCATACCAAAGAAGATGCTGGCCTCCATCTCACATCCATATATACCCGAATACATTCTTTCAGTTCCATAATAATTATAGCCACCAAGTTCCAATAATCTCCCAAAATAGTCTATGGCTGTATTCTCCTCATCGAATTTAAAGGGTGTAGCATCGTGAACTAGTCCATGCACAGCTGCTGACTTCCCGGCCATCACTTCGATCATCATAGCTGTAATATAAAAACAATACAAAATTGTATTCTTTCTTACAAAAAAAATACTGTCTTATATTAAAATAAAATTAGTTTTTAATATTATAAATACATTTATGCTTTTGCCTAAATTGAAAAATTTATCAAAATTTCTATCTCATACTATAGATAATTTAAATGGCATAGAGTAAGACTTGCAAGCTCACCTATTGTCATACGACTTGGAAATCCGTGCGGATTGAATATAATATCAGGGACCATTCCGGTCTCTGTGAATGGTAAATCTTCGGCAGGATACAACCGCGAAAGGATTCCTTTTTGTCCTGCCCTTGACGCAAATTTATCTCCAACGATAGGATTTCTCTGAAAATTTAATGCATTTAAAAAACGCGTTTATTGTTTATATATATATAAAATTGTACTAACAGGAATACGGAATGTGATGCATGCTCTTCGAGGATCTTGAGTGTTAAATGATCCACATAACTTCACATTGTCGATGTAAGTATTTTCTGTGCTTTTATATCGTCCAACAACATAATTAGCATTATCAGCATCATAAAAACTGTAAAATTCACAAATTTGATGAATTTTTAAACTAAAAAATAATGATATATAACAAAGCGATATATATTAAAACTGAAAGGAGTATTTACCAATAATACGGATCACCCTCTTTGATAGAAGCACCTATAATAGGTAAGCCATCAATATCTAACGTTTTTCCGAGTTCAGGCTTGTCCGGATCACAAGCGAAATAACTTTTCTTATCTTTCAAATCAACAAATTCAGATTTATAGACTGTTCCGTATCCGAAACCACGTTCATAGGACGCCTTGTTGATAACCATTGCGTCTTCCATATCATATCCCTGTATATCCAGTTATCAATGATATAGGATAAAATTGCGAACAATTTTTGAATCTCTGATATATACGAACATACTGACATATTAGAAACATAGTAATAATGCTTACCGTATACGAAATAACAGCAATTATTGCATTGGTACCCATCGCATAATCGTCCATATTAATATTATCATAATGCACTGGCCTAAAGAGAGGCGCAGCAGGCGTTTGTAATCTGTACAATTTTGTTTGCGACTGCTGTTGCCAATTATAACATGGTGTACCCATTGTTTGCTTACCCATCTGTGAGATCGAAAAAATATTTGAAATTGATAAATATTTTGACTTGTTATTAATTCATAATCTATATATTCATAGTCTGTATCTTACAAATAGTTGTTTTATAATTGGAACAATTTTTATTCAAATCTCTATGAATTATTATTACTGTATCATTATTAATTATAAATTATTAATTTGTAGTGAAACAGTGTCTACACGTACATACGAGAACACAAAAATTATCTTAACATAAAAAGATTTACCTGACATTGATACATGTTTCTTGGACTCTGATTACAATCTGGCAATGGGATAAGTTTAGCTAAATTGCTGAAGATGGTTGTCTGACTCACTTCTTGATGAGTTGTTAACTAGTAAAAAGGAATAGTTTTTTTATCATTAAATATAAAAACAACAAAAATAATACAAAAAACATAATGTATATTTACCCCTGGGTAAGCTTCTTCAGGAAGCACACAAATATCCATATAAATTTGTTCAAATGTTCCAATAAGTTCAATCTGTTGTACAGCTAGATTTATCACTGGCCTCATCATTCTAGTTGCATTAGTAAATAAAAATAATCCCGGATATTGACTTGGAACCTTCCTCTTTGGTACAAGTGCAATTTCCAATGTTGATGGTATCTAAAGATAAAATTACCGATATATATGTAATTATAAACTGAAACATGAGACATTGTGCTCTTAACTTACTTCTTGGCCCTTTATCTTCAGCAATCTCAATCTATAAACTACTTTATTAATAATCTTGTTTTCGATCAAACCGATGACTTTTCCATCTAACATGACAGTATATGAATTTTCCCAGTTGTCTGCAATAGACAATGGAATCATTCCAAGCTCTATCAATATCCCAGGTATCGCAGCTTTCAAATTTGGATCTGGATGTTTTGTGACAATGCAATTCATAGTCAAATGATTAAGCAAACCACATGGAGCACCATCTGGCGTGTGTATTGGACAAATAAATCCTGTAAATAAATGATAATATTATAATTGGTATATATTTATTTTGATTTTGTTAATTGGATTATGATTATAATTATATAATATATAATAATTAAAAAAAAATCATTGCTTGTATTTTTATTTTTTTTAAATCATGCTATTTTTCAATATTTCTAATATTCTCTATTGTTACAGAAAAATTATAATAGGATTGTTAATTACCCCATGCATCAGGCAACAATCTTCTAACTTCAGTAGTCCGCATTCCTTGAAAGAATGCGCCTCTATGTATTGCACGAAAATGACTCATATAGCGCATCCTGTTAATATTTTCCACAACAACTGTGAGGCCGGAGTTTTGCATGAGACCTATACTGGAGGATGATCTTATGCTTCCAGTAGCTAAGAAATACTCCATTTGTGCATCAATATTGCTTCGAAATTTGGTAATCTTCAACATTTCTTCTAAATAGGTAAAAAAAAAATCAATCACATACATATGACTTTATTTTCGTAAGAAAATTTATTCTCAAATTTATAGAGATAAAATACTTACGCAGAGTTAAGATGTATTTATTACCAGCACTTTTGGCAAGTTTGAGGATATGGATTTTGACATTTGTTAGCCATGACCATAATTTCTCTTTGAGAACTTGCAGATACAAGTGTCCGCCTAGCAAACATTCTTGCATCATTACAGAATCTACACCTTCAACAGCGCATTTATTACCAGCAAGAGTGAACAATTTTTTAGTCATGAATACAAGTAAATGAAATTTATCAATAGGTTCATCAAGATGAATGGCAACACAATACCTATATATAAACAAACAAGTATATAATGATAAAATTGAAATTTATGAATGAATTATATATAAAAGAATAGATAATTTAATGAAATACAAACTCACTTAATAATGTAATTACAGACATCTATGTCAGTTGCATCTGCAGGTAATTCAGAGAATTTTACTTTAAATATTTTTCCTACATATGCTTTACATTGTTCATGCCAATGTAAACCTTCCTCATGCAAATTACGTAACATATTCATAACACTATTATTGTAATAGTGATCATCTTCACATCCAGCAATTAAAGTTTTGTAAATATACACATCAGTCACATCTATCAAACATTTTATCATCAATATTAATGGTACATAGTAAGTATTATTTTTATGAGTAAAAGCGAATTTTGCAGAACCATCAGTCACATAATGCAGCGTATTATTCTGTAAAGAATACATTTAATTATATATACTTAGATCTAGATTTATATATATTTATATATGCATGATATTCTCTCACATACATGTAAAATATATGGCACATTCTCTTATATACATATAAAATTATTGCAATTTTTTATAAAAAATACTTTTGCTCAAATATACATACAGTGGCAGTGTTATCTTCTTGAACACTTCTCAAAAAAATACCTAAATCGCTAAATTGTTCACCACGAGTTTTCCAGATTGGTCTCTTTATAGCAATGGGATAATTTCGTCTCGTCATTATTAACATGCGTATAAGTCGTTCAATTCCTCTAACTATAAAGTATCCACCCCATTCTTGTTCATGTTCACCATGAGCAACTAATTCCTTTGGACTCATTTTGTTTAGGTGACATCGATTAGACTACAAATATTACATGTTTTTATAAATTGCAATGCAACATAAAAATAGATAATATATTAAAATGCAATTATATAAAAAATAAATAAGAAAATTTGGCATTTAATCAGAAAATGGAAGAACAAATTTGTTATTCCTTACTCATTTCGATTATATCAGTTTTTTATTATTGTTTTCTCAAGATTGTATAAGAAAAAATAAATTTTGACTTATTTTGTTTAAAAAAAATTTAACATCAAGATAAAAAAAATAATTCTTTTTAAACTTACTATGTCTATAGATACTAATTTTATTTTTTTCAATGTGTATGTCTATGTGTATGTGCACTTATGAGAAATCCACTCATTTGTTAACAATAATTATTGATTAACAATTAATAAGATCCTAGTTTTTATGTTTTACCTTAAGCATAATTGGAATTCCTCCTAAATCCGACTCAAGAGCTTCTTGTTCTTTACCATTTATGGACCATTTAAGTTTCACTATTATTTTACCCTTGTAAGTGGTACCTCTCTGACGACTTTCTGTTGGATATACTTTATAATTCTTCACACCAATTGTACCAGAAGGTACAGTAGGTTTATGAATTTGTACATCGTCTAGCCAGAGGACTACTTTATCACCATTAGGAAGAGTTAAATACACTGGACTATCATTTTTTATACCTTGTAGGCCATCTTCTAGCATGTAATTAAAAGAGTCAATATGAGGTGCACCTAGAGATTGTAATAGCTGAAATAAGTAGAAAAATTAATTGTAGTAGTTTGTATTGTTTTTTGGAGTAATTTATTTCTGTAATATATATGGATAAAGATCCTCAATAAATATATATAATAATAATACTTTGTTAAATTTTTTTTATAGTATTATTATTTTTATTATAGTATTTATATAATCTTGCTTAAAAGACCAATTAAAATTATGTGTTTAAGTTTATAATGACTTATAAGAAAATAATTTTAATCATATTAGCAGTAACAATGTATTAATTAGCAGTAACAATGTATTTAAATTGTGATTTAGAAGAAAATAATTTTAATCAGTTATATGTAGTGTGTTGTGTATAAAAAATTATATATACGATTTTATCATTTATATTTTTAAAAAATACATATTTACACTTTGTTATAATATTTACTACTTTGTTATAATATTTATATCATTTTGCTTTAAAAAAACAATGTATTTAAATTATAATTTATAATAATTTTAAATTATTGTGTGTAGAATGCTGTGCATTCACATGTAAATACACGATCATTTATATTTTTATATAAAGAATACATACCCTATTTTGTTTTTCAGGTGGCTTACCGAAATCCGGCGACGTATTCGTTAATTTAGGTTCCAGCAATATATCCGATATATCCATTGTAAAATATATTTTTTTATTACTTTTTACAAAATTCACGTGGTCATATATAAAAATATCAGCCTCTAAAGAAAAATCTCGTCCAATTTTCAATAATGTACCATAAACTCTGTGCATTAGGATAAGGTTACATTAGTATGACAAAATGTAAAACGCATTGATTGGCTGTCGGATAGAGATTTCTCGAGTCTCTAGTCTCTATCGGGATTCTAATGGCGTTTCGAATGGTCGGGTTTGACCCGACCCGAGATAATTTACTAGACGTCATTGACCAATCACAGCCATTCTTCTGAAGAATGTATGATTTCATCATTGGCTGCATTCAGCGGACTCAACCGTTAAGTAGCACTTGAATATGATTGGTCTCTACTTTCCGGTCCGACCAATCAGCGTCGAGTTACATCGGAAAATTTAGTAATGTTGCCCAACTGTTGAGTCCGCTGAATGTGGCCATCAAACCAGTTGTTGGCCTGAATATACTGATCGCTTCTAGATCAGAAGTGGCCATAAAAATTCAAAGAAGAAGAAGAAGAAGAATGTGGTCATTGGCTGCGTTCAGCAGGAAAAGCTGCTTCGTAACTGTTGTAAAATTCGTAAATCTGATTGGTGTATGCTTAAGGCCGCAGCACACACTTTTGCATAAGCGCATAATCATAAGCATAAGAAAATTGATTGGTTCATTTTCTTATGCATATACTTGGGGACCAATCAATTTCCTTATGCTTATAGTTATGCGCTTATGCAAAAGTGTGTGCTGCGGCCTTTAGATTCAATCAAAATTAAGGCCGGTATTCATAGTCCGATCTTATATTTAAGATCATCTTAAGTTCATCTTTAGATAATCTGTAGCCAATAAAATAATACATACAATATTTAAAGATGAACTTAAGGTGATCTTAAATATAAGAACGGACTATGAATACCGGCCTAAGAGCGTGCACCAATCAGGCTCACGAATTTTACACAGTTACAAAGGAGCTTTTTCTACTGAACGTAGCCATTCTAATGTACGAACAGGTACGAAGTTCATGGTGCATCACGTGATACACCGCCATACATACTTATGTGTATTCTGTAATATTTAAATAGATATAAATTAATGAGAGGTTAGATTCTTCGTAAAGTGTGTATATCTTAACATATAATTACAAACAGCAGCTTTATTCATATATTCTTTCTTTTAGTTACATTATAAGATTTTGCTTTAAAGTAGCAAGTCATTCATGCATAAATACAGCAAGCAAATAATTATACAATTAATAGATAACTTTATATGCACATATATGTGCATATAAAAACTACAAATAAGATGAACGCTTATTACAATTATATACATATATATATATATATATATAAAAATACAAAAGTACCTCTCGTGATATAAAATATAAATGGAAAAAGAGCACATATATAGAAATTTCAGAAAAAAAATTAAATATTCAAAGATAAATGTCCAAATGTATCCATGTATCTTAAGACATATTTAAGTATGAAGTAAAATGTTTTGTGGCATTTTTCATCGATTGACATGTTTCTGAATCTAAATTATAATTCATGTTAGCATAATTTATATTAATGATTAGACCTTTGTCGAATTTATCTAATCTCTCAGTATTTATACTTGCAAATGTAGAATAAGCAATTCCTAATTCAAAGTGAATAATTTTGCAAATGTACAATTCTTCCTTTTTTTTAGCTTTTGGATGTAATTCCTTAATGGCATCTTCCAAGTGATCTATTTGCCGTTTATATAGTTTTATCAGATTGTCTTTCGAATGTTCAAAATATGCAAGATACTTGTAGGCTTTAGAAATTTCTAATAACGTCTGTCCATAAATTACAAAATTATTTTCTATAGTAAAATATAATTTTGCTGTATTAAGCCATTTCAAAATATTCACAAAAACTGTTTTGGCGTCATTAATATTTGATACATATGTATCTGTGATTGTACTAGTAATATTTCTTAAATCCTTTTTGAAGTCAGTAAATAATAAAAAATCTGTTATATTCTTTTCAGAACTCATAAGAGATTCTGATTTTGAATTATCAGTTTTGCAAGATTCTTCATTTCTTTGGAACAATTTCTCTTTTGATGAACATAAAAGTTTATTTCCATAGGTAGCCCAATATCTAGCAATATTAGCATGAGCATTTTGATATTTATCAAGCATTAAAGTATAATATTCAGAGGAAATTGTTTCATTTATAAATTTATGAAATTCTTCCATTATATAATCAGCAGCAGCAAGATGATGTCTAGCTTCAGTAAAACGATGATTGCATAAGAAATATTGGGTTAAATCAATTGATGCTAAAGCCCAATAATAACATCCTACATTTTGAAACTTCATTGTTTCAGGTATTTCTTTGTTCAATAAATTATGTATGTATATTACTAATTTATCATCATTTTTAGGCGAATCTTTATATCGTTTTACTAAATAATCTACAGTAGTTAAATAAACGTCAGCTAGCAAAAGCCGAGAATTTGATTTTTCTTTCTCAATACCAAGAATGCTTGGAATATTAATAGGATTGGGATACTTGTTTTCTTCCTCTGTGTATTTCAGATATAATTCCATTGCTTCATATAATAATTCAGATGTCTTTGGTTTCTGTAGTTTGTTCAAAATACATTGTAATTTAGTGTATACTTCTATAGATGTTAAAATAGCTTTACGGTCCAACTCTTTTCCTTTTAATAGTTCAATACATCTCATGAAATAGTTTTTACCAGCACATAATTCATTCTCTTCTTTAGAATCAACGTATATTAGACCCATGTTAAGATAAGCTATTGCAAGAACTATAATATTATCTAATGTTACATTTGTTGTCATAGTTGTACTTCGAAATAAATCTTCCATTTTAGCTTCTAGAGTTTTAATCTTTTTCTTTGTTTTAAAAGGTATTTGCTTCATTTGTGAGTTTTTTATTTCAAACGATAATTTTAAAACTTGTAGAAATTTGCTGTCAACATTTATATCTTCATGACTCTCAACCGAGTTTGCATCTTCTAAAAATTAACATTAAAAAATTATTTCGTATAACAGTTTATAACAAAATCATTTTTGTATATTACCAGATTGAAGAAATTCATAAGTTCGATATTTAATGATATGTTCCACAATCGCAAACATTATTTAGCTTAATATATTAATATATTATTTAGCTTAATGTATTAATAATAAAAATTTTTATCTCAATTTATATAAAACCGTTACATATAACTATGATGTGCTTGATCTTATCTCACTTATGAAACCGTTACATGTAGCAAATACATATACTTGTAAGTAGGGGTTTTTCATATAATACTCTTTGTTTTGTTGATTTATGTTTATAGATACAAGGAGTTTTTCAGCGAGAAAACAGATAGATATAATGTCAAGTAATTGGCTATCTAATAGAGAATTTGTAATGTCCCCCGAAAATTTTTGATAGCCAATCGTGACATTGTGTTTATATTTGTTTCTTGGAAAGTTCCCTAAAATTAAGGCTCGATAGAGCTGATTATTCGACTCCAGAAAAATCGAAAATGAGATAGAAATAAAGGAATTATTCTTTCTCTTTTATTATTTATTCCTCGCCATCAGAACATTATAGACGATATATGTATAGGAAGCAGTTCTATTGCATACTCGAGACGAGCCACCTGTTGATTGAAAGAGGGAAGTTCACACATGACTGAGCCACAGGCCACAGTGACTGAGCATATTTGCCGGGTCAGTGTATATTTATATATACTTGGAAATGCGATAATTAAAATTATTGCCTAACAATCGAAAATCTTTATTTATTATTGATTAAAAGATTTTGATCGAAATCGTTTTTTTTTTGTAGAAAGTTTATTTCGCTGCGAGTTAAAATTATACGGCGTAATAATGTGTCTCTTTGATTAACGAAGATCCATAGTATATGTGACCAAAAAGTTGAAGTCTTATTAAATTGAACAAAAAAATAGAATAGAAAATTGGAGCTGTGCAATTCTTATTGAAACTCTTATAACAGATGGAGCAACAATTCGACAAAAATGTGATATAAAACTCGACAAAATTCTCTTCATTCCATGACATAGCTTGAAAATTTAACAGTTTTCATACGAATAGGAACATCATTCAAGATCAGTGACCATTCCCGATTCACATCATCAAGAATAGGTCTCAAGAATTGTCTTTCATCTTTATCTTTCTTGTTTTTCTCGCTATTCTGCGATTTATTTCTGCAAGTCGAGTTATATAGCATCATCCAGCAATCATGGAACAATCTGAAAAGAAAGTCAAGAATTTTGAAGTCATTGTGAAAAATCTTATAGCTGGCGGTGAGTCACTTGAAATTCTTCAAATATCTCGTTTCATAGTTTTTTATTAAGAGATTATACGTTTTATAAATTAAGACGAAAAAAAGAAAGATAGAAAATAGTTTTATAAATAAAATAGAGAGCTACAAAAGACTGTTTTAAAAAAGTTGTCAAGTTTCGTAATTTTGAATTTTATTTATATTAATTTATATATTATATTTATTATATTTATATTTATTATATTATTATAAGGCCACTTCAGATTGTCCTCTTTGTTTTTTCATTTTATATTAGGAATAAAAGTACAATGTTTTATTTAAAAGATGATCTTTATTTAAAAAAATAAAAATTTTCCATTATCCTTATATTTTATGTAAAAAAAAAGAAAATTCTGTAATGATTTTCTCTTATATGGTTTTGTAATTATTGTATAAAGTATTGTATAAAGTACAAATATAAAAATAGATATAATATAGATATAATAATAGAGATATAATATAAATATAGATATAATATATCAGAATTACTTTTTTATATATTTTTACGTTTCAAAATGTTTTTAAAGATCTTAATATTTGATAAGTTAGAGATAATTTGAAACACTTTGTATTCCTTTATATAAAGGTATGTGTAAATTATAAAATTTTATATTATAAATATATATTGATATATATTGATATATATTATAGGTGTAGCTGGTATGTGCTCAAAAACAACTGTAGCACCTTTAGACAGAATAAAAATTTTATTACAAGCACAGCATGAATATTATAAACATTTAGGTAAAAATTTGAACTCTTGTTAATATATGAATGCTAGTAATGTAAAATATGAATTTATAACATATGTAAATATGTGTGTGTGTGTGTGTGTGTGTGTGTGTGTGTGTGTGTGTGTGTGTGTGTGTGTACACATATACATATGTATATATACATATATACATATTTTATAGGTGTCTTCTCAGGATTAAAAGAAGTTGTTCGACGTGAAAATTTTCTTGCTTTGTATAAAGGCAATTTTGTTCAAATGATTAGGGCTGTACCTTATGCTGCAATACAATTTACAGCATTTGAACAATATAAAAAGGTAATGAATAGATTCAATATTAGAGATCATTCAAATTCAATGTATCGTTAAATAATATTTAAATAATATTTACGTGAATAAATCTTAAAAACATATTTGCATACTGAACAAAGATATTTTCATAAAGATATTGACTCTAGAGATATATATATAGAGAGAGAGAGAAATAATTTAATATAAATAATTTAATTAAAATTAATTAAAATTTTCTATGAGAATTATAAATACAGAGCAATAAATGTACAATAAATCACAGAGTAAATACATAACAGTTTCAGCTATATCACAATTAATTAGCTAAATACTGTGATTTTATATATAGTATTTGAAATTTTATATATAATATTTGAATTTTCAGATTCAGTTCTTCCTGTACTCCTGATTTTAAATTTTCTATCATGTCGTTTTAAATGTTTGAATAATTTAAAATTATTTTGATTTTAATTAAATATTTTAAATTCCTCCTGTATTGACGAGAAAATTAACTTGGCGAAAAATATTAATGAGAATAGCCGAATTTGAATCTCTATTTTTTCAGCGAATTATCAATCTGTTCATTCAAAAATTATCATCTGTTCAATCAAAAATTAGATGTGAATATATAATAATATAGAGCAAATATGATAAGTCTTCCTAAAATAATTATTAGTAAATGGTTTAAAATACTGTTATATCTTAAATACTTACACTAATATTTGACCAATTATTTGCTAGACTATCATAACTGAAAGTATTATATATTTATACTATATTATATGTAAATAGTCGAGCTCTATTTAGCCTCGCTAGGCTATAAATATATAAAAAAAATTGATGTAACATTTATATAATTTTGATTAGCGTTTAGGAAAATTATTCGAGCAAGATTCGCATATAGATGGATTCTTAGCCGGAGCTGCCGGAGGTGTCACAGCAGCTGCAATTACATATCCACTTGACACTATCAGAGCAAGATTAGCCTTTCAAGTTACTAGTAATACACTTTATTCTGGAATTAAACATGCTGCTGTTAGAATGTTTAAAGAGGTAAATGACACAATTTATTTCTAATTTTATTCTTTAAAAAATATATTTAAAACTTATAAAAATTTTATTTGTGCCTTTGTGTCACAATAGTAGAATTGCCTTAATTATATAATTCATATTATAAATTAAAATAATTGTTGAAGTAAATTTTGAATATAAGAATGAGCTCTCAGACTTCAAACCTGCATTAAAAACATATAGATAAATCGTATATATATTGATATATAATGTAGAGAGATTCAATCTTCCAAACATTCTTATATAAAAAAATTTTACTAACTTTTCATAACTTGAATGTTTGTATTAAAATAAATTAATAGATTTAATAGAAAAAGAATATTTCAGGAAGGTGGTCTGCGAGCATTATATAGAGGATTCTGGCCAAATATGTTGGGCATGATACCTTATGCAGGATTTTCCTTCTATACATTTGAAAAATTAAAATATCAGTGTTTGAAATATGCACCACATTATCTTTGTTCTGAACATAAAGCAACTGGTGAGTTAAATTGCCCATTTTCTAAACATAAGAATAAAGATGATTGCTCCTATCTAATTTACTGTAAGCTAAAAATATCTGCTTGAACAAAAAAAAAAATACTTAGTAGAATTCGCCATTCTTTTCTAAGGGCATGAAGTAACCTTAAATTTTTGATAAAAAAAAAGAAAAATATAGTTCATTGGATGCATCGTTTTGTTGCATCATGTTTGGCTCGTTCAATGATCTATACTTCCTATGTATGCATTATTTTCTGAATCTAACAAGAATATAATGATGGAGTTACAAAATTCTTCTATTAATATCTCTTATTCTCTTCTTCAGAGCCGAATAATAACAATTAAATTACAATAGTTTTTTTAAATTAAACTTCTTTTTAAGAAAAGGAAATTTGTATTATTTTTTATTTCTTTTATTGGGCTTGTTTAATTTAAAGTTATGTTTTCTTTTCAAAGAATTTGTCAATCACATATTTAAAGAATTATTTATGAATTAAGATCGAAAAATCAATGTTATTAATTATAAATAATAAAAATAATAATATATTTCATTGTTGCAGGTAATCTTATATTAACTATACCAGCAAAACTTTTATGTGGAGGCGCTGCCGGTGCTGTAGCACATACTTTTTCTTATCCATTGGACGTTACAAAAAGACGTATGCAATTGGCAATGATGAATCCAACTACACATAAATATGCGTAAGTAATATAATATAACAATAATCCATAAGAATTTTAATTGCATCAAAAATTGAAACAGTTCTTTTGTAATCTTGCAATATTTTTTTCAATTACTATTGTTAATATATATGTTCAAATATCACTAATGCAAAAATTTAATAAATTTTAGTAAATTTATTTACTTAAATATTATTAATTCATAAAATTAATATTCTCAGATCTGGAATGTTTTCTACTATTAAGATGATATATATTGAAAATGGCATTGTAAAAGGCTTATATCGTGGAATGAGTATTAATTTCTTACGAGCAATTCCTTTCATGGCAGTTGGTTTTGCAACATATGAAGTGACAAAGCAAATGCTCAATTTAGATACAGGAGTAAGATTATAATTAATATACGTAATATAGATTATAATAATATTACATAAAATAGATGATTAATTCTTATACATTTTATATATTTGTATATCCTGTGAAAAAAATATAATAAAAATAATATACAATTTAACTAATGAGTTAACTGATTATAAAGTACAGAATAACGAACAAATAAACTAATATATATATATATATATATATATATATATATATATATATATATATATAAAATTCAAGAAATCAAATCAGTGTTTTTATTTAAAAAATGTATTGTATGATATTAAAATTTTATATTATTTTTACGAAAATGTGCTCAATCTGAAAGATTACTAACTGAATATCATCTAATACAAATAAATTTAAAGAAGATTTTATTTAAGTAGTTTTTAATTTTTCAATCGATACTTTATATGTATCTGCAATTGTGCAACTTACTCTCAACTATGTACAATTATGATATATTTTGTAGAAATAGATATTTAAATATAACAATCTATATTGAAAATGAATATCGAAGAAATTAAGTTATATAAATTATTAAAATTTTTTCAATACGAAATTATTTACTTGTAAAAAACAAATATATATTTTTTTACGTACTATTTCAAAATGTATTTGTACATGGAGATATATTTTATTGTGATATGACTTAATGACTTTTTTCGTTATTAATAGATGCAAGTATTAAATAAACTAATAAAAATGTCTGTGTACATGCATGTGTGTGTGTGTGTGACTTACAAAGATTAACAGTTCAAGTAACAAATGATTAAAAACATGCATAAAGAATGAGTCTTACATGAAACATGCATTCTTTTTTCCAAAATGTTGTGAATATCTAGAGCACAAACAAAACTCTGTCTAAATGTGACAATATCGTTTTATTTTTGTAATTCCTTATAACAAAATGACATTGTATAATTATATGTTCATGGTATTTTTTTGTTCCTTTTCATAAATCTGGATTTATCTAATACCAGATTTTTGGCAAGCTATATTAAAATATTCAAATAAAACTTGTCAAATAAAAGAATATTGCAAGCTTAATTTTATGCTAATTTTATGTTAGCATATCAATTTATATATATGTATGTATGTATGTATAAAAGTATTATTTCAGAAGTTAAAGTATTATAAAAGCTATCACAAAAATTTTTAATTTGAGATATACAAAATTTGCTCCATATATTTATCATAATAATCAAACTAAAAATATATCAATTTTCAAGTTAAATCTAAGATAAAATCAAGTTAAATCTAAAACTTTAATTTCGCAAATAGTTAAAATTATTATATGTATTTTATGCAATATAAATATTTTCAACATGTATATCAATAAAAAATATTAATATTGTAAATGAGTTTTTATAAGTACATAGTAACTTTTTAATATATCCCATACCATTATGAAATCAAATTAACAACAATAATGTGTGTAGAAGTTAATATACTAAGTATATTTTCAACGAAACATTTAGTAATCTATTGTTTTTGTCCATATTGCATATATGCATTGAGAGAAGGCAATAAATAGAGCAAATATAAAATGAATTATACTAGTTGTTGGTACCTATTATTTTGCTGTCATTTTAATTAAACTTCGTCGCATTATAATATTACAACTGCATTTTTGTTTTAGGAAAATTTATTCTTATTATTATAGAATTCAAGGAGAATATATTGTATACGCTTGTTTGTGTGTAGAAAACGAAAAAAAGAAAAGAAAAAAAAAGAAAATGCTCAGCCTGCATTGTGCAGAAGAAGAATTGCGAAGTTATCTCCGCGCTGCATCCTATGCCGTGCTATGGATTTACAGTCTTAATTAAATTGCTATGTAATGTGCATCTTACACATTTCAAGTTTGTCCATCCATTGTCGTCGCTATTGTAATTGCTTCATCATGCATTATATTCAAATTGCAATGCTTATTCTTATAAATACATCTGTATGTATGTATGTTTTTCATCTTTTTAGCCGCCCATCATACACGATGCTCCTGCACACATTCAATGAGTATGAAATTTGACACAACACATTGGATTGCTTTGGCTTGCATTACACATGTTTATTTACCAGAAGCATCATTTTATATCTATTAATTAATAAAAAGATCATTGGTAGGTTTACAAGCAATTTTTTTTCTTTTAGTTTAACCAATGTGAATGCATAGATTCACTCGGTATAAAATACATATTTCACTTTCAGAGGCAGATAGAGTTGATGCAAAAGTTTTCCATTATGTTTCTTAAATTATCACTCAATTAGTAATAATATATAACTCAACTTTTCATAATTGTAGTTCATAAATTAAACTCATGTTCATAATATAAAAACATGGTAGTTGATAGAAAAATTAATCAAAGACCAATTAAATTACACTGTATATCATTAATACATAAATATTATTTTTTCTAAATGAAATAAAAACATTTCACAAGTGCAAATGTAAATATATAATTCTCATGAATTTTTCTTTTATTATACAACTGCGTGTTATTCCGCAAAAATAATGTTATGAATTAATAAAAAACAATTTTCCACTGAGAACAAGATTTACATTCACACATTTTGAAAGTTTTTATATCATTAAAATAAAAATATTTATTTTTTGCGTTAAAAATAATGAATATTACATATAAAAATGTGACTATATTTATCAGATAATAACAAAATTATTATCTGATAAATTTATATGTAATATAATAATGAAAGTTAATCAAATAATTTTATAAATTAATTTTTATTATTAATCATTTCTATCTGGAAATTTTATATATATATTGAATTCTTATACAATTTATATATAAGCATATTAATTTACTGTTGCATCAACTTGCCTTTCTTTTCAAGTGGAACATTTCATGCTTCATTCACACCGATAATAAATGTGACACTCCCTTAAATATAAATTATGATCTTGGTATATTTTTTTGAAATCTTGCATGACAAATAACTTGATTTAGAATATACGATGTTTCGTTTACAATTATTCTCGATGAAAGTTTCAATATTCTCATTCAAGATTACAAAATAATACCATTTTTTACCAATATTTTTTGTTCTACCTGTTACGCGCAAATGTGTGTGCATATTATTATATTCAGTTTCTTTATAATAAAAATACAAGCGGATATAATAAAAGTTGTAAAACTCAATGCTACAAGTGAATTTAATCGATACGTGTGTACATTATTGTATTTTTTCTTCTTTAGTGTACAAGTAATGTGTCTACATGTATTGTGTAAGGCACGCACAAAATGTGCGTGTAATCTATTCTATCTCTCAATGAGACACCACAAAGTGAGCCATGATATAATACTTGGAGCTATATGTGGTATATGAGAACTTGTCTGAGCCTCACACTCATTTAGCGATGTTCTATTATAAGTTATGTTATCTGGCGTCACTATAAAGTCAGGATCGCGCATTTCCATTCCCCTACCTTGACACTTAGCCCTGAAGCCTAACCTTTTAGAGGAAGTAGTCTGGCGTTCGCCTGGTAACATGTGGTTCTCCACGTCTTGGTGCTGGGTCAAACTGTAGGCTGTAATAAAAGTCACAAAAATGAATTATGCTTTTATTATACTTATATAATTTAAAAATATTTTTGACTACATATAATAAGTTTCTTTTTAATTCAATATAATGTTTAAAATTACCATATATAATTATTGTAAATTTCAAGATTATACATTTAATATAAAGTTATACTAAAAGAGAAATATAATAATATTTAATAACATATATTCAATATATGTACTATATTTTAATAATGTAATTTGTAAATAAATAAATGTATGGTTTAAATATACAAATCATACTTACAATGAATATTTTAAAGCATCATCCAATTCCATGATTGCAGCTTGATTTCCACAACGATAACAGTAATTAGGTGCAGAGAATATGGTCACAACATTGCGGTCGTGACACCTGAAATAACACATTATAATTAATATTGTATTATCTATTGCAAACTGTTTATAAAATATTCTATATTAAGCTATACATATATAGTAGAAAAGAAATATCATTAAATATTTTAAAACTCGGTAAATATCAATTATATGTACCAATTATAACCTTCCATGACCAATTGATGAGCTCGGGATACAAGCGTTAATCCATTAGAATGATTGAATGTTTCAGAAATATCTTGACCGAAAGTATATCCTGCCCCACGTGGTGAAATACCCCACCCTCCTCTATCATCTGGATCCGACCATAATAGATCGCACATAGGACCCTATTAAATATAAGATGATTTATGATAATAAATAAAAATTCCTTATTACATATAATAAAATTTGCAGGAATTACAAGAGCAAATACTAACTTCGTGTGGCACTTCTTGAAGACGATCTAGAGCACGTATGTGATCTAAAGTATCGATCGACGGCGACAAACCACCATGCAAACAAAATATTTGGCCATCGACCAATGCTGTTAGCGGTAAATAATCGAATAAGTCTGTAAAGAACTTCCATACATTGGCATTCCCATATTTACGTAAGCATTCATCATAAAATCCATACACTTGTGTGATTTGCCTCGACTCGTGATTACCCCGCAAAATGGTTATTCTTTCTCGATATCGCACCTAAATACACGGAACAAAGAAAGAGAAAATATATAAATTTTATAAATATATATAAAAATAAATTTTATAAATATTTATTAAGTAAAAAAAAATCTACACATATAATACATGCTATAGAGAACATCTAAATATATAGATATCTTTCAAAAATCTAGATAGATATAAATATATTCCAAATTATAATTATAAATTATAATTCTTTTAAATTATAATAATATACATACACACAAAAATTTATTATACTATACCTTAAGAGCTACGAGTAAAGTGACAGTTTCAACCGAATAATAGCCACGGTCAACATAGTCACCCATGAAGAGATAATTTGTATCAGGTGATTTGCCACCTATTCTGAACAGTTCCATCAAATCGTGGAACTGTCCATGTACATCTCCACATACTGTTACGGGACATTTTACTTCTTGTACATTTGATTCCTTAGCTAGAATTTCTTTTGCCTGAAAGTTTCAAATATAATAATATAAAATAAAATACTATCTCTCATTCTCCTGTTTTCTGTAAGAAACAGAAAAAAGAGACAAAGAGAATTACTGCAACTGATAAAAGAAAAAACACAATAAAGTGCAGTGCAAATATAAAGAGAAAGATTATCTTACAAAACAATGTAATTTAAATAATAATTTTTCTAATATTCAATATATAAATATTTTTTTTTTATTAATGTTTTATGATCATGGAAAATGATTCCTATGACGTGAAATAATGTGTAAATATTTAAAATACAATAATGTGATGAAAATATTATAGGTCAATTAAATATTAAAAATTTTAGGGAGATTATACTCTCTCTCTCTATATATAGGATATATACATATATATCCTATTATGTTAAGAAATACTTTGCAACGCTCAGACAAATTTCTTTCTACAAATGGATTTTACTTGTCAGTTACAGATACAATTACTATCACACATTTAGAAAACTAGATGCTTTGGCCAATTGGCACAATGTACAAATGCAGCAATACATTATTATGAAGCGCATTACAGCTATAATATCATCTTCAAAGATCTAAATATAATCCATTCAAAAATACTTGTTTTATTACCTTAATGTTTATCATTAAGATTTAAAAACTGAAATAAGTCTTATAATGATCGAATAGACTGTCGTCAAATAATTCTCTACACGAAATACTTCAAATAATTTTTTATAAGAAATTATAATCATATTACGTTGTTACTTTTCAGAATTCTGATAAAATATATCAAGATTTTTCATAATTAACTTGAATCTAGACTAATATCCTATTCAATTTCAAGTAACTATTACTTCTCCATGCTAGTTAAAAAGTAATTATAAAATATCCCAGTTTTCAAGAAAATGAATCATAGCAAACAAATGCGTTATCACTCAACCACCTACATATCAATAGAGAGATAAGAATAATGCTACTACTGATATTGTAATCTAAATATTGATACTGTAATCTAAATGATATTATATACATTATTGTAATCTGCAAAAAATGATAACGCTATTCATCTCTTGCAGAAATTGTCAAAAGTATACACCATAAGATGAAGTGTACAAATGTACAAATTGCAACAGTGAATATGCACTTGTTGCAAAGAATCACATTAACAGGTTTGAAATATGACATATATACAAGAAATATTATATTATATATACGTATATAAAAAAAAGTCATCGATTAAGAAATGTAAATCTCTTTGCTTCCGAGGTAGTCGGATTTTAGATTTCGATATCGATGTAACTGTGATGATTGAGAATATAGAATCCAAGGCAGGGGGAAATCCCAAGTATCGAGGAGGATTTATCGACGATTCTCGCGTAACGCGAGTTACGCTCTGACGAAATAAGCGTGACATTTCGGCGAGCCATGTTTGACGGCGGTGCACGCGCCTGAGGTCGGTACTGTAGCACACAGTGTTCCTATTCGAACGGCACGCGACGCAATCGAACTGGAATCGTTGAATCGTGCGACGCGAAACACGCGGAATCGATCGATTCCGCGAAGCGGGATTGAGTACCTTATCGCAGAGAGTCTTCACTTGGCTCTCTGTCAGTTGTTTGCAATCGTTTAATTGTTCTATCCACTGGTCGAGTTCCTTGAGCGACGCCTTCTCCTCCATCGTACCTGTTCCCGGGTCTGCACGGAAATTAACGCACGGTACAAATTCCTGCACACCCTTACTATCGCATGTAATCCGTCGCCGAGCGAGCCCCCCTGACACGAAACTAAATCATTCGGTTTTCTTTTCCAGCCACTGGCCCGAGAGAGTCCCGCAACACAAATATCCCGTAGGAGCGGAGAGCAGCGCTCATTCACACAAAATGGCCGAGCGCTAGCGCGGTGACGTCAGGTCGTACTCATGCGTGGTGCATCCCCGCCGAGGCCGCCGTCCGCCAATCGGGGCGCTGCGGTTCGAGACTCGCGTGGCCAATAGCGATCGACGGCGATGCCTCGCGATTGGACAGACACGGCGAACTACATCACGCATCGATTCAATGACGATAGGTTCGTTTCTGTTTTAAATATTACATAAATATTATATTGTTAGGCTGATATTAAATTTGTCGTACGAATTTTTTATCTTGATTGGCTACAGGATAATAATTTTTTTGAATCTTTAAGAATACCCTATTCTGCTTCCAATCAATACATAAATTTTTCATACGACAAATGTAATGTCAGCTGAACGGAATAGATATGATATATTCCTAATTGAAAGGTGTAATTAGACAGAAGACACAATATATATATAATAATAGCGCAATTCTGAGAATTTCAGCGTGAGTAAGAATGAATTGCGCATGTTTGCGCAAGTTTGATATGTAACCAATCACAACACATAGATCTTCTATCTTGATTCCTCTTTATATTTACGCGCTCTCTCTCTCTCTCTCTCTCTCTCTCTCTCTCTCTCTCTCTCTCTCTCTCTCTCTCTCTCTCTCTCTCTCTCTCTCTCTCTCTCAATCGTATTAAAAAATGTCCATTTAAGACACTTAAATGGCCATTTATCATATATTCATCTTCAAATTATCTCATGAGAAATTATTCTTTAGAGAAATCTGATTTTTCAGAGAACCATAATTTAATGAGAAAGATATTTTTAGCTTAAAAAAAATGTTATTGTATTATTTATCCGTTTAAAATAAATATTTTTCTTTTTAGACATCTTTTTATTCTTTCTTCATTCTTAAAAATAACATATTTCAAATGTCTCGTCCCACATGTGCATTGATCAAATCCTTCATACTATGCGATGACATTTTAATGTCAAATACTTCACAATTAGATGGTAGATAGAAGATATATGTATGCATACAGTAATAAGTTAGAAAGAGACAAAATGAAAAGCATAAGTGAAATAGAAAACACTATCATGTGATTAATTCCGTTTATGTGCAATTTATTTTTGCTCACGCTAATATGAAAGATGTGACAGGAAAAATTATGCTATTGTATATATTGTGTGCGGAAAGTTTATGTTTGCATTAAAAGTGCAATTAGAACGAATAGGAGACGAGTACGATAAAATGCGTAAAGTATTCCAATAATGAGTCACATGTCGATGACGAAATAAAATTAATCTTTACCAAGGAACTCAGAATTAATTAATTTTCCATTATATCATCTCTAATATGCAAATCATGGTTTGAAGTCAATTTTAATGATATACATAATTGAGACATTTAACAATGATTTATTTGTATAAGCTTAGAATATTTGATGATTATTACACATTATAACAATAAAATCATCACAAGAGATGGACCAACAATGTAGCAATTACAAAGCTGCTTCTTATATGCTACAAAATATGAATACATCTTATTAAAAATATATATTAACTGTAAAACTTTGAATATCAAGTTTAAAAAAATGAAAAAAATTGCCTCGGAGGACTGAAATATTATACTTAAAAATCCATATAATTAATCTCTATTTTCATTTTCTTATCACGATAAATACACGCAATATAAGATTTTAACAAAAATGCATAATATAGTAATATAAATATAAATTAAGCAAAAATTTTATATTAGGATGGTTGTTTGATAGATATTTTGATCATAAGGATCGACTATTTTTCACATTTTCCAATGAAAAAGATATTTTAAAAGTAAAGTATATAAATGAAAATAAATTTCAGTATTGAATAATTTTATAGTGATGTAACATCGAGCATATTTTTAATATATAAGCATTATCATTAATCTTAAATGGCAAAATCTCTACGAAAAGACATATATCAGGAATTATAAAAGAAGATAACAACAATGCGGTTTGAATTCCATCACATGTATCCTTAGTAAATATAATTTATGCTATTTTGTTAGTCGCACTTTCTGCTGTATTTTACTTATTGTTATTCTTTCCACTGTTGGCCAGTTTTTCTCTTACAAAGAGTTGCATCTAACTGTTCGAGCCATGGCAATAATAACATAATTTTTCTTCTGTAATTTGGATCCTTAGCAATAGGATTATGCTCCAGATACACAGTTTGTAATTTTTTATTGACTCTTAAATTTTCCAATGTATTCCAGTCTTCAATTTCATTATTGTTCATCTGTGTGTGTAAATATTAAATAATATAATAAATTTTAATTGTAATAATATACAATTGTATAATATATATTTGCATAATTTACCCAAAATTCTTCAAGATTTTCAAGATGGTTCATATTTTGAATTTTTTTTATTTTATTGTTGGCTAGATCCAATGTTGTTAATCCTGAACAATTTTCTATGCCTTCTATACATGTTATACCATTTTCAGATAAGTATAATTGATCCAATTTCTTTAATTCTTCAATATTCTCAATCTTTGTAATCCGATTACTTTGTAGACTTAATAATGTGAGGTTTTCCAAACTTTCCAGATTTTGGATTTTGGTAATTTTGTTTTTACCAAGATACAAATTAGTCAACTTTTGAAGACCTTCCAGATTTTCAATTTCACGTATTTTGTTATCACCTAATTCCAGTGTTGTGAGATTTGTTAAGTGTGAGACATTTTCAATATGTAAAATTTTATTGGATGACAAAAACAGCTTTTGCAGATTTAATAAATTGCTTAATCCTTCTATCTTTTTGATACGATTAAATGATAAATCCAAAAGTCTAAAATCCACATAAATATTATTAGACATAAAATATGAAAACATATATATATATATAAAGTTAGAAATAAATATGGAGATATCACATTCAATATTACAAGATTAAAATCAACATACTCCAAATTCACAAGAGCATCCAAATTTTCTATATTTATAATTTGATTATCTCTCAATTCTAATTCCACCAAAGTAGTAAGCATATCGAGATTTTCTATTTTCTTTATAAGATTCCACGTAAAGCATAATCTGCGTATTTGCGTCAGTGGTTCTAAATTTTCCAATTTGGTTAATCTTGAATGGTTGAAATCTAGTTCCTAAAATATATTAATAAGAATAATCTTTTGTTAAAATAAAAAATTCTTGTAACATAGATATAATATATTATATCTGAGGATTTTTTATGGGAAAAAATATATTAAATTCTGTTAATGATTAGAAAAATAAAGTAATAAAAGTCACAAACTTCGCTATCAGGATCTATAATTAATATTTTGTCTGGTTCCTCTGATTCTTCTCTCTCGTTTTCGACTTCCATCTCGGCAGAACCTTCACTTTTATCCTCTTCTAAAATAATTAGATTAAATCAAACATAACCTGCTTTCTTATGAGCTAATGTATATATGTATAATTAAATTTTATCTTTCGAATATATCGTACCATGATTAGCCATTGTTGAAGAAGTACGATAAAAGATAGTAGATAGATGAGGTAAAGATTTAATAAACAATCAAGTATTATTAATTAAAATCACATAAAAATATCACTGAGCTTTACGTCAAACTTTTGTGCAATTAACCGGTATTTTAACGCATTACGATCACTACGATTAATAATATTATAAAAATGTTATAACAAACACTGCACTATATAAAACGGCAGAGAGCTAAAGAAGCTCAAATCACGTAGAGAAGAGAAAAAACCCACACACATAAAAGCTTTCTAATAATATAAATAACAAATCAATCAAACACTGGATGAAGCATGATGTCATCCAAGAACGCCAAGTGTCGGGCGTATCAGAAGCTTAGATGTTCCTCAACGTCAAAAAAAGAGCGCCAAATACGGAGTCATCTGACGTTCGGCAATTCAAACTTGCAATAGTGCCCACAGAAGAACCGTCCATGAAAAATGTGACGATATGATAGATAAATAATAAATTTGTTCGTATTGTTTGCAATTCTCAAAAGTCTCGTTCAAAACGAGATAAATGTATGTTCAGACACAAAAGAGAGAGAGAGAGAGAGAGAGAGAGAGAGAGAGAGAGAGAGAGAGAGAGAGAGAGAGAGACAGAGGGAAATCACAGAATCTATATACTAGCAAGTGTAAATACAAACAGATTTATTATTTGTGGTTATTTAAACTTGTCCATATAAGATAGAAAACTTGATATTCTAAAATCAGCGAGGTCGACCTCTATTTTCAATTACTATTCTGCTCTAATGGTACATCCGCCAAACGGAAATGAATCACTTTGATTATATCCGTTTTCTCACTCCATTCATATGAATCATATGATCAATGTAGTAGAATCTTTAGTTGACAACTGAACAGCTGTTAACTAAAATTTCGACTGATTTAGAATAATGGAAAATTTAGAATGGTCTAATTTACATCAATCACTTGATACGCATTTCAAATAATAAATAACTAGTAAATTGGTTTAGTTATTGGCTGATCAGTTCAAATGCATATTTGATACGAGTATTAAATAATTGGGGGGTATGAACTAGACCAGAGGAGTTTCTGAATTGATCTATGGATTCTGATTGATTTTGAATCAATAATATATCATTTTTATGCTTATATTTTCAAGTTTTTTATTGCATTATAAAGCATCTGTCTTCCTTTTCTGATTTTCTTTATTGTTAAACGTTCATAGCAAATTTAAGAATGTAACATAAGATTCTTGTCCTGAATTTTTAACGACGACTATGTTTCATTATATCTATTGTATTTCCATTTATGTTAATTTTTTGGATGACTATCATAAATACATTCTCATATATTATACAACTGATATGCCTCAGGACGTATATGAGTATAAGCCTAAGTAATATATTATAGTAAGTAATAAATTACCAGTATAAGCCTCAGTAAAAATCTTATAAATATATGTTAACTGTTTTCTCTTATAATAGAAATTTTATAATAGAAATTGACATACTAACAAAAACAATATGGCTCTGAAGGGGATAAAAGTCTTGGAATTAGCTGGGCTTGCTCCAGGACCCTTTTGTGGAATGATCTTAGCAGATTTTGGGGCATCCGTTATCAGAGTAGATAAGGTAACTAGGAAGAAACAGATTTTATTAGAATTTTACTAAAGTACAACATATGTAGTTTATACTAAAAAACAGGAATGAATATAAAGGAGAATAAATTAATTTATCCATATTATTTTATCTATAGTTTGAATACAATTTTTAAGTTATAAGAATTTTTTAATTATATCTTAAAATTTTTTTCATAGATTGGAACACAAATATTAGATCATTTGGGTCATGGAAAGAGATCAATAGCATTAAATTTAAAATCTGAAAAGGGGATTAATATTTTTAAAAAATTAAGTAACCAAAGTGATGTTATTATCGATACATATAGAAGAGGTACATATAAAGAATATATATGTATATTATTTAGCAATTTTAATCTTTGAAATAAAATTTATTATATTAACAAATAATTTATAATAATTTTAATTTGAAGTAATTTTTAACTTGTAATTTAAATGTAGATATAACAATTTAGATGTTAATATGTGAAAATCAAAAAGAAAATATTTAATTTATACAAAAATATATTGAATATATATATGAATATAGGTGTCATGGAAAAATTAAAAATTGGGCCAAATGAGCTTATGGCAACAAATAAAAAACTGATATATGCTAGATTAACTGGATATGGTCAAGATGGTTCTTATGCAAATATGGCTGGTCATGATATTAATTATTTAGGTTTATCTGGTAATATAATATTATATATAAATCATTATAATTATTGAAACAGTATAAATATATTGTATGCTTATATTCATATAAAGATTATACTTTATTATTTTCTTATAATATTACAAATAAGACTATGTTACTTATTTTATGAGAATAATGTAAAAATTGTTAACAGGACTGTTATCTTTATTTGGCCGATATAATGAAAAACCTACACCACCTGTTAATCTAGCTGCTGATTTTGGTGGTGGTGGTTTAATGTGTGCTTTTGGAATAATGTTGGCATTGTATGAGCGAACTAAAACCAATGTTGGGCAGGTAATAGATGCATCAATGGTAGATGGATCTGCATACTTAGGATCCTGGCTATTCAGATCGCAAAAGATGCTCGGCCTATGGGGAAATCCACGTGGCAAAAATATGTAAGTACTTTCTCAGTGTATATATATATATATATATATATATATATATATATATATATATATGCTTTTGACTTTCTATCTTTTAAAAGATATTCTTAAAAATACCTTTTTTCCACAGATTGGATACAGGTTCACATTTCTATGATACATACGAGACGAAAGACAAGCTTTATATGTGTGTTGGAGCGCTCGAACCACAGTTTTATGAAATTTTCGTAGAGAAGCTTGGTTTTTCGAGCGAGGAGATGCCACAATATGAAAATTTCGAAGAGAATCGTCGTAAAATCGCAGAAATTTTCAAAAAAAAGACTCAGGCAGAATGGTGCGCCATATTTGATGGCACTGATGCATGCGTTACACCAATGTTAAATTTGAAAGATGCTGCATCACATAGTCATAATGAGCAAAGACAAACGTTCACGACTATAGGAGATGACGTAATTCCAAATCCTGCTCCTCGTTTATCTCATACACCCGGTATTTCTACAGGAACTTGTAGAAATCCACAACCTGGTGAAAACACTGTAGAAATCTTAACTGAACTAAAATTTCAATCTAAGGAAATTGACAATTTATTATCAAACGGATTTGCTTATCAGGCACATCACACATCTAAAATTTAATATGAGTTATTTTATAATAATGAGAATATATGTATACATATATAGATATATATATTTTATATATCATAATTTATATATAAATAATAGCTGTATAGATAATAAGTAAAAGAAAGGGTTAAGGAACTATATATATATATATATATATATATATATATATATATATATATATATACACACATATATAATATATACACATATATAATATATAATATATACCAAAAGATTTTTATTCTTATCTTTGTGTATATTATATATGCACACATACATACATACAATGATTGTTTATATAAAATAAAAAGGAAAAAAAATTGATTATGTATGAACTTCAAATAAATTCAATAACATTTAACATTTAAGGTTTTTACATTTATATACTAATATATGTTGTAGCTTATTCGATAAGAAAATCTACTATACAAAAGTATTACTGTATTTTGTCCAATTATATTCACCATGAAAAATAATTTGTTATAATTAGAGCAGTTATACAAAATTGAAAAAAGGGTACGACAAACAAAAAATTTTATGTATAGATATATTAAAAACCCATCAGTATTGTACTGGCAGTAATAGATGTTTCCCTCGGTGCACTAGCTTGCCGTACGCTCATCTCCCACGTATCCAACAACTGGGAGAGCGAAAAACGACGTGGCAGTTTTGCAACACGGGCATTGAGAGCTTTTTGAACAGCACATAGAAATGTTGTTGCTTCATATTCATGTGGCGCCATGACACAACGAGGTGGCGTAGAAGGGTAATCTGCTGGAACTGTGACCGAGATCGGTGGTACACATGGAAGATGACGATCATCGAGCCAACATATCAATTGTATACATTTAGATCCATTTTGCTGCGCTGGATCTAGACTAACCTGAAGTAGGAAAATTGCTTTATTAATAATTACATTAAATAAACTTTTTTATTTATTTACAAATAATTGCACATAAAAATATTATGTATAATTGTATATTATGTACAATTATGTATAATTTGCTTACTTAATCGTTTATAATTCGAGATAAAATTCTAATATTTAATATATAATATATAGAAAATATTATAAAGAATTCATATGAACCGATATTTAATCTTATAGAAAAATTAAGTCACTTATCTAATTAAAAAATGTGCAATAGACATATTCATCAAATATCAAGTTTTTAATAAAAAATAACGCATAATGAAATAATAGATTGTCAAAAAGGGACTAAAAAAATTATTACATACTTTGAATCGCTGATCTAATCTAGCTATTTCTCCTTGTAATACATCTGGTATTTCACTAGGTGATTCTTCTACCTTGTGCTTCTTCAATGGTGGTGGCAAGTTTCTATTTTAAAATGAAATATATGTATATTTCCATTTATATTATAAACTTATTATTAATAAGATGGGATTTGCATGTATACAAATGTATACATAGATACACAGAAAAAATCATATATGTTTGCACGTTTATGTTCATCTATGCAGCATACAACAATACTTACTTTATCTCAGGTCCAAATAAGGCATCTAGGCATGGTCCAAAAGTACGTTGTAATGTATGATTGATTACTGGACTTTGAAGATGTGTGCTTACAGCTTCTAATAATGGACTGAAAATTTGGTGCTCTTTTAATGTCGTTACTGGCGGTCCGACGCTACCATCACCTCTCTTAAAGTCCAATTTTTCTAAGACAACTTCGCATTTCAGCAATGTATCTAGTGGCATACGTTTACTCGGATTTGATAGAATCTCCAAAAGCTTTTTCATCTTGCTGAGTTTATCGACATCTGCGGTAAAAAATGAATGTAATGTGAATATAATTAATACTGTTTATATATGAATTGTTGAAAAAAGATATTAAAAAGTATGTCATTAAAAATATTTATAGTCAATGTTAATTATTTTATTTCTTTGTCGAAAATAATTCTATTGTCTTATGTGTCAGTATTTATAATATTAAAAATGTACACACACACACACACATATATGTATGCATGTAATAAAATATATATATTTCTAAGAAACTAAATTAAAAATAGAACAAAACAATCATATTCAAAAATTATAAATAACTTATTTTATAAATATTAAAATATATTAAAAAATTGCAAATAAAGTGAGAGAATAAGCAAGTTCCAAGTTTGTGAAATTAGAATCATATAAAATTTTCATATGTGTATGTATACGCATACGGGTATATATCCTTACTTCCTTCGCTGCTCATTTTGGAAATCATTCTTCGTAATGGCTCTATATATTTGCTCAATTGTCTGACTTTATCTCTGTAAGCTTGATCTTCTTGCTGAGGACTGGGTGTGGCACCTACACCTCCAGGAGTATTTAATGAACTACTTGGAGATGGCGCCATACCTGATTTAATAGATTATGTAGTTTATGTTCCAATATATTTTCTGTTATATTTATAAATCTTAAATTATTTGAACTTACCTACAGAATTTACAGAACGCGATGGTCCTGTCATGATGGCATGCTGAGGGCTTGGTGATGGCACCAGAGCGGGCGAAGCTACCATCTGATTACTACGAAAATATTTATTTTGTTGTGAAATATGCTTTTATATGTTTGTTAAAAATTGTATTTAAATATGTTAAGATTACCTTGATGGTGCTCCTAAACCAGCTGGACTTGGAGCTGAAGGAGATGGACTTTGTCTTAAAAATTGATTAGGCGTAACGTTACGTGGACCAGGGAATCCGGTATTCATCATTTCAGTCGGCTGAAAAATAGAAATAACGATAATATTAATAGGATATCAATGAAAAATTAAGAAATTATTATTAATAAAGAATAATATCAGTAAAAATAGTAAAAAATAAATGTGCCAGGTACTTTTCTTTGAATGTGACTCAATTGCTGCTGCATCTGCCCAGGGCCTAATTGCCCAGGACCAATTTGATTCATTTGTTGTGGCATACTCGTTTGTATATTGCCTATTGGACCCGCGATTTGATTATTCATTTGACCTGGTAGTTGATTCTGCATTTGGGACTATGACAAAAATAAATATAAAATATTTGTTTTTTCTAAACTTTCTTTTATATATAAATATAATTATTAGGTGTACTAAAATAAATAAATGATATTTATATATTGCATATACCTGCATATTTTGTTGCATTTGTCCAGCAGATAGTTGACCCATTTGTCCAGATACCATTTGATTCATTTGTTGAGAAATATTTCCTTGTCCCATTTGATTCATTTGAGTCAACATAGGATTGTTTTGCATTGTTTGAATTGGACCCATGTGACTCATTGGACCAGCAGTTTGCGATGGCATCATACCCATACCTTGCATTTTATTCTGCATGCCAGGCATATTCATTGGTTGACCAGGTCGTTGATTTAAACTTTGCAAGACTAATAAGAAAATATACAAGATCTCCAGAACTATTTATCATTTTGAGACAAATTTTCATATATCTCACAAACTATATATTCATATATCATTAAAAAAAAACTTAATATTATAATAATATGAAGTATGGTATAAAAGAATAATTTGAATAATTTGAAAAAGTATTATAAATCTATCAAAAAGTATAAATTTATTCATATCGTATAATTCATTTATATTTATTATATTATAGTTATATTAATTTTTTATCATAAATAAAAAAATATCAATTTATTTTTCTATCCATTAATAATATATAAACATAGAAAATATAATAATATAAATTTAGGAAAAATCTTATAGACTTCTAAATATATAATTAAATCTATAACAATAATAATTTGTGACAACTCTTTTAATTCCGAATTTTCTTATTCTATATAATTTTCTTCCTCCATAAATTTTTTAAATGCTGTCTCTAAGGGATAATCATAAAAATATTTCATCTTTAATTCTAATTTCTTATTATTTTTTTTTGTATTTTTCGATGGTCGAGTGCATTCATACTCGTAGGTGACATTACAAATGGAGTGAACATCTTTGTTTAATTCAAGTTTTACGACAATCCTGTCTCTGATGTTTAATTTTTGCAAACCGTTTGGCCACGCATTCTCTGTAAATATTAATCCTATTTCTGTAATAGAATTAGAAGTAACGAAAAATTGTATATCCTTGTAACTTTTTCTCGCATTGTACATGAATTGATATACAACGATAAAGCGAATCATATAAGCATCTATTGATTGTTGTATTTCGTAAATTATATTCAGTACTGTTTCAGAAATAGGATAATACGTGCCGGATTTAAGTTTGCCTTTGAAATCGATCACTTCCGGTACGAAAGAGTAACCTGAACTGATGTACCATTTCCGTCCAAATTTACAATATATAAGTGTTATTTTGAACTCAAATATTTCTGCACCAAAAACTTCGCTGTTCCCTTCGTACTTGAATATATACTTCACAAAATTCTTGCCCGCTTTTATTAATATATCTCTCATTCTCTTTTGATATTCTTGTTCCAAGTTGTGTCGCTGTCTTAACCAATCTTTATATAATGATTCTTGATTATTTCTCCACTGCATATATTTAGATTCATCACGATGATCTATTTCTTTATTATCCGAATCGTAAGCAGGTTCACTCGAATACCGTTTATTTGCGTATTGTACGTAATATAGATTATCTAATCGCTCCATTTGTTGTATTAATGTAATGCGTTTCTTTTTTCCAGATGTTTCCTCGATATTTTGTAATTATTTAACTAGTTATTTAACTAGTTACTATACTTAATCTTCTACTATATTTAACTCTACTTTATTCATACTCGACTAGTTTAAAGACGTTTCAAAATACGTTTCAATTTATCCAAGGTCAAGGTGATCATAATATTTAGTACAGCACATAAAAGCTTAATTTTCTTATTAGACCGATTTTTTTATATCAATATGAAAAAAATGAATATATATAAATAAAATAGAACAAAAAATGTTAATTATTTATATAATATTCTAATGCTTCGATAACCAATTGTTCTAATACATTTTTAAAATTATAAACATATTAATTACTTACGATTAGTTGCAGTGTTCGCAGGTTGCGGAATTATGCCTTGATGATTAGGACCTGGGCCTATACCCATCATTTGATTATTTCCTGTTCCTTGACGCGCCAATGTCTGTAAAGCGCCGATTGGATCTGGCATGCCTTGATTGTTAGTTCCAGCATTACCCGGTGCATTACCAGCTGCACCTTTTTTAGAATCTATGGAAAGAATAGAATTTTACTAAACTTTTTATACAGGATAATTATAAAAGTAATAAAACTGACTTTTTTAAATGATAATATAGCAACATTGCCCATCAATACTGTAATTTAATGTAAATTTTAAAATTTTGCAAACAACACAAAACTAATATATAGAAAAAATATTGATATTACAACTAACGATATAATTTAATAAAACACATTTTTAAATTATAATTAACAAATACATTTTTATTTCTTCATTATTTAATAGATCATACATTGTCTAGAAATTTCGAGATTCAGAGATTTCAATAGATTTCAATAGATTTCAAAAAATATCCAATATTAAATATCTAATATGTGAAAAAAACTTGATAAAAATCAGTTTCATTACTCTAATAGATCTTACATATATTATCATGAAATAAGAAATTAAATTAAGAGTGTAAATTAAGAGATTTAAGAGAAAAAGTTATTTTCAAACGAAACAGTACTCATTTCTCTGACGTGAAGAATTAATCTGGCGATAAAACCCAAGTATTCCTCCTACAAAAAAAAAGTAATGTTACAATAATATAATACAAACCAATGTTATATTTATTGGAAAGTAATATATAAAACACATAGAAGATGACAATTTACTATATAATACATTAATTATAGATATAACAGATTCTTAAAACATTGATTGCTATAATTGTATTAATAACAGAATTCAAATTAATATTACTGAAGCCAAGAAAAAATTTAATTTACAAAAAATATAATTTAACTTTCAATAATTAACAATATAATTTAATTTTATAGAAATATGTGGATAAAATGAAACAAAATAGAAATATATAGAATTATATGCTCAAGATTTTTCAAGTAACAACTGTAGACAAACCTTAGATTTTGCCTTTTGGAAGACATGATTTTCCATTTCAATGCTATTTTTTGTTGTAGGCATACCAGACATCTGTATAGCTTCATCTCTGTTAATAAAAGAACAAAAGCATTTAGAGAATTATACACATATTAAATAAAAAATTAAATAACTTCTTTTGCAAGTTCCATTCAGTAGCTTAGGTTAAATTACACGTAAAAGAAACAAAAAAAAAGAAATAAAATGGAAACAATCATTGAAAAAATAAAAAAATAGGAAAAGTAGAAAAAATAATTAAAAACAAATCTTTTATGTGAACGTTGACACAAAATTAATATATTTATATATAAATACATAAAAAAGATTAAGCACATAAAATATAAATACAAACTATATACAAAAAATATATTCAAAAAAGTTTCATTTATTTAAAAATTTTTAAGGTATCGCTCTCGATAATAACACTCCTCTCATCCCACAAATATAAACAATGTCCTCATCTTGTAAAATATAACAGATGCGAATTAACTTACATTTTCGCGATTACGCTCTGTCGAAAACTTTGCGTTTTCCACGAATCATCCGTAGCCATGGTTTGCGAATATTTAATAATTTAAATAAATAAAACTTGTCAATGGTATTCACTTCACCTATGATATATTCACTTATACGTTCTAAGATGGGTGCCCGTATTTCAAAGTCATTAAACAAAGAATACTAGGAAGGAACATGAAGCGAAAATTTAGTGGTAGGGGTGCAACGGATTGGGAGCGTCCCATTTGACCACATTGCGATTGACCACAGCCAATTATATCAACCTGTGCCTAGGGTAACCAGCAACGATTAACCAATTAGAGAGTCCTATTTTGAATTGGCCAATTGGCGACGTGGTCAATCGGGTGCAACCCAACGGAGTACGTCATAAAACTAAACCAATTCTACTAGTGACATCTGGTAGAATACAAGTTAAGTTTGTAACACACCTCAATTTTGTTGATATGATCACCGATGATCTTATTGGACTTAGCGTGACCAGAAAAAAAACGTGCAAAGTGCTACTGTAGGTAACAAAATCTTTACATTTGGTGCTTTCCATTTAGCGACATAAGTCGACACAAGCGTCATTCTATCTTTTTTCAATGAATAACAATAAACAAAGATAGAATGACACTTGTGTCGACTTGTGTTGTTAAATGGAAAGCACCCATTGTCGATAATAAAATAATGATTTGATACATAATTTGTCATTTTTTAAGCAGGTATATAAAAGATTTATACATTTTCGATAATAAAACAATGACTGAATGACTTAAAATATTTGTATGATTTAAATAACTCTTGTCATTGTCTTCAATATGACAAAACGGCCAGTAATATCATCAATCTTCTATTATCTCCCGGCCCACCGGGCCCACTTGGTGATCACGAAAATTTACTTACAGGACTGTCAGTCTTTAACAGTATCTCGTCGGTGCTGGTGTCAGTCACAATGGCGCTATCAAAGGGTAAGTAAATGGTTCTTGCAAATCTCTAATAGGACATAACACCGTATAACCTAAAATCTATTATAATCAACATAATTATGCGTTCTTTATGATAATCTTTTATAATAATGCAATTTTACAGCATTGTTAAAACGTTTAAATTCAGATGACATTCCTGTGGCGAAACGAATAAAATTAGCAGAAACTGCTATGGATCTATCACTCATTCCCAAAGAAGATTCGCTCGTGAAATGGCTTTGTAAACTTTGTGTCACGAATCAATGTTTGTTGAAATGCTTGAATAATTGTTTAAAATCTGTCCATGAATTGAAGACTAGTACAAAACAATATTTGGTCGATATGCTTGTGCAAATATTAAACAGTAATATGACAGATGTATATGAGGAAGATCTCGAGTGCTGCAGCTTAATTCTTGCTAATAATAGTATGCGACAATATTTTGCAAACAAACCAAAGAATCTAGATTTCTTAAAAATCTTATTTAATAATGTATCAGATCGTTCCAGCTGTCATAATTCAAAGCAAGAAGAATATGATCAATTACTCAAACCATGTAAATTATCTCCTGCAGAAAATTATGCTATAATAAGCATTATTGAAAGTCTAATACAAATATATAAATTGACGACTATAAAAAATGAATTAAAGTCAATCTTTATATGTGATATTTTATATCCTATGTGTAATTTAATTGATCATAGACATATAGATAATACAAACAAGTTTGGTATAGTGGCATATAAATGTATTCAGCATCTGTTGCTCAAAGAAACCAAATTAATGCAAAACAAACAAACTTCAGAAAGTGTTCAAACAATGTTCACAGAGTTATTTTGCACATTATCTGAAAATGTGAATACATTAAATTTTCAGAGTAATTTTGTAACATTTCAGTTTATTTTTCGTGCTGTAATAGGCACTTACAAATCAGATGCTACTTTAGTGGATGCATTTTTCAGAAATCTAATTAATTCCTCTGGGAAATACAAGTGGGAAATCTTGAGTGTTTTCCTCGAACTACTAAATAATATAACACTCGACTTTGATAATACTATAGAAGATGTCACACTATTTGAATATTTTCAAAAAATTATAACTGATATCTTAACATATGATAATATTACATGCATACATTATGGCATACTTACACAACTATCATATCTCAATCCACTTTTGATAGAGAAAAATATTCCAGATATTTTAAATAAAATACTGATGAAAGAACAAACTATTGATTATACAAACTTATTAATTGCTATTTTGCACTCCAGTACGAAATTGAGACGTGAACAAAAGTTGATTTCACAATTGTTAATATCATTAAAACAGCATTTGACAACGAAGAAAGTGTACAAAATGAACATGGCATTCTTTCCATATGAATTTAGAATAAAATTGAGAGAAACAATTAGCAACTTTTCCAATACACAAACAATTGCAACCTTAAGAACATTAATACATTATTTAAATGTAGATTGTGTAGAACTGTTGGAATATGATATTTCACGTAAGAATTTTTATATATATATATTATACATATATCATAAAATTTAATAAATTATTATAATTTAATAACAAAATTCACTAATATTAAAATGCAATTTATCTCTTTTTTATAAATATGAAGGATAATTTAATTTTATTTAATATTGCAGGTAAAAATATATTAATATTACAGGCAACTGTAGAATTACTTGTTGTACTTTTTGAAGGTACACAGATTTTTGAATATACTAGGACACTGTCCATCTATGAGAAGTTTGTTAATGATTTAGATAAATTGGAAAATACTTTATCATTGTTGATAAATAAAGCATTGTGTTTAAATCATGATAAAAATATTATCATATTACTGTTAACTGCAGTGCAATCATTAAGTGAAATACAGGACACATTAAAATATTACATACCAAAAGGTGCTGATACAAAGAAACTATTTTTCCCAATTCTGGATGATCCTTGGCAACAATTAATTCAGCGAATAACTAATTTTGGAGAAGATAATTGCAAAAATATCATGGTACCTATATAAATATTATGAAATTAACTCACAATATGTTCAATTCTTAATTTATATGTCTACAAAGCTTATATATTTGTCATAATTTTAGAATAAACTTATTTTACATCGAATAAAATTGAATATATCAAATGAACCTATTAAACTTCATGGTTTAATAGGTGGCCTTGAATATGCTTGGAGTTCTATCTTGAAATATAACACAAACATACTTCCATTATTAAGTAACAAAGAAATATCCAAAGTAACATGTTTATTGTTGGATAATATAACATCAAATGAACAAGATTTTCGTGAATGGCTTGATTTATTAGATAATGATTGCCTTCAAGAAAATAGTCGCTTTGTAACGTGTCTCTTAAGCCATATTTTCATTCAAATTGGACATTGTTTGTCATCAGGATGTACAAAATCCATTACAGAACACATTAATGTCGTAAGTGATATCGAAATTATCTCTGTCATAATTTTCTCTGATATTTTAATTATATAAAACTTTATAGAAATTATTGACGGAGAACGAAAATAATAATATGCTAGAAGTTTTGCAAATTGTAAAAGAATTAATATCACAAGAGCAATGGGTGCAAATGGCAGATGCAATTTCCTCTAAAATAGAATTGTATTTGGAAGTATTACTCCATTTACCAATAATGTATTTTAATTCTAATATGAGAATGTTAATATTCCTAGTTGTATATTCCATTAGTAAAGAATGTGGAGAAAATAAAATATTGACGTTATGCAACATGATCTTTTCAGGTAATTTTATTTCTTAAAATTTTATATATATTTTTTCTTAATTTTTTAATTACTATTTGTTTACAAAAATTTCAAGAATGCACAATAAAAATACTAAAAATGTGATTTTCCAGATCTACTAGAAAAAATCGGCATCGACATATTTCAATACATAGAACCAACAATGTTAATAAATCAGTTACCACAAAAAAAAACATTTTTGAAAGCTTGCGAATTTTCTCTTCGCAATGTTAAAACATATGCCATTTTCAAGAGTCTCAAAAGCTGTGCTCAACACAAGGAAACTATCTATAGTCTTTTGGAATGCATGGAGATGGTTAAACCAAAACTAGATACTGAGCAAAAAATCATTTTCAGAAAAGCAGAGAAAAAATTAGTCAAAGCTATTTTGAAAATGTTACCTGAAAAAATAAATAATACTTCTGATGTAAAATGTTTGATAGTAATATTAAAAATAACAATATCAACTGGAAAAATTACTGATACTTTGAAAAAATTAACTGAATTAACTCTTGAAAATATATTTATAGTAAGTATTGTAGAAGATATTATTTTTTCATATATGTTGTACTCCAATGTATTTAATAATTTGTTTTTTTTTTCATAGAAAGAGGTAACAGAAAATTCAAATAATACTAATACTAATAATATGTTATTGCAACAAGGTGTACAATTGGCTATTATAGTTTTACGACATCATAAAATATTTGAGATCCCAGATAGAATCATTAAAAACTTATGGTTTATAATATTGAAGTATCCTTGCAAGAATTTGCTTGAAGTCTTATTAGCATCTTCTGAATCAAAAGAATTTTATGAATTTTTAAGATTACTATATGCTAAGACGGTAAGTTTTCCTTCTTGCTCTATTAATATATTTTATCTTCAATTAATATTACTAATAATATTAGATTTATTTTAATATCTCTATACATATATTATAATTTTTTTTATAGATTGAGAGCTTGTCACAAACAAATGAAGCAACATGGACGAATTTGTTTCTCACTTGGAGTGGAATAATGAAAACAAACATGAGAGTCAAACGTAATAAAGCGCGTTTGGATGCAATCAACAATTTATTTGAAACTGTACTCATGTTGAATATTCCTGACACATATTGGTCAGGTATATTGGATTTATCTCATGATATAATTAGCGTCAAGCATTTAGTTATACCTGATACTACAATTGATCTTATTATATTGATTGGTATAAAATCGCTCGTTAAAGTAAAAATATCGTCATGTGATAGTGTGCTTGCCATCTGTGAAACATTGATGAAAGTCAGAACAAATTTGATAACAGACAGATTACCTAATTTATTGTTGTTGTATAGAGCTGTAACAAATATCATTGTCCATGCGTCAAAAAATGTGGCTGATAAATTTGAAGAGCATCGATTTAGATGTTTCGCATTCGGTATCGAAAAGTAAGTTTAAATCAATAATTCAAACAGTTTTATATATTATATATATTATACTATAATAGAGTATATTCATGTGTACTTTATTAATATTTAATGTTTATTAATGTTAATTTGATAAAAAAGTAATAGATTCATTTTCTTGGTAGACTTACAGGTTTATTGATGAAGTTAAAAAAAGATATGATTCGACTAAGTCCCTATGTGATAGCCGATTTTTTGCATTTGTGTATAGAAAGCGCTATACCATCTTATATTAAGGTAATGTCTTTGCATGCAGTTATTTTATTGAATTATTTTTAATAACATTTGTCACACACTATGTTGCAGATGGCTTTGTATAATTCTCTATGTCAATTAATTAGTATTTGTGATCAGCATGGAATCGCCTTTTTATCTCGTACATTACCAGCATCATTGCAGGAAGTCTTCAAAGTACAATTAAATACATTTAATAAGTTTTACAAATATTCTGGCAAGATTTAAATCTTCATTACTTCTCTAGGAGAGTAATTTTGATACAATTTTAAAAAATGGACCAAATACAAAAACAAACTAATATAATATCTTCCATGTATAAATTTATTTTTATAATCTACGTCCCTCCTTTTCCACACACATGAAAAAAATATTTAATGTGAGTTCTATATAATTTAAATTATATATATATATATATATATATATATATATATATATATATATAAAACCATTTTTTTATTTAATAAATTTATGTATATATGATTTCCTATTTATTGTCGGCAAATAAAATTGCGATAAAAACGGTAAAAAGAAAAATTTTTTTATGAAAAATAAGTACATAAATAAGTAATCATATATGTTTGGATTTATTAAAGAGCTACCATATGTAGTGTCTGCAATCTGTTATGATGAAAATTAGAATACCACTAGGATTGACTAGAGATCAATTTTACGTTGTACTGATCTTAGGGACAGTCAGCGGTTTATATAATTGGAAAAGTTTGTTGGAGAATCATTTGAAAGAAGAATACGCAAAGACAGTGGCGGAAAAGGAAGAATCAAATGAGGTAAAGCAAACTATCTCATAAAGTTTGCGTCATAACCTATACGCCGGGTACATTTTAAGAACCAAATATCTTATTGTTATTTCACATAATATTTAACCGCACTGGTATTCATAATTACAGTAATTAATACATTAATATCATTATTGTTATTAATAGTTTATAGAATTAAAGAGATTTTATTTTATATTTTAAAAAGATTAAAATTTTAATCAATATACTTGATAATTTAATAGAAAAAAGATGAAGAGAGGAAAGTATAATATAAAATTTTTTGTTTATATATATCTTTAATTTTTTTAGTTAAAAAACTATTCTAAATTTTTTTAAAATAAATTTAATTAAAAAATTTTTTTTCGTGATATATTCTATTTAAAATATTTAAGATACTGTAACAAATATTTTGCAGTCTACCAGCAAAAACCAGGAACCTGTTGATTCAAAAATTTAGTAAACTCGGGCTTATAGTAATTGGTGGAGCTTTGGTTGTAACATGTTTTAGGTAAATATCTTTAGATATATCTTGTTTTATTTTTTTAATACAATATTATAGAGCAAGTGAAATAAATACCTCAGTTTACATTTAGATTGCCTTTTTCCTTTGCAGAATTTATATAAAGCCATGGTATATAAAACGAAAGGGGATGCAAGCAGAAGAACATGCAAATATTATTTACGAGTTACGCAAAAAAAGAATTTTAGAGCAGAAAGAAAATGAAATTTGAAGTAGATTCAATATTGTATATTGCCATATTATTTACATGGTTCTTTATTGATACTCTTATTTAAATAAATAAAAGATGTAAATAGAACGATACAATAAAATCTCTATTGTTCCAATAGGATTATTACATAACATTTCAAAGAATTGATTTGGCTATTATGATCTATTCCTTAAATTTACCACCATAGAAAGGAACATATTGCAATACTACTTTCCAATCAGTGAAGTACAATAATGTCAGTGTTCCAGCAGTTCCATAAGCCGCAGCAGATGGAATCCTAAAGCATAAGATAAAATTTTACATAAAAAGAAACTGTCCAATATATATAACACAACATATATACAAATTTATATTTGTGTTAAAATAAAATAGATATTCTCAGTTTGGAGAGACAGAAAAAAGGGATAAAACACAAATAAACAATTGTAATGAACAAATATTTTCTTATATCATGTTTCATTATGTATTACAAATCTTGGAAACAAATGAAAAAAAAATGATCAAATGGGACTACTTAGACATTGTCAGAGATTACGTCAAGAAAAAATATCATCTTAAAATGTCTAAAAATGAATAACTCACCATTTTCCAGCTAATTCGACGTGTTTTCGTCCTAATCGAAGGGCCATTTTTTTCAGTTACTTTCGAAGTAGTAACAATAGTAACAAATTTATTTTTACTCCAAGGAGAATGAAAATCAGAAAAGAAGGTTAAAGGTGCAATTTCATTGACGCTAGAAACCAGCGGCAAATTAAAATCACTAGACTTTCTCTAGATATGGCGTCAATAAAATAAAGTTCAAACAGTTTCAACTTTTTCAGTGTATAAAGCGGCCTTTTCATTGACGCTACTTTTTAGCGTCAATGAAATTGCACCTTAAAGGTGCGGCCTCATTGACGCTAAAAAGTAGCGTCAACCATTGGTTGAACAAAGAGGTAAGTATAGTTGCTTCATTGTTCAACCAATGGTTGACGCTACTTTTTAGCGTCAATGAGGCCGCATCTTAACAGTTGGCAGCCCTACGAGATAGGCTGTGCAGCACTGCGCGTATATAAAATAAATTTGAAATCGCTTCTAGCCTAACCATCTTCACGCGATCGACTTTATTTGAATTGCACGGCATCGCATCGAATTATGATGCGGCGCCGATTTGTTCGAACGTAATTCGGGACATCGCGATGCTGTATAAGCGTCGAATGAGCACGAATTGTCACGCAAATATGATAAATCACATCTACTCACCGTTCACCGGCTGTTCCACAGACCGCTCCACTCGCTCGCCTCGGAACGTCCCATTCCGATCTTGATGCACACGATATCATCAACGCGAACGCGCGACACTTTACTCGGCACTCCCGATATTCGCTCGCATCCGATAATCATCATCAAGCAAATAACGCGACGCGATTTCGCTCCATCTTCGCGATCGCGCTATCACTGAACTGTGAAAAATAGCTGTCGCGCACTTTCACCGACATATTATGAAAGTCGCGCGATCATCCTTGGACACTTTCGACGCTCTTTCACTCGCGATATTCGTTTAAAAACGGTTAAAAGACGCGAAAAATGCGGACGTACGACGATCCGTGTAACTGCGTATGACTCCGATTCACGTATGACGCGTATGACGTAGCAGTGACGCGCTAGCATGGCGGCCGAACCAGTGCGCATTCGTTTCTGCGCACTGGTTCGGCCGCCATGTTAGCGCGTGTTGCTACGTCATACGCGTCATACGTGAATCGGAGTCATACGCAGTTACACGGATCGTCGTACGTCCGCATTTTTCGCGTCTTTTAACCGTTTTTAAACGAATATCGCGAGTGAAAGAGCGTCGAAAGTGTCCAAGGATGATCGCGCGACTTTCATAATATGTCGGTGAAAGTGCGCGACAGCTATTTTTCACAGTTCAGTGATAGCGCGATCGCGAAGATGGAGCGAAATCGCGTCGCGTTATTTGCGCCCTTGATGATGATTATCGGATGCGAGCGAATATCGGGAGTGCCGAATAAAGTGTCGCGCGTTCGCGTTGATAATATCGTGTGCATCAAGATCGGAATGGGACGTTCCGAGGCGAGCGAGTGGAGCGGCCTGTGGAACAGCCGGTGAACGGTGAGTAGATGTGATTTATCATATTTGCGTGACAATTCGTGCTCATTCGACGCTTATACAGCATCGCGATGTCCCGAATTACGTTTGAACAAATCGGCGCCGCATCATAATTCGATGCGATGCCGTGCAATTCAAATAAAGTCGATCGCGTGAAGATGGTTAGGCTAGAAGCGATTTCAAATTTATTTTATATACGCGCAGTGCTGCACAGCCTATCTCGTAGGGCTGCCAACTGTTAAGGTGCAATTTCATTGACGCTAAAAAGTAGCGTCAATGAAAAGGCCGCTTAAGTGATATTGAAGGTACCTTAGTTCAAGAATGTGTTAAAGAGCGCGCTGTCATCGCCAATTTTACGTCACTCCGTTTACGGAGCAAATCGACCGATCGTGATTCGTGATTACATGAGTGCGTTTCGGAGTGCAGTCATTGAATGACGTATTATTTGACTTTACGGCAAACGTGGTACAAAGATAAAGTTGATAAAATTGATTGAAAATTATTGTTTATTCATACCAAGAATAAAGATCTGAAGCGAACAATTCGCGAATTAAAATAAGGATTTTTAACATTTGTTTTGGGTACTCGCGTACCCTTTTATTGACAGAAAAGAGGTACTCTTTTTGTACAATACACGTGGCCGGCTATCGTCAAATTGTCTTTCATCAGTCTCCTTTCGACAAAAATCGTTTTCCGAAACGTTATTTTGTTTTGTTAATCTGAATTCTTCTCTCGAGAGCAAAGTGTTTTGTTGGCGAGAATTTATTTCCAACAAAATCAACTTGGTCATCTCTGCGTGCTTAACAATGGCAGATATATCAACGAATATGGGTATCACGCGAAAAATGTCCTTCGGTATCAATAGTAAATTCAATGGCATCGAGAGTAAGACGCCTTTTTTGATAGGCGTTTCTGGTGGCACTGCAAGTGGAAAAGTGAGCATATTGTACATACATGTGTAATTAATGTACAATAATAAGAATCAATTATTACAAAAATATGTCAACCAATTTTTTAGAAATTGTGTTCTTTTTGTTTATTTTTAATATTTTTATTTTTTAATATTTATTTGATATATTAAAATATAAACAGAAATACTTTTTGATGAGAAAATATTTGTAAGAATTTGATAACTTTTTCAACTTTTATTCAAATGGTGTAAACTCATACATTTTTATGGTAACTATTTGTAAAAAAGGCTCAATATCTTTGTAAATAGTATAATGTTAACATAATTTTGAAATACAAAATAACATTCAATATTATAAAAAAAAAATATTTTTTTTCTTGGTAAGTAAATAATATAATAATTAATCATATCCTGTGGCATTAGTTATGAAGTTTAATAATTATAATTAACTTTGTATATAACGACAATCTTGTATCAATTGTTTCAGTCCACAGTATGCAAGCGTATAATGGAGAAATTGGGACAAGTAGATATGGATCACCAGCAGCGTCGAGTAGTCTGTATATCACAAGACAGTTTTTATCGTAACCTAACACCTACTGAGAAATTGAAAGCTGAGAAAGGACAATACAATTTTGATCATCCTGATGCGTTTGATGATGATTTAATCTTACAAACACTACAGGATATACTTGCTGGAGTCAAGTGTGAAATACCAGCTTATGACTATAGAACAAACAGTTTGTATGTATATCTATATCTTAATATCTAATTATGTCTAATTTTTATATCTTTAATGGAAATAGAGAAATCATTTATAAAATACTTTAAATGTAATGTAAAAAATAAAAACATGTTTGTAAAAAACAAACTTTAGATGAATATTATAAAAGTTAAACTTATTAAAAGATTTGTATAAATTTATTATAGAATGAAAGATCAAGTTACCACGATATATCCTGCTGATGTAGTGCTATTTGAAGGAATATTGGTATTTTACTTCCCCAAAATTCGTGATTTATTTCACATGAAATTATTTGTAGATACTGATTCTGATACTAGGCTTGCAAGGAGAGGTAATTCTTTATGTGATCGAATTTGATTGGCTTGTACTATATCTTAACTATTTTAATCCATTTCCTTAATCCATTAATTTAACTCATTCATTTAATCTATTTCTTTAGTGCCAAGAGACATAAAGGAACGTGGAAGGGATTTGGATTATGTCCTAAATCAGTATATGAACTTTGTAAAACCAGCTTTTGAAGAATTCTGCTTACCAACAAAAAAATTTGCAGATGTTATAATACCAAGAGGAGCAGATAATACAGGTAATATATAATTACGTATAATGATATTTATTACAGCTACTATAATTATTTTCCTTTGCTTATTATTAATTTATTTGTTTGGTTTATTTTTGTTTATTAAATATAAGATATTAATTGTTAGTAAGTTATTGATTTTTTTTTAAATTTAGAACATACTTTGCTGAAGTACTAATATATATATTTTGTTGTTGTTGTAATAATCAAATATTAATATTTTTAAGCTTTTCCTATCAAATAAAATCTTCCTATCATTTAAGATTTTAATTTATCCATATATTTTTAATAAGCATATTAGTTTTATTATTATTATTACTATTACTCTCATTCTTTACAAATATAAAGTTTAAAATAAATAATGAAAGAAAAGAATATAGATACATTTTTTCTATAAACAAAAAATTAGAAAAGTTTGAGTTATATATATATATATATATATATATATATATATATATATATAAAATCAATAAAAAAGAGAGATTTTTAATAATTTGAATAGTTTTAATCTAATAAACTGCAAGGACTCTTATTTAGAAGAATTTATTAATTTCAATTATGTTTGATTTTAATTATAATTTCAATTTATGAAAATATCTAATACAGGAAATATTAAATATAGGAAAATAATTTTTGTCAAAAAAGTTATAAAAAAATATTCTAATTTTAAATTATTAAATTATTAACTAATTAAATATTAAATTATTAATTTTGTATTATAATTTTTTTCATGCATATTTTTGCAAACATATAGAGATTTTAAAAAAGTTTGAAATTTTAAATCAGATTGTCTAAACAATAACATTTAGAAATGTATATGATCATCTAATGTTGAAACATTTTTATTCAAGATTGCATTTATCTCTAAATAAAAAAATAGGAAATTTTTATGTAATTGCATATAATTTGCTAGAATGTACAATGTTTATATATATAAAACTTGGATACATATACAATCATTTACATGTAAACTATTAATGATAAATTATATATTTGAGTTTTACACATGATATAATTTACCACAGTATAATTTAATCTTTGTTTATATATTCATATCATTTGTTCAGTCTTTTATATACAGTATTACCTCACTTCATGTACCTTCTTTGGGACTCAGTCACTTATTATCAAATATAAAAGGAGAAAGTATTTATTTATTTTTTCTTTTTTTAAAGCTATTGCATAAATCTTGATGATTCATCCAGAGCGAGGGCGAAACGATAAAAAGAATAAGTAAGAAAAAGAGAAATAAATAATTAAAAAATAAAAATAAATAATTTTCAATATTAAAGATAAAATAAAATTTATTTAGAGAAGATTTAAAGAAGATTTGCACTCGCTTGAGACACATTGGATGATTCAATGTTGTAAAATAAGTGAAAAAATTTGTGAAGTGAGATAATATATATATATATATATATTTCATGGGTGCTGCCTGGTATGGCTTTGCCATAGTTGCGGATATCAGAGCTACACCTTTTTAAACTTTAAGTAAAAGTTTAAAGGGGGAAAGTATCTCATAGGAAACCTATATGGTCTGGTTGTTGTATGTTTGCAGTGGCAATAGATCTAATAGTGCACCACATCTGGGATATTTTGCGTTTGAAAAAGGCCGAAAACTCAACCGGGCAGCATCCATTCTTCTACCAGCATAGGCGTACCTCGGCCTCATCCGACACACTCAGCAGATGACTTAAGCATGATAAGCTCACTCTGTCAGGCACTGCATTTTTTTCTACACACCATACCCTTATGTATGACTGAATACACACATGCTGCTAATTCTTTTTTATTTTAAATGTTTGAATAGAAGAGTAATGTCCGTTTTGTAATGCGGAATTATTATTCGCACATTTCAATTATCAATATAATTTAAAAACAGATAGATTGATAAATGAATGATAGATGGTCAAACAAACAAAAGAAGACACAAGTGAATGTGATATTTTTATTATAATATTGAAACAATGTCCATCTGTTGTCTTGCAACAGATATTAAATTTTCATGCAAGACTGAATTTGTTTAATTATATTTACAGATTTATTTTTATTGCAATATATGCATAAAAATATTGTATTAAATTATTGTCAATTAAGCATAATATTTTTTTATTAATCCAAGTTTTTAGAAACATTGGTGAAAATGGACATTATTTTCCTTTTAATTGTAATTTTTGAGGATTATTCTTATATGATTAGAGAGAATGGCTTTTTATATGTGTTTTATCTTGTGTGAATATTTTTGCGTGAATTTTGAATTATAATTTTAAACAAAAAGAATGCATGAAATCATATGATTTCAATAAAAGAGAGAATGATAGATGGATTTATAACAATTGACATCATGAAACTGAATTTTTTCAATTATTTTTCAACTCTAAATTCGATTTCAACACTTTTCAGTATTTTTCTATTTCTTCCTATATTGTCAACATATTCTAACAGTGACTTTGTCTCCTTCATAATGCAATTTATTGAGAATAATATAATATTTCTAACATTTTTATATAGATTATAATAATGTATTTAAAGAATGTGCAATCACTAGAGTAAAGAAAAAAAAGATTATGATTTAGAAAGAAATTTGCTTTAAAAATATCTTTTATATATTTCTTAATAAATTAAAATTTATTTATTTCTCTAAAGAACAGAAATAAAAGTAAGAAATCTTAAAATTTATTCTAAAGTGCGAAAAAAATTTTATAAATAATTTCCTGATCTCAAAGATTAAAAATTCAATATCCTTAATAAATTTTTATCGATTTATTTTAATTTTTAATTTTAATATTTCTTTACAAATAAGTTATTATTATTTAATATTAAATCATTATTATTATTTAATATTACATCGTATAGCTATCTATCAGATTTCAAGTTTTTCCACAAACATCTTGAATATTATGCAAAAAATCTATATATCTAATGTGTATGTATGTGTGCGCGATTGTGCTGTGATATATGTATGTATATGTATAAATGTAAGTATTATATATTTTAATGTAAGTTTTGTATTTTAGACTATTTTAGAATATGTTTATAAAATGTTATGTCACTTTTAATCACTTCGCATATTTTGCACCTTTGCATAATATTTTATTATTAAGCACATGCAAGTATTCTTTAGGAAGAGCATAATTATCTAAGTCAACTTGTCTAATTTGACTTATTCGTGTATCTCGAAATATTCATCTCTATTGCATACTATAATATTAATTCTTGTACATATAAACATATAAGATGCCAAAACTATACTTACAGTTCCTTTCAATATTTTCTGCGAGAAATCTCAGTTTTATTTAATGTAATCTCTTATAATAAAACTGTATAATTTGCACAATTTTTTCTACAATAGCTATTAAGTCTGAGAAATACAATCTCTTCTTATCACCTGTTTATTATATCTTTTATTAAAATTTTTTAATCATATATATATAATTATATATATATATATATATATATATATATATATATATATATATATACAAATTTCATTTTCACAATTTTAAGATGATATTATTCTTCTTAATATGTATATCTTAATAAATAAAGGATATTGGCAAACAATTTATTGCATATTGCGTTAATAAAGAAAACAAAAAAACTTTTGTATTTGCAAAATGATATAATAAACACAAGTGTCTTATGCATAATAAACCACATATAATTATAATGTGATTACAATTGTTATTTAAGGTATCAGCAATTAATCATTCAGATATCTATATAAACAATTTGATATATTGTTTCAAGATGTACAACGATATTGCTAATAAAGAAAATTTATTATCCCTGATATATCCATATATATCACTATTCGCACACTGATATTTTGTGATCTGTTGCAGTGGCGATAGATCTGATTGTGCAGCATATAAGAGACTTCTTAAGCAACTGTGGTAGAGAAATGTCGGAGCCTGAAAGTCCAATAAACAGGATAGAGGGATTGTTCAAGAGGCCACATTAATTTTTTTAATTTTAACATTTCACAGAAATTTGCTGAGCTAATCGTGTTTTGCTTCTTTTCTTTTGTGTATATATTATGGATTTTTTTCATTCTTCATATAATCTTTTACGTAGAGTATAAGAAAAAAATTTTGTGATCAATATTATTAGGAGTTTTTATCAATTTTAATGGTATTTATTAGAAGCATTTACATTTTACAGTAATATTTAAATTAAAATGAATTATTTTAATTGTGAAAATAAATAGTTATATATATATATATATATATATACAGATATATGTATAAAGAATACAAAGGATATGATCAAAATGTATATCAAAACTGCAAAAACAAGTTATATACAATAGGATACAAGTTTATATTTATTTGATAAAATGAATGTCTAAGTTTTCTTTTCTCTAATTTTTTAATCTACAATTTGTTTTGTTACACTTTTGAACTATATCCTGTATCTGCAAATGTCAAAAAGCACCAATTATCAAATGAGATATACTGTTGCATGCAGCACAGTTATTTATATTAGTTTGTAGAATATAAATTATAGATTGTTAAAATATATAACAATATGAGGGGCTACATAATGTAAAATAGAAATTATTTTCCTCTTGCTGATGTTTATGATGATTGTTTTATATAATTAATTTCTTATTGTTTATATATATATATATATATATATATATATATATATAGATATTATATATAAATATTATATATGTACATTATATATCTAGGCATAAAAAAGAAAATATAAAATTTAATGATAATATAATTAATAGTAAAACATTTTTATATGCATATATTTTACATTTATTAGAATTATTGATAGTAGAGTTCTAAATTCATTCCATCGTGAATTTCATCTGAAGTAGCGCAATTAAAGAAAATATAACTCCAAAAAATTGTTTACTTATAATTTAAAATTCTAGTAAATTAATTTTAACATGTATTATACATATGACATGTACATGTCGATCGTATTTTAACAGTAAAGGATACAATCTTGCAGCTTTATGTGATCTTTGAAAATGGTGTACCACTTCTTCAACACAATCTTCTCCCAGTGCGTTCCCGTCTGGGCGGCTATCAATTTCTTCAGATCCCCTATGGTGTCATCCGGATTGCACTTGACTCTAACTTTCTTACCAAGACGGTCGTTGCATGTTATCTCTAACATTTTTTATCGTACCTGGCAATCAGAGAACTTTAATACCACTCTACAATAATCTTATGTTAATTTCAGAATCAACGTTTGTTTACACTCTTCATTAATCACGTTAAACACGTATTCGTACAATATAATCCAGATATTCAGACGCAAATAGATCGCACTTACTCTCGTTAGACGCTAAAATTGCGCCAAATTGTTCTCAATTTTCGCAATATTGCGCGAAATACAAAGAGACTAATGTAGAGTCGATGATGATTTTCCGATCTTCGCTCTCTGATTTTACGTTTCTTCGAGGTTATGAGGAGAAAAACAAAGCTCGAGATCATTATACTCGCAGTCGGTAATAAAAATCTCGTTATTTCAAGTTATCAAGTGAGTTATTTAGAGTCAGTATATTATAACAGCGCATCTGTCGATTCATCCGGGGTCTGTTCGTTTTATTTTCACTCCCTAAAATTTTCTGCACTTGAAACGAGATAGATAGAGCGCGAGCAAGAAAGGGAGAAAGAAAACGAAGAGCTGAGCGATTGTAAACAAAAAGAACATATTCATCGCGTCAGCCTCGGGGAAGCCAGCTATATGTTGTGCTCTCCACGAGGCGATATCTCTTCCTCGACAATGCCATGTTGCTATGTTATTACGGGAAAGATATCGGGGAACGTGGTGGTTCGCTACAATAAACGCTATCGCGCGGTGAGAAAGGATCGCTGTAGATTGTTCGTATGAGAGTGCGTGCTATCGCAGGTTCCATGGCAAAACCGGAGCGATTACGCTTCACGATTCTGGAAGACTTGATACTCTTGCGAGAGGTCCTGCGACAGAATCCGTACGAGGAGAGCGACAGGTGGAAGGCCGTTGCCGAGTATGTCGTAAACGCGACGCAGAAGAACTTCAGTCTGCGGTGCATCAAGGAGCACGTCGATCATCTGTTAAAAATTTGGGCGAGAGAAGGTCACGCACACTTGAGGAAGTAAGCAAGCACCCATCGTCGCATTCTGTAATTTATGTTAGGAGATTGATATATGCTATCTTACAAATGCATATTATTGATTGTTTTTCATTTAAATATAAAATAACACGGTCGATACTTATCAGATTTTTCCATGTATTGATTGCAGATCAGGAACCGAGGAACAGTATAATGAAAAGGAACGACTTTTGCAGCAAGTACAAGACTTGCAAAGGGAATTCAGATGTTCCAATAAAAGCACCAATGCACAAAAATCAAGAATGCAAACAAGAGAGATAATAGAGAACATTTCTGATACTTTAGAGGTAATAATAGAGGAACCAATAATGGCAACATCCTTACCTACATCTATATCTTCGACATTGTTGCCAATTGCATTATCATCGCCAACTTCATCGTCTTCGTCATCGTCATCGATTCTGCAAACCTCAGCGAGCCTTTTGCGGTCACCAGCCACATCTCCATTAAGAACAGGTGGTCCAATAAGGAATAAAATACGTCATGACACGATAAAGAAGTCAACATTACAATTTCTACAAGAAAGACATAAAAAAGAAGTGGAATTTCAAGAAAAACAATTTCGCTTGGAGGAGAGGAGAATTCAACTTGAGGAAGAAAAATTTAGAATGGAAAAAAAGGAACGTGAGGCGAGATTGGAATTAGAAATTGAAGAGAGAAGACAACGGATTTCTGTGTCCAAACAGAAACAAGAGATTCTAGAAATATTATTACAATTAATACATAAACCATGATTATTTTCATAAATAATAATTTTTCGTTGTTTTATTAATTAATGTAAGCATTTCTCAGAAGAGAAAAATAGAGGTAATACTAGAATCCGAATCTAGTTCCCTTCAATCTTTTCTGGTAACTACTCTGTCATCACTCACTGAGCCATTCATTGTTCTATATAATTATTTTCTCTCTGCTTGCTTACATTAATAAATAAAATTATTGTTAAAAAATTTATATATATTCTCTGATTTAAAGTTTTATAGATATATAAATAGTATCTAAGTTCTTGAATTAAATAAAACATTTATTTTCAAATATACAATGCTTTGATATATGAAAAAATTGTGGAGTTTTACAAAAAAGCATTTCAAACAAAAAATTGTAGAGCTTTAAGTGGCATTCAAATAATAATATTTTACATATCAAATAATAATACTTTCAGTTATTTTATAAAAGTTGATTATCTGGACTGTTTTAAATAGATGTTTCCTTTTATTGCATATTTTTGTAATTTATGTCGAGATGTTTTCAAAATGATATGATTAAATCCTCTGTTAAGAATTTTCTTAATTGTTATCCATCGTAGATACGATAATGCTGACATTAATGTGACCCAAAGTGTCATTAAATAGCTATGAAATTATGAATTCTGATCTCTACACACACAAAAATGCGATCGTGCTTCATATGACACCTTGAGTCACTAATGCTGATAGTACTATTAATTCGATGACTTTAGAAAGTTGAAGAATTAAATATAATTATTTTAGAAATGCGCACGCATCTCGACATCAACTATAAAAATATATTTAAAACAAGGATTGATTTTTGAAATACTTTTTCCTACTTTTGATACTTTTTATTTTGGAAAATCAATATTTTCCAAAATACCAGAACGTTTCATTATTTTTTTCCTATATAAACTTTATAATAAATACATATATATATGCATATAAAGATTTCTTTTATATTGAGACAGAGACAATTAAAAATGATTATAATGTATCAGAATAAAAATAGCAACTTTTTAGTCTAAATATGGAATTATATGTAAAATTCCAAGATAATTCTAATATATATATATTTTATTTTATAAAAATTAAATATTTTTTTATAAGATTTTATTACAATGATTAATATACTACAATTTGTTCAACTCAAATAGAAATCCTCGATAGTATAGTGGTTAGTATCCCCGCCTGTCACGCGGGAGACCGGGGTTCGATTCCCCGTCGGGGAGGATCTTTTTTGTATTTTTTTATTCTTTATATTTTATTATTATTATTAAAACATCATTAACAAATAATTTCTGAATACATAATTTTTATTAAAGTGAGATTTTTATTCTTAATAAGTAGATGAAAAATCTTTAAGGGGAGAAATTGAATCAACTACATCAAAACTTAATAAATTTAATACATTTCAAAATTCATAAATTGGACATTTAATATGAATTAAAATTTTTTTAATCACTATGAAAAAAGGTTTCGATATAAAGATTATATTTATATCGAATAATTTATACGATTTTTTTTTAGATCGAATTATATTCTACAGGAGAAATATTTTAATTCAGAAATTAATTATTTATTTTATATTTTAAAAAGCTAAAGTGCTTTGCGCAATTCTTTTATAAACCCTTATCACTATACATTAAAAATTAAAGATTGGAATTTTTGTCGGAATTTGAAATTAGAAGAAAATCAATTTAATAAAAATTATATTTAGAGATTTATATGTAATACTGCAAATAACATTAATAAAATAATAAATAATATAATGGTAACAATGGAAAAAAATATATGTATAAGAAATAAAATACAAAAATTCTCCCCGACGGGGAATCGAACCCCGGTCTCCCGCGTGACAGGCGGGGATACTAACCACTATACTATCGAGGACTTATTGACGGGCGATAAAATTTTAACAATTGAAAATTTCTTGCAATTCTGCCAATCAGTAAAAACCCACTAATTATTAACGCGTCATAAAACAGCAACTTGTACATAATTGGTTCGCTATTTTTATCAATTTAGCGCTAGTTTCTTTTATCAATTAATTCGAAAAAATTAGCAAAAATTTCTTTATGCTGATTGGTCATTTAAATATTGCCTTAGCAATTGTAGTATCAATACAAACGCAATTTGAAATCCCACACATTTTTTTTCACAGAATTTGTTAAAAAATAACCGAAATATCTATTTTATAATGCGATTGGAGAGTCTCTAACTATACATAAATAAATTATTATTAAATAAATTATTAATAAATAAAATATTTACATAATTAATATATTAATAAATGTATTTAAATATATATTTAATTTATATAATACCTAATAGCATACATTTCTAAAAGACGTCCAAACATAATCGAGAGAACATCCAGAGGTCATAAAATGATCTTTGGCTATCCTCTAGATGCTCTACGGACGTCTTTTGGACACGTGTATTATTAAGGTATGTATACATGTAAATTATTTAAGTATTTATAAATTAAATATGTATATATTAATTATATAAATATATATATATGTAATATATTGCGCAAATATTTTTTGAACAATAGTGTATAATGTATAAATAACTAGACGGAACTGCATCTGGCAATTATTCAGAAATTCGAAAGGAGCCAACTTGTGATTCAGATGAAAAGGCTTGAATAGATGAGCTTTAATCGTTGGGAGAGATGGCGGGGATGAGTGACGCGCGCGCAGCGCCACCTATACCCCGTTCGGTTGAGCAAGCGTGGCTAATCAAAGCACCAAGAGGTAAGCCGCGAGGTCTGTTTATTTTTGATTTTTCGTTAGATAGCTGCAGTTCCACGTCGGCAATTCGCAAGAGTAATGCGCCTCTTCGTCGTGCCTCGTCCCGTGCATCGTATTCGAAAACCAATTGACCCATAGGAGCAATTGCCATGGAAACGTAGGTGTGAACGCGCCGGACGGGTCCGTAACTTGTCGGGCATCTTGCCTGGTAAAAGCCGAGCTCCATTGCACACCCCGCGCAGCCGTCTCCGCCCGTCTGTCCGTCTGTCCGTCCGACCGTTACTTTCTTCCCATCCCATCCCATCCCATCCCATCCATCCCGTTCCGTCGCTCTGTCGAGCCCGCGGTCGTGATCGCGTCGCTCTAACCAACTAACCAACGTGCGCGTCGATAGTCGTCGATAGCCGACGACGCGTTTACGCATTGAATCCACGAGCGAGAACGGGAACGAGGCGAGCGACTCTTCGTCGCCTATATATTCGCCGATACCTGGCCACCCCCGTGCGAACACGTAATAACGGGACTCTTCCCACGGTTTCTTCTGCCGCAGGAAAATGAGCAGCTCCGAGGAAGTGTCTTGGATCTCGTGGTTTTGCGGCTTGCGCGGGAACGAGTTCTTTTGCGAGGTGAGCACTCGGGGAAACGTCACTGAACGTTGTTACATCTTCGCCATACCCATTTTAAATTGCTCATAACAATGATTATCGGAGCACACTCAGAGCTCTGGAGAATGTCAATTTATTCTTTGGTCATCTATAGTAGAAGTAAGAGTGATAAACTTTTCTTATATAAGTTGCTTAGATTTGGGGTAAGAATAATGAAACGAACAAAATCTCAGAGTAGAATTAAAATGATGCACGAAAGTATGTAATTCTGTTTGTATATGTATGATTTATACATATATGGGATATCATATCATATATCAGCCAATTAAAAAATAAATAATTATGACAAATAAATGTTTATAGTGCTTTAAGATATACAATTTGATTCCTACCTTTTAAGATACGATCCTGACAGTTATATAAATTTATATTTGATACTTTAAAATATTTATTTTATTTATATATTTTTAGATATATTTTACATATAAGAGACACAACATTTGAATGATATCTCATAGAAAAGTTTACAATTATAGATATCACTTTATTCTGTTTATTGTCATATCCAGGTGGATGAGGATTATATTCAAGATAAATTTAATTTAACGGGATTGAATGAACAAGTACCACATTACCGTCAAGCATTGGATATGATTCTTGATCTTGAACCTGGTAAGTTGCTGAGACAGTAATACATTACTTTTTCTCTAATTGTTAAATATTCAAACTGAAATATAGAGATAAATACAAAAAAATTGTCATTGTAATTATAATTTTTAACTTTTATTATTTAATTTCTATTTGCTAGATGATGATTTGGATGATAATCCAAATCAATCAGACCTGGTCGAGCAAGCAGCAGAAATGCTTTATGGTCTTATTCACGCACGTTATATACTTACCAATCGTGGCATCGCTCAGATGATAGAAAAATACCAAGCAGGTGATTTCGGTCATTGCCCGCGAGTTTATTGTGAATCCCAACCGATGTTGCCATTAGGCCTCAGCGATGTTCCTGGTGAGGCAATGGTCAAGAGCTACTGTCCCAAATGTATGGATGTCTACACTCCAAAGAGCTCGAGACATCATCACACCGATGGAGCTTATTTTGGAACAGGATTTCCACATATGCTGTTTATGGTTCATCCTGAATACAGACCGAAACGTGCGGCAAATCAATTTGTACCTAGGTAAATAGACATCATTCTGAAAATAATAAGTACTCTCTTCACATTAAAATTATACAATAACAGTCCAAAATGCTAGTATTGGCTAAAAAAATTCTAAAAGTACAATAAGTATTTTATTTTCTTTCCTTTTTTGATAAAATTACGATACATTTAATTAAACGATACATAAAACGATAAATTAAATTACGATACAACACATTTTTATGATAAAAAGTAAAAATGGAAGAAATTGTTTTAAGATAGATAGGTATTCCAACAAAAAAAATCTTATTAAACATTTATACAAGTTTTGTATATAATTATATATAAACTTTGTGAAAATTTTAATATTTTTTTATAGATTCTATTAGTCTACAATAATCAAAATTATATTACAATTTTCTCAATATATTTTCTAGAGAATATATAGCTATAATATAGTTATATAATATTCATTGTGTGTCATCACCTATATACAAGAAAAAATAGATTAATAGATTGATATTTATTCTTGTCACAGTTATATTTTTATAAAATGTATATATTTAATCAGATATAGATTATATAGACATTTAAGAAGATTCAACACACTTAATATTGACATTTAATATTGAGATAAGATATTGAGATATATATTTTAAACTATCTTTACGAAGTTTTATTTTTGCATGTGTAGAAATGTATGAAATTCTTTGAAAATTAAAAAATGAATTTTATTTTTTTTCCAGATTATATGGCTTTAAAATTCATCCTTTAGCATATCAGATTCAGCAACAGTCTGCATCCACGTTCAAAGCACCTTTACGAGCTCTTAATTATAATAATGGAAAACGTTAAGGTCATTTTGGAATAGCCTAGAATACTTCCTTTCATTACTCGCAATTTCTAATTTCGTCCTGAAGATTCAAATAAAATATTTTTTATATCTCTGTTACTCCCATGCAATATATTTCTGCGCAAAAAGGACATTTCTTACAGAAAGCGCTCCTTGTAACTTTAGTACATTCATTATTTCATTGCTCTTACATTTTCGGAATATACGATATTACGTGAAGAAACAAAAAGAAAAAGAAAGAGAGGCGATCATTTAGTTTCGTCGTGTGTAAATCATTGTCATATAATTTAAATTGTAGCAACAATATTCTTTTTCAACACTCGTTAACGCGAAGAACTAATATGTTTTTGTATAGAAACTGAACATTATTTACATTAAAGGATAAAGGGAAAAAAATAAGGAAAACATAGAATAATTACATTAGATCATAAATAAGGAAAGAGAGAAATGATTATAGGATAGAATATACATCCATTTTGTACGAGAGTCGTTTGCGTCACCGTATTTGCTGCCAAGTAGTTCCTAAAAATGTGCAGAAGCGGACTTCTATAAGGAGAATCGAAAAGTGAATAGAAAGAGAAAAAGATGGATTTCACATTGGTTCTTTTCGAGACGAGAAATAATGTATAAAGAAAAATATAGTTATTAAGTAACTTAATTTAATCACTGAGTAATTTCTACGCGAATTGTGACAGAAACAATTTATTGATAAATATAAATTTATAATATAAATATATATTGTAATATAAATTTATAATATAATATAAATTTATTGATAAATCGTATAGATAATATATATTAATAAATTACTTTGACGCCAAAAATAATTGAACTCGAGACGTAGTTATTTTAAAGAAACAAAAAATCGTGCGGTGTTCCACGAGAAAGATTTAAAAAAATGATTGTCTTGGTTTTTGTCACAATTCTCGAAACGTTCTTATTGACATTTAATATTGGTGGAAGGAAGATTCGCGCGATTAGAAGATAAAATTCTATGTACAATTTTTATCGTAGAGCAACAAAGCTAATAGTAACATTTTTTTCATTTCGTTTAATTGTTCGCGAAGTAAAGTTTTGAATCAAATGGATTTTGTATCCAAATTGATTGGTTTATACTAGGGAAAACTATTGTATTTTCACTTTAAATTAAAGTACAATTTATTTACATATTGTGTTTTTAATATTCATACAATTATGAATTCAAAAAGATTAATATAAATATGTAACTTAATTAATTTACATTACTATGTATAATTAGTTTAAATTAATTAATTTGCATTATTATGTATAAGTTGAATAATTATATTTATCCTTAATTATCAAAATTAATACTGTTTAATATTTATATGCATTATTTTTTAAAACTGTTAATGAGTTCAATATAATCATAAATTATAGACAAAGATACTATATATTGTTCTAGAGTTAGTGTATCTGACAGATTTTTAAAATTTTGACACGAAAGTTTAAATATCTATATCGAGTTATAATAGTTTTTAAATTGGATAGCGCGTTTAAAGTTATTTATCATTAACCAATCAGAACAAAAAATCATTGCTCCAATTGGTTAATCAAGTCCGCATCCTTCTTGATTAAAATAAAAGGAATTAAAATTCCTTTTATCTGATTGATCATATTTCAATTTTCCATACAGTCTCTGATACTGGCTTTAAGTCATTATACTACGGATTGCGGGCTCGTCTAAAGCCGGATCTACATTGGTCGTATCGTAACGTCGCAAGTCGTAAGTCGTAGGCAAATTGGCCAATCATGATTGATTATTTTTGAAATAATCGACTATGATTGGTCAATTTGCCAACGACTTACGACTTGCGACGTTACGATACGACCAATGTAGATCCGGCTTTACGGCTTTAGTCCCGATCTACAATAGATAATTTAAGCTTTAAGCCTTAAGAAATTGACCAATCACAGCCGAATATTTTCTTCATACTTGACTGTGATTGGTCAATCTTTTAAGGCTTAAATTATTTATTGTAGACCCGGTCTTATATTTTTCCCCCACATCTCCATAAAACTATTCTTCAATTTCGACCAATGAGCGCGATCCTTGCGAATTCAAATGTCATATGTAAGGCAAAAACCGGTAGAGAACCAAAAGTTTACGTTTAAATTATATTTAAGTTTTGAAAGTGATACGCAGAAATATATAAAGTCATATATTATAGGATACATAAATAAGACTATTTTACATAAATATAAATAATTTTATACGTATGACGGCCTTGTAACGTGCACAAGATACTTTCTGTCTTTCTTTTTGTTAGGTCTACAGTAGGGCTGTTTAGTTTGACAGGTGTTGTGTGTATATATATGTGTATACTAGAAGATGTTTCGTGATGAAAGCATTCTGATTTTATCTCCTTTCCATGTGCTTCATTACTAAAAATCATCGAAAAATCTGACATCTATTATGCCAATGGCTATTTGTTAGCATAACTTAAGGATAATTCGCGACGTTTTTCTTCAGGTAATTATACGGTATGGAAGTTTACGATATTCTGGCTGAAAATCTGTTCCAATAAAGAAAAGAGAGAGAAAGACAGTAACCAAAAATCTTAATTTTTTTACGTGATCTTTTTTTTTTAGATTCAAAACAATTGTAACTTTATCATTTATGTATTATAAACATCTTTTTTAATATTTACATTAATGTATTTCCTTTATATTATTATTTTATTTATTTAATTATATATATACTTAAAAAAATATATATATATTTTACAAAAAAAATATAATTATACTATTTACAAAAGATTTTTAAATAAATTTGTAAAACAAGAATTTTCAATAGCATAATACAATAAAAAAAGATTAATATTAATATTAATTAAGATTAACATTAATTTATATCTTATATGACTTTAATAATTTATATTTTATATATATAATTTTTGTGCTATACAGGGTGTCCCATTTTAATGCCCCACCCCAAATAACTTTCTTATTTTTAATTTTAGAAAAAGATGTTTCAGACAAAAGTTGTATGGTTTCGAGGGGGACATAAGATGGTACCATTAATTTGATCTTGAAGAGTCACATGAAGGTTACGTGAAGATCATTTTCAATTTCTTAAATGGAACACCCTATATATTTTTGCATATTCTTGTAGCTTATCTCGAGAGCTTTCCAAAACACTATAAATAAACATTTTTTCATCAAGTACGTTTCGAGTAATGAGGCTTGAAATCATTTCTTAATTTTACATAAACCATAAAATATCTTGTAAAATATTCATTTTTTGATTATCTTACCTTAATACTTTTATGTACAAAATAATGAGAGAAATCCATTGGTGCAAAGAAAACATACAGTTGTTTTTAAGAAAAAAATATGTAATTTGCAATTAACAATTCCATATTTTTTCTTAAAAACAACTGTATGTTTTCTTTGCACCAATGGATTTCTCTCATTATTTTGTACATAAAAGTATTAAGGTAAGATAATCAAAAAATGAATATTTTACAAGATATTTTATGGTTTATGTAAAATTAAGAAATGATTTCAAGCCTCATTACTCGAAACGTACTTGATGAAAAAATGTTTATTTATAGTGTTTTGGAAAGCTCTCGAGATAAGCTACAAGAATATGCAAAAATATATAGGGTGTTCCATTTAAGAAATTGAAAATGATCTTCACGTAACCTTCATGTGACTCTTCAAGATCAAATTAATGGTACCATCTTATGTCCCCCTCGAAACCATACAACTTTTGTCTGAAACATCTTTTTCTAAAATTAAAAATAAGAAAGTTATTTGGGGTGGGGCATTAAAATGGGACACCCTGTATGCGTGCTTAATTGCAACAATTGTCTTTATGATATAAAAATAAATCAAAAGATTATATATATTGATTTTCAAAACTTTTAATTTCTGTTTATTTCTTTCATATTTTTTAAGAGCAGCATCTGAATATAATGCATATTTTGAACATTATTAAAACATAATATTTCTTTTTTTACAGTCAATAACATTTGTTCTCGAAAGATTATCAATGATGTCAGATCTTGTAGGAAATAGCCATAGTTTTAATAGTGCAAATACAAGCAAAACATCAATTACACTACCAAAGTCTCAACCAGTACGCCTCTTGTATTTGTGTGAGAGCGATGAAGATGACGATGATAATGAAAACGAAGAGAAACCCCGCGAGTCTGAAGATGAGTCAGATTTGGATGAAGTACCAAGTGATCCTGCTGATAATGTATGGGAATCACGTATACATAAAGCAGCAGACATTGATCCTTTGATTAGTCCAACAGATGGGCTCTTAAAAACTATATGTGTATCGCCAAAAAATGATTGTGCAATTCCAACTGATATTTCTTCTATACAGAAATGCTATGCGCATAAAGAAGAAGGTGATTCTGATATGAATAAAAACCTACAACCAATAACAAACAGTGTCCAATTGAATCATGAGAATGTTTACATGTCCAATCATCTATGTAGCACAATGACTGATAATAAAATGCTGCATAGGAATAATGAGCACTTGTTGAATTTAAGCAAGGAGGACCAGCGGCATAAAGAAATGTTGTATGGTTTTAGTGAACAAATGAATAAAGATTGCAATGAGGAGCCTTGCAAAATCCCAACCATCGTATCGGAATCCATTAACTGTATATCTCAAAACCTATCTGAGAACATAATAAATCCTATAACATATAACTCACAATACAGCACTGCCAAGTATGAAGCAAATGAAAAATGTACGCCAGCTAAAAATTCAAGCACACACATGGTATCAAGTACACCCTCACTGAACAAAGTTCAGCAAACATCATTACTTACTCCAGTTAATCGTTTAGTCTTGGAAACTCCATTGAAACAGCCAATTGCTTCAATGCATCCGAAACCATGCACATCGCATAAGCAACTATTTCAGACCCCACAGAATAAATTGTCTGATGATTTAAGTAAAAGTCACATTCAAACTCCTTCCACAATATTGTCCAGTTGGTACTATAATAATGCGAGGCATACACCAATGGAGGGAAAAAATCTCGTTACAAAGGATTTTGTGCAAATATCTAGAAATACAATTTGTACGCCTATTGCAGAGAAGCCGGACTCCGCGAGGTTTGTAGAATCATTTTACAACTACACACTTTAAAAAACAATATTTAATTTATTGTTTAACATCACAGTATTATTTGTTTATTTTTGATGAAAAATATATTTATAATATATTACTGAAATAAATATAAAAAAATAAACCTTTTGTCAATTTGTTTGAAATTGAATTTTTATATCCAAAATGAATTATGATTCTTTTGGTTTAAACACAGATCGCAGAATATCAATGGTAATTAATTTTTTTTTTTTTAGATCAAATGTTAAGAACGTGAGACCTTTAGCGGATTCTATGTTAGTACATAGCGATTCTTCTGCAATTCATCCTTCAGAATCGAAGCCACTCGTTGCGTTGCACGCATACACTGAAACAAAAAATGTTGCATCCGAATTACAACAAAAAGATAGAAGCAAGAAAGCGGGTATAAAATTGATGATGGACACAGAAATTAATTATCATAATGGTAAATGCATTAATAGCGCGTCCAAATTAAATATAATAATTTAATTATTAAATATCTTATTTTGTTGTTACATTAAGTTGTCATTGTATTCAGATCCGAAATTTTCAAAGCCTACCGAGGAAATGAAGGACAACAAACAGTTCGTCAGTATATCAGACACATTGCTAGGAGGTAGTACAAAGACTGTGTCGAGTAAGAACGAAATCAAACGAAATGTGATAATTGGGTCTAATATAGATCTAAAAGATTCCTTGCAAACTCTAAACAAGTATAGTGAAGAAAAACACGGAATCGTCTCTGAATGTAAAAACTCACACGAGCGATATCCGATTTGCGAGAAGCGCGAAAAAGCTCAAATCGTAGATAGAGTAGCAAACACACAATTTACTATATCATCGAGCATTCTTCCACAACGACAAGGTAAAACATTACGTGTGAAGAACAAAGAGTATCTGATTCTGGGCTCTCTTGGTCGTGGAATGAGCGGCGAAGTTCTGCGAGTGCAGGATATTTCTTTCGGCGAGTTACGCGCAATCAAATGCGTAGACTTGAGCAAGATGGACAAAGAGTCGGCTCAGGGCTGCTTGGACGAGATCTCCATGCTACATAAATTACAGGCGTCATGCGTCGTCAGAATGTTCGATTAGTGAGTATGCATTGCAAATATGCAAAATATCAGATATATTCGAAGATAGCAATAATTTTGACTGCGCGAGAACACATTTCTGAAAAGAATTTGATATTATCTTGATAATAATATAAATGAAATATTAACGTCTTTAATAACGTTAATTTAATTTAATTGTTTAGTGAGATCACAGACTCTATGGTTTATGTGGTGATGGAAATGGGTGATACCGATCTCAGTAGACTTCTGAAGTCCATGTCCCAGGAAAAGCAAATTTCTCTCACGATGATTCTGTATTATTGGACAGAAATGCTCACTGCTGTAAAACACATACATGATAATGGTATATATATATATATATATATATATATATATATATATATATATATTTATTTATTTATTTATTTAATTAATTAATTAATTTAACACAAACGCTATTTTATCCTGTAAATAAATGGCTTCTATGTTTCAGGAGTCATACATTCGGATTTAAAACCAGGAAATTTTTTACTTGTACGCGGCCGACTTAAGTTGATAGATTTTGGCATCGCTTCTAGTATAAATTCCGACATGACATCTGTTCTGAAAAATAGTACAATTGGAACATTAAACTATATCAGTCCAGAAGCTCTGATGGACATCGGCGGTAGCGCGGATTCGCCTACGCACAAAGTTAAATACAAGGTGGAGCAAAAATAACAAATAGATAATTCGAGATAAAAGCCTTTTTTTCTTACATTTAAAGAAATGCTTAAAAAGTTATGTTAATCATTTATTAATTAAAAACCGTTTCAGCCGAATCAGCTTGATTGGAATAATTGAATTAAGAAGTTAATATCTCGTGATATTTATTATTATAAATTAAATTAAAAATTCATAAGTTGCGAGTGGAGATGAATAGTATCGTTTTCTCGACAGATAAGCTTCAAGTCGGATGTATGGTCATTAGGGTGCATTTTGTACAGCCTAGTATATGGTCACACACCGTTTCAACACGTACGTTCCCAATGGGCGAAGGTGAACGCTATAACTAATCCGAAACCGAACATTTCGTTTCCGGCATTCTCCTCGAGCGGGAAGAATCTTCAAAATCATGAGCGCACGCCGCCCGTCCTGATTGATGTGATGCGGAAGTGTCTTCAGCACGATCCGAAAGCGAGACCCACAGTGTCACAATTATTGCAGGTACAATATGTACCAACCATGCAAAATGTTGCGTCGATCATGACATCCGCTGACATTCCGGCGAGCATTCTTGTGAAAATAAAGCAAGCTCTGAATGAGGATGAGTGGCGGCATTTGGTGCAGGTGAGCGCATCTTTGTCCTGAAGGACAAATTTTTTATAAGATTATATATATATAAAAGAGGATCTTTACAATGTTAAGAGTAATCTCCAATATTTCATTATTAATTCGATAACAATATTAAAAAACAATAAAAAATAACTATTAAAACAACTTAATAATATAACTTTTCTATAATTTTGATGAAAGAACAGTTTCAAAAAACTATAAATATTAAATTTACATAATAATTATTATTAGAAAGATTCTTTCATTATAGTACATGTCGCATTATGTTGTATTGAACATATGGAGATTAATTATTATGTAATTATTATAATTAATTTGCTTCCAGTTTTGACAGTAGAATTTAAAAACTTTTACAAAAGATACACTTCTGAACAATTGTGTGAATAAATATAATTTTAATTACTCTAATTAAACAAAATATCCTGCATTTTTTCAGATATTGGACACAAAGCGACATTGTATATGATATTATCGAAGTAATACATTATTGGTTTACTGATGTACATAAAAATATTTGTATATACATACAAGAGACAATTTGCAGCGAGACACAATACGGAAACATTTGATGACGTGTGTATCGAGAACAAGGCTAATGAAAAATAATATACATTTATATATATATATATGTATAGGAAGAGAGAGAGAGAGAGAGAGAGAAAGAAATGTAACAGTTTCGCGCGAGAGAATAAATTATAAATAAAATTGAATTTGAATATTATACTTGCTTGTGTATCACATGAATATGAAACTTTGTATACAATATCAGGAATATTATATTGTAAGAAAGTAAATTTATAATTTTGTGTTAAGTTAAAATATTTTTCAGTTTTTTATTTTGTATTTCACGCTCGTATACAAATATTGTATTTGCTATTCGCGAAAGTTAAATGTAATCGATATTGTGTTTTACACTTGTAGATTTTGCAATTTGTGCAAATTATTTAGAAATATTGAACCATGCACGGTTTTATTTCATTACTTTATTACTTTCGTAATATGTAAGAAACGATAAATTCAATTGTTTTTTACCGCATCGCAAAAATTTTGATTTGTTCAAAGCATTAAATTTATAACTCTTCCGTTTTAAAGTATGGCAAATACGGATTAATTTATCTTAATTCTATTCTCTCTGAGTCTTAAAATATATTTTAATGTAAACAAAAACGTATCTTGTTTTTTTGGTTGAATAATTTTGATAAATAATTGTCAAAAAATAAATTAGTGTTGTCTTTATAATTTATTAATAATGTGCTTGATGTTATGAATAAATCACATTATGGAATATATACATATGAAGTTTTACGTTATGTATAGATTCTATTGTACCACATTTTTCGATGTTATGTTATTTTAAGATTTAAATTATAACAATAAAGAATAACACACAACTGTTTTTTTTTTAAATTAATTACTTACCGTTGTGTAGTGAAGTTAAATGTGTGAAGACAGAAGAATTAATTTATTGCTGATGTTAGCTTAATCGATATATGTATATGTATAAAAGCCAATGATATATCGAAATTCCTATATGTTAATTTTCTACTCTATCTAAGCAAGTTTGACAAAGAAGTTTGCCATAACAAGGTAGCAGTGTTTTTTATTAAAGTTATACAAGGAACCAGCGAAAGAGTTGAATGTATTATGAAAGTCTCGCAAGATAGTTTATGCATAAAATACATAAACTATTGCTTTACGTACAACTTAGATGAATAAACGAAAAGCAGTTTTTCTTTCGCTTGTGCGAATCAAAAAAATTACACACAAACTCGTTATTTTAAGCACGGATGTTCAACACCGCGGAAAAATACACTGCCTGTGTCTTTCGCTTGTCATAAATACGTTGTATAAAACGCAAAATGTCTATTTTTCGCCTGAATGGCGAGGATTGACAATGCTTTTCACTCACGTATATTGCACTCTGGCGATCACGTTGCATATAGAAGGAAGGGATCAATGCGTGCTCGTAAGTTGCCAATATTGCAATAGCTTCTCTCCTTTCGACAATGCCATGGAGTTTGGCCTTTCGAACGTCAGCATGATTTCTCTGACCTTATTTTTCAATTCGCGATCGAAGAGATGGCCACCAGTGCGCTCCAACGCAGATGCCATATCGTACTCAACCGAAGGCAGAGGCTCGCGAATAAAACGCGCTGCGCTGGCAATGCTGGGAAGGATATGCCATTGCAACGCTCGGATCTCCCAAAGACTACTGAGCAACGCGTTACTCAGTAATGGGTCGCGTTCCTCCATGAGGAACGGATCACCTGCACCAGAGGCGACTTCGCCGCCCTGTGGATGATCGATCAGCCTCTTTAATCCTGGATGTCGAAGCAATAAGTTACCCACGAAAAGCAGAATTATTAGGATATCTTCTGGCGGTGCAACCAATGTTAGACGTGCGAGTCGCTTCGCAAATGCTGCTACTAATGCTTCCGGTAAATGTCTGAAAAAATAAAAAGTTTGTAATAATTTTACATATTTGAAACGGGTTCTTTGTTTCATAGATCTCTTTATAGTTCTAAGGAATAGAATACAATTTATTCAAATTTTATCAAGAATATAGGACACTTACGTCGAGCTGAGAAACAGATCAGACAAGTAAAACAGACGAGCCTTGTACTTAGTATGAAAAATTTCTGGTTCAAACATTGAATACAGTTTAGTGAAAATATTTGGATATTCTAGATTATGTTTGGTGACCAATACAAATACACCTTGCAAGGCTAATACACCGACAGGACCATCCACATCTAGAGAGTCCATTAAAAAATCTGTCAATAATATCGGTTTTTCTAAATGCGGCATGACTCGTTCCAGCAAAACCAATAACAATTGTTTGTGTAACTGCGGTGTCAGTTCCCAATGCATAACACAGCCCCAGACTTTGTTTAACGCACGTTTAACGGCTGACTGATCCCAGGTGAATGTAGCATCTAATAAAAAAACATGTAAGGCAACTTTACATAAACATTAATCATATAAAAAATATTATAAAATAATAATAATGTAAAAAAATAATAATAATGTAGAATATTTACCTTGTGGCCCACACAGGAGCTCCTTATTGTCCGATACTTTAGATTCTGAAATATTCAAGTTTCTATTTTTAAAAATATATAAATATCAAATAAATAGATTGAGAACTTAAGAATATAAAGAGAGACAAGAAATTCTACTGAAATGTTACATGTAATAAATAATAATATGTATATCATTTTTTACATAAAAAATTTCTAATCTCAAAGACAATAAGTCTCAAAAGAGAAAAACTATACCTTCCCCTTCTTTTGGCAGTGGTATTTTATCTATAAGTTCTAATAGGTTCTTAATGTAAATTTCTTGTGGTTGTCTCTTTGGGGTAAGAGAAGGTAGACATTTCCATGTATAGTATAGAGCATCAGGGTATTCAGTGATCTCTTGGAACCTTAATATTAAATTTGTATTGTCCTTTTCAGGTGAAAGGAGCGTCATAAGGATAGGCTTCAGACGTTGCAATGGAAAATAATAACCCGTTTGGTCACGCGGCTCCAACGATGCTTTACCCTCTTCCGCCAACAACTTTATCGCAGTGGTAAGAGCTTGCAATTGAATAGTCGATTTACATTTTTCCATAGATGCTAGTATCTTTTTCCAAACTTCCTCGTAGCAATTTCTTAGCCAAGTTATGTAGCGGGATTCGGGGCTAGGTTCTATTTCACATATGTTGAAAATATAAATTTTAAGGTACATAGAAATATTTTTTACATGTTATAAATATGTATAAATAAATATATATAATACTCCTATATTCCTTATTCATCTTATTGATATAAAAAGACTCATCGGACCACTAACAATTACGTTTTTTTTTTCCTAGACTCACCTGAGATGATGAGAGTTATCGAATGTTCGAGGTACATGTCGCCGCGTTTCAGTACCTCAACGAATATCGTTTCTATCGTAAGCAAGCATAAACAGGTGGATTCCTGCGAATGAAAAAGGGTGAGATTCTTCTTCAACGACGCGTCCTAATCAAAAACAGATGACATCAAAAACGTCATCTCTTATCGGCTCTTAAACGGTTCACTCACGTCCCAATGGCCGATTATGTCTACCAGGTTGTTCGCATGTTTCCGCGAAGCGAGAAACTCCTGGGCTCGCTGCCGCAGTAGCCTCGACATCGCTCTCTGACCCGTGGTGGCGCCCGGTAAGCCCGCTGCATCCGTCATCGCTATGCTACTCTCGAGAGGAGACTTCGCGAGAGGTTGTATTAATGGCAGCAGGTAGCCGAAGACAGGCAACTGTTGTCTAGGTTAGATCGGGTTAGATCAGGTTAGGATTAGGGTTGGGTTGTGTTAAGTTAGGCCATAAGACCGGGTTTACAATGCATGTAGTAAGCTTTAAAGCCGATATTACATTTGTCATACGACAAATTTTTTTAAACATATTGATTGGCTGTAGAGTAAAAAGTTTCTAATGACTCAAAAAATTACTATCCCGCAGCCAATCAATACACTTAAAAAATTTGTCTTACGACAAATGTAATATTAACCTATGTCGTAAGAGGAATTAATCAATCATATTAAATTAGTCTTCTTACAACTTCAATTGTGATTGGTCAATACCTTATTTAAATTCTCTTTCATTCAAGCTGCGCAACCAATCAGAACATAGAAATGTTTTTTCCTCTTTTGCCACAATTAGATGCTTTGACCTCCGGCGAAATATAAAAACTTCACCGGAGTTTCTCACGATTACAAATGAATTATTTCATGTGATTTATCTCACCATATGGGAATTATTATTGAGTATTTTACGACATGCAAGAACGAAAATATAAATTTAAAATATAAAAAAATATATGTTTATAATAGTATTTTTGAATACATATAAATTAATGTAATATAATAATACTGAATTATTTATATCAATTATAATATTAATTGCAATAAAAATTTAAATATATATAAATAGTGTCTTGCGATCTTCGCGCGTTACATCATATCAATCTTAGCGAAAATCTTAGTGTGGCATGAAATTTTCTGCGTATCATGCTCATTATGCATTATTCTCGGCTCCTTTTATAGGTCTCTTAATGTTTTATGTCAAATGCACGGTACGTTGTTCATAAAACTCAATTTTTAATCTTGCATTTCTTGATTATTAGAGAAGGAGAAAAAATCTTATTTGTTTAGTGTGATAAATAGATAAATTTATGTAACTAGTATTGCTATCTATATATATGTATATACATATGTATATACATATATATATTTATTGATTTTAATCACTTGTGATAACATTTTTTTACACATTTGAAACATTATATATTGGATTGTCCAGGTATTGCATTGATAAAAATCAAGTGATCAATATATATAACTATAAGAATCATTGTAAATATATTGTGACCACAAAGTAAAGATTAAAAAAAAATGAAAATGACAATGGTTCCAGCTAAGCATACTCTTCATAGTGGAATTTTTCATCCTGTCTTACGACAGTGGCAGTCGCCAAATGTAGAGATCACTGCTAATAATCTTATGTATCCCATATTCATATCGTAAGTATAGTATCTGATTATTGTTTAAATATAATTTATGCAAATATATATCAAATGTGTATAAAATATAAATATAATTTAAAAATTTATTAATAAATGTATTAATTTGTATATATATTATTTGCTTGTTGCAACATTATAGAAATGTAATTTTTATGTTTCTAGGGATGAGAAAAATGCTAAAGATGCTATTAGTAGTATGCCTGGTATATATCGTTATGGTATTAATCAGTTAGAAAATGTGTTAACACCTTTAGTTGCAAAAGGATTGCAATCTGTCTTATTATTTGGCATTTTGCAACATCTTGAAAAGGTAATGCCTACAAATTGCAATAAAACTAGAGAAAGAATGTTTCTCTGAAATTAAATTATAAAAATATATTAAAATATCAACTATCTTATTTAAATTTTTATTTTTATCATTATATATTTTTTAATTCAATTAAATATTTTTAATAAAATTTTATATTTCTAATTCTATTAATTTTTTTTTTAGGATGAGATTGGAAGCAACGCTGACAGTGCAAAGAATCCTATTATTCAAGCTTTACCATTATTGCGAAGAAAGTTTCCCAATTTATTGATAGCATGTGATGTTTGTTTATGCCCATATACAATTCATGGACACTGTGGTATCCTCAATAACGATGGTAGCATAAATAATACAGACAGTATTCGAAGGATTGCTGAAATTGCTGTGTCATATGCAAAAGCTGGTAAGAGTTCATACATTTTTAAAATTTATCTACTTATAAAGTTAATTATGTATGTATCATTATTTCAAAAACTTAAACCATTACAGGTGCTCAGATTGTTGCACCATCCGATATGATGGATGGCAGGATAGGTGCAATAAAACATGGTCTAGCTACTGCCGGATATTCAAATAAAGTAGCAGTTTTATCATATGCTATAAAATTTGCATCAGGGCTTTATGGGCCTTTCCGGGACGCATCGCAATCTGCCCCAAAGTTCGGTAATCGCATGTGCTATCAGCTACCACCTGGGAGCAATGGTTTGGCAGCCAGAGCTGCTGTAAGTTTCTGCTCATTATTAATTTTTTATTCATAATATTTCTGAAATATTAAGGAAAATAAATATGTGGATCTATAAGTATACATATAACGTCTCATTCTGTTATATTGTATTCAAATATTTAAAATTACATTTGTAATTCTTTTCTTGTACTTTGTATTAGATGAAATTGTACATGGAATTCATTTTTTTTTATTTTTTATCTTTTTGAAAGGCAAGAGATGTAGATGAAGGAGCGGATATGCTAATGGTAAAACCAGGACTACCTTATTTGGACGTAGTACGATGTACGAAGGATACATATCCACAATATCCTTTATTTGTGTACCAAGTTTCGGGAGAGTACGCTATGCTGCATCATGGTGCACAAAACGGTGCGATCAATTTGGAAAATGTGCTGAATGAAATATTACTCTCCATGAGAAGAGCAGGTGCTGACTGCATTATAACATATTTTACACCGTTGATCTTGGATATACTGCAACCGAAAAGCAAGTTATAATTATTATAAATTTTACATATATATAGTTATATAGATATTTTACATATATATAGTTATATAGATATATCCTATATATATATATATATATATATATATATATATATATATATATATATATTAAGTTTTTATTATTACATAATATTTCTGAAATATTGAGGAAAATAAATGTGTGAATCTATAAGTGTATATTTATATATATAATGTCTTATTCTGTTATATTGTATTCAAATATTTAAAATTACAAAACATCACATTCGCAATTGTTTTTTTATACTTTGTATTAAATGAAATTGTATATGAAATTGATTTTTTTTATTTTTATATACATATAAGTGTATATATGTATATATTTTATATATATGTATAATCGTTCATAATAAATTCATTGTAAATTAATTATTCTAATTAATTAACATTATGATGTTATAAATAATTAAATTATTCAATATTAAATTATCTATAATAATTATCTATAATAATTATCTATAATATACATACATAAGAAATTAATTTTTATCCAGAGGGATAAATTTTAATGGGTAAGGGAATTTTTAATTTTAAGATAAATTAAATTTTGCAAATTAAATAGGTATCAGAAAGAATTTTTATTATCGATAACGCGATACTATCTTATTTCATCATTTATGTGTGTGCATTACATTATGCCTTTGTGTTATAATAATATCAGTAAAAATAATTATGTAAGATGATGCGTTATTACGAACAAACGTTCCGTTTAACCTACTACCTATAGAGATAACGGGCAAATACCGTTACAATGAATGGTGTCACGGTGCGCGTGAAGTACAACTCGAGTAACATGTTCCATGCTATTTATTTCACATATAATCTTGTACCTGTATGATTTTGTACAATAAATAAAAAAAAAACTTTCTTGTTTTAAGACAAAGTTAGAAAGAGTTGTACGCGAATATACAAATATTAATAGTACATGATGACAATAGATGGAAATTTCAATAAGATATTTTAATAAAATAAATTTCTCACACGATTAAATTTCTCTTTTTAAATTATCAAAAGAGAGAAAAAAACATGAAATCATATTCTTTTATTTCAATATATATTAATGACATTTATTATATTGGAATTTTTATATACATATGATTGTATAAATCAAATATATATGATTGTATATAGCAAATATATATATATATATATATATATATATATATATATATATATATAGTATACAAGGCCGCATTTAGGGGGGGGGGGCAACAGGGGCTGAAGCCCAGGGGACTTCACGATCCTGTAATGATATATAAATGAAAAAAATACAATTACATCATAAATATAGCATACTATTCCTTATTAAACAGATTGCGCGTTCAAACGGTTTTTTTCTTATGCTAAAAAAATGGGAGCTATTTAAATCTATTTTTATTCACTTCATATAAACACGTTTGTTTAAAACATTACAGTTATCCTTTATTAAAATATATGTACATTAAATTAATGATTTTTTTTAGCAAAATTATTTTTTTATCGTGAAAATATTTAAATAAGATTTTTATATGCGTATTATATATTTTATGCAAGAATGACGCTTCTTTATATTCCTTTTTAAAATAAGATTATCAATAATACTAATTATTGAAAGTTTGAGACTATTGAAAATTCAGCTATCTTCTTCGTTTAAATAAATCTTTCAACAAAATTTATGTTTTTTTCTTTGTCGAAAAGAATAAAAAATTATAAAAAAATACATATATCTTTTTGTATTTTTTTTACAAGAAAATACCTCAAAGCTAATATTTAATTAATAAATAATGCAATTATCGATAAAACTAATTATTCGAGGATATAAACACATTCTTCATATTTATTCATATTTATTCATATTGCTTCATATTTATTTTTCGCGTATCTCCAATGTATATAATTTTGCAATTATAATTCAAATTATTAAAAAAATATCCTAAACGCATCAATTTACAAATTTGGAACTAAAACACTAAGAATATCGATAGTTTGCATCAGCTGGATACCGCATCGCGATATCTTAGCTGATGCAAACTATCGATACTTGTCAGCGTCGAGAAAGCGAGACCGCGAACTCTCCGGAATGACGTCCACGTGTTCCGTCCACCGTATCTAATCGACCACGGACGAATCGCGATGGTGGGCGAAGGTTCTGAAAGTACGCTGTCGTGACGTGGGCCAATGAGGTGCGGCCAACTGTACGCGCGTCCGACCAATCGACAGCGGCGCCTTCTATTAACGCCGCGAGTGTCGCGGCCAATCAGCATCGGCCACGACGAAACGGTCCCGTTAATATTCCGGCCGCGAGTCCGGCATCGACGTCAGTCATCGTTTTACCGTTCGTCAGAAGAATCGAGGATCTCGTACGTAGCGCGCATCAAGGAACGTTTTGCTGAGAAAACCAACGATACGTATTCTACTGGTGAGTGAATTCTTCGCTTGGAATATGTCGTCGAGAACCTCGGGAAGAGTCGAGAGGTTTAAGTCGTCGACGTATCGACGTTAACCGGGATTCGAATGCGGATTCGATCTTGGAGTTCTCGTTGATACGAGAACGTTCCGTCGAGAATCTTCCTGCCATTCTGTGCTGTCAATCTTAATTGTCACTCAGACAGTTGACGCGGATTTCAACGATGGTCTTCTTCGATTACTTTCGATCGCGTGTTATTTTTGTACGTTTTCGCTAACCCAAACTTTTTTTCTATATGTACTTTTTTTTCCTTTACATTTGGTGCACACTAGCCTTTTGCCACGTTTAATCAAGAGTCGCTCGATACGTCGAAGCTCGTGGAAATTTCCGCGTGTTTTCCGCGCTGTACAAAGATGTTCGCGAGTAATCTTAATCTGTGACTGATCATCATGTTGAAATATGTCGAATCGAAGAGATGACGTGTGACACGTTTATCGAATCAAGATCCGCCCGGTTAGAATCTGTTGGTTCGTAAAGTCCCGGAAGGACTAATTTCTTATTAATCCGTGTAACTATTCAATTATTATATACATTGAAGCATATTGAAACATCTCAAGAAAATTAGAAGGTCAACATATGTATTTTTTTTTAAACATGATACTACATATGTAAAGATAGACTACCCTCCAAACTTAAAAAAAAACTTTATTTACAAAGTGAAGTTTATTCCAGTAAGATTTATTTTTTAAATATAATTTTTATTAATTTTTGTTAATTTTTTTATTATTAAGCTAAAATTTATTTTAATAAATATATTAATTTGAGATTTTTCAAGTTATTAATAATTAATATCTAAAGTTAAAGATATTATAATTAAATGTGTGACGTGGTAAAATTATATCTAATTAAGATAAAAAATCTATTAAAATTTCTAACAAATGTCATACTAGTTATTATTACTAAAGAAATGATATGTTTGCACAGAAAAATCTGTTTTTAGATTAAAGAAAAACTATTTGTACATTAATCCCAGGATTTTTAATGATTTAGGTGAAGTTACAGTAAATCATGAAGGGACTTAAAGCTCTGCTAATGGTGGGGCTGCTTGCAGTCGCCACACTTGCAAAGGAAGATAAAGAGAAGGAAGATATTGGTACAGTGATAGGAATTGATTTGGGTACAACTTATTCCTGGTGAGTACACAATGATACATTGCATTACCAAGAACAATGACTCATAATTTTTTTTTTGGTTTTACCTTTGCAAGTAAATTAATGAAACACTACGTATACCTTTCAGTGTTGGAGTTTACAAGAACGGCCGCGTGGAGATCATCGCCAACGATCAGGGTAACCGTATCACGCCGTCTTACGTGGCATTCACCAATGACGGCGAACGTCTGATCGGCGACGCCGCCAAGAATCAACTGACGACAAATCCGGAGAACACTGTGTTCGACGCCAAACGGTTGATCGGCCGCGAATGGTCGGATCCAACTGTACAACACGATGTGAAATTTTTCCCATTCCCCGTCATCGAGAAGAACAGTAAACCTCACATCAAAGTCGAGACTAGCCAGGGTGAGAAGGTATTCGCGCCCGAGGAGATCTCAGCTATGGTACTGGGCAAGATGAAGGAAACCGCCGAAGCGTATCTCGGCAAGAAAGTCACTCACGCGGTCGTCACTGTGCCGGCTTATTTCAATGATGCTCAAAGACAGGTATGGTATCGACCATGTAATATGAATAAGGTTGTTTATTCCTTGAAGAAAACATAAAATACCTTTCCAGGTATTCTCAGGAATTATTTTGCATCTGAAAAATAAAAAAATTGTTATAGAATTAGTTAGGACTCAGGGAATTTCTTTAAAAAAGTTTTCTTTTTAATAACTTTGCTCTTATTATTAATTTATAAATAGGTCCACGAATTAATCACATGTTTAAAATATATATCTATGTTTGTCTATATATTCAATGTTTTGAAATATTGAACATATAGCAAATATATTATGTATTTTAATTTTCAATGAAAAAAAATGAAAAATTTATGCGAAAAATGTTTATCTTAGGAAGCATATTCACTTTTTTAATATATTTACAAATTTGACACTTAGGATGCTCTATGTTTTTCCTTTGTATAAGTTATTGGAAAAAAATTAGAAAACAAAAACATAAATAAAAAATTAAAATAAAAAACAATTTAAAAACATTACAAAACATTAAAGGACATTAGAAAATAAAAAAGTTTATTTTATATCAAAAAAATTATATAAACAAATTTTTTAAATATTCTTTGCCTAGAATTTTAAACAGACATACCTGAAAAATTAGAGAATTTCCAGGAAATTTTTTTATAAAATTTGAGTGGCACATCCTGATAACTAATACTTTGAGATATGTTAAAAAGAGATAATATTTCTTTTAAGTGTAGGCATATCATGATTACTAAATCTTCCAGTTTTCTTGTTTAATGCATTTTAAAGATAAAACGAGAAAACCATATTTATGTCATGATAAATTCATTCTGATGCAATTATAACGTTCGACTTTCGACATAGGCGACTAAGGACGCTGGAACGATTTCTGGTCTGGTCGTAATGAGGATTATCAATGAGCCAACTGCCGCCGCTATTGCGTACGGTCTAGACAAGAAAGATGGCGAGAAGAACGTACTGGTATTCGATTTGGGCGGTGGCACTTTCGATGTGAGTTTGCTTACCATCGACAACGGCGTGTTCGAGGTAGTTGCTACCAATGGCGATACCCACTTGGGTGGCGAAGATTTCGATCAGCGCGTAATGGATCATTTCATCAAATTGTATAAAAAGAAGAAGGGCAAGGATATCCGCAAGGACAACCGAGCTGTGCAAAAACTACGTCGTGAAGTTGAAAAGGCCAAGCGAGCGCTTAGTGCTAGCCATCAGGTATGTTGTATATATCTTTTCTTATATTTATTTATTCATATATTCTTTATCATATATCATATATTATATATCATATATCATTTATCATATATTCATCTTTATTCTATATTCATATATTCATATATCTTTTCTTATATTTATTTATTCATATATTTTCTATATTTCTGTATGCGATATTTCTGTATGCATGCAATTTTATTGTAGTATTTTTTTTCGCTTCTTTTCCTATCTCTTTTATCGAGCGCGATTATTATATATTTGTAATTGTTACAGGTCAGGATCGAAATTGAATCGTTTTTCGAGGGCGAAGACTTCTCCGAGACGTTGACCCGTGCCAAATTCGAAGAATTGAACATGGATCTCTTCCGTAGCACCTTGAAACCCGTGCAGAAAGTTCTGGAGGATTCCGACATGAGCAAGAAGGATGTAGATGAAATTGTTCTAGTCGGCGGTTCGACCAGGATTCCGAAAGTTCAACAGTTGGTTAAGGAATTCTTTGGCGGCAAGGAACCATCGCGAGGTATTAATCCCGATGAAGCCGTCGCTTATGGCGCTGCTGTACAAGCCGGTGTGCTCTCCGGAGAACAAGATACCGATGCTATCGTACTTCTTGATGTTAATCCTCTCACAATGGGTATCGAAACTGTCGGAGGTGTGATGACTAAACTCATTCCAAGGTAAATATCTTCAATTAGATATTGATCGAAATGATTTCAAATAGTTTCATATAATTTTAATTATTAAAGTTTTATTCAGAGATCACGTTTTCAGGCAGATATCTATAATAATATATTCTTCTTTAAATACAACGTATTTTTATATAAATTCGCAGATTTTTTTCTGGAAAAAAAATACTTTAGTTTTTATTATCGATCTAAATTTATTAAATAAATTTATGCGTGAAATGATAAAATTAAACATGACTTCTTCATTTATTTGTGCAGAAACACAGTCATTCCTACGAAGAAATCTCAGATTTTCTCCACGGCGTCTGACAGCCAGCACACTGTCACAATTCAGGTGTACGAGGGCGAGCGTCCTATGACCAAGGACAATCATTTGCTCGGCAAATTCGATCTGACCGGCATTCCACCAGCGCCGCGAGGCATACCGCAGATTGAAGTTACCTTCGAGATCGACGCCAACGGTATTCTGCAGGTGTCCGCCGAGGACAAGGGTACAGGCAATCGCCAAAAGATAGTCATCACGAATGATCAGAACCGCCTGACGCCCGATGATATCGAACGGATGATTAAGGATGCAGAGAAGTTTGCCGATGACGATAAGAAGCTTAAAGAGCGAGTGGAAGCGCGCAACGAACTCGAGTCGTACGCGTATTCGCTCAAGAATCAATTGGCCGACAAGGAAAAACTCGGCTCGAAGGTGAGCGATGCAGACAAGGCCACGATGGAGGAAGCGATCGAAGAGAAGATCAAATGGTTAGAGGAGAATCAGGACACGGATCCAGAAGAATACAAAAAACAAAAGAAGGAACTTACCGATATTGTTCAGCCAATCATCGCCAAATTGTATCAGGGCGCAGGCGGTGTTCCACCTACCAGCGGTGGCGATGAGGAAGATATCAAGGACGAGCTTTAACTGCAAGCTGCAGATTCCGCTCCTTTTGGTTTGCGGTTTGGACTGATTACTCGCCTCCACGAGCAAATACTTTACGGAAGTGTCGTTAATACATAATAATTATACGAAATGCTGAGAACGAAATATTCTCGCCGTACGTTTAGCTCTAAAAGCGTTCGGTTCTAAGTTTCTTTTAGATAATATATAGTATATCTAATTTTAAGACTCTTAGTTTAGAAGGACATTTGAAGCTAAATGTGCAGTGAGAGTATAACAAGTCTTTGTTGTAAATCGTCAATGTGTGTACATTTAAGAAAAGTGCGAGAAAGTGCTCAGGATGCCGGATGTTTTGTCAGATTTTTCATGCACTTCACGTGACAGCGCTCGGACAAATGTATGTTATAAATATGTTAAATATTTATTAATTTATACAAAATTTTAACAATTATTTATATCAGTTCTAACATTGTCTCGCATTTTCCTTGAACGAGCAATTCTTGTGTTCTAAGTTGATCGCTCGATTATGTGCACAAGATGCGTCGAGAGAACTCGATTGAAATACAATAAAACGAAAGTTTAACGAGTGCGTACAATACACATTATTTGAAGATTTTGTTCTATTGTGCTTCTATTGCGTTTGACTCATCCGACTTTGAATTGTGCGATGCCAATGTAAGAAAGTATTGTCGTATGGAATCATTGTCAGCCAGTCTCTGTATCGTGTTTGCTAAGGAGGAATTTGACTTTTTTAAGGAGAAACTCTCTTGATTAGGAGAGAGAGAGAAAGAGCAATCCGACGCAGAGGGTCCAGGGGAGGGATTCCAATTCTGCTCATTCCTCCCCCGCGGCGAATACACTCACATACATTGACTCCACTGCGTCGTTAATTTATTTTGAATTGTTTTGTATGTTTCATTAAATGTAATAATCGATTCATCGCAGAGCAATGCAAAGGTTTGTTCGTGAGTATGCGTGAAAGAATGAATGGTGAATGCGCAAATACGCGGGCTGGTAACTCGTATACTGCCATCGAGTTACATCGTACTATGTACAATGTAGCCCAATCTCTATGTGTGTGAGCGCAAATATGTATCAGTAAGAATAAAGATTTTTTCAATAAATTACACTCTCTTTTAATATCTATCAAAATATTTTAATTAATTTATATATATTTATAACTCTTAATATTAATATATATTTGTAGCTCTTTCAAACTTGATATATGTGTGAATATTGTTTAAAATTTCTTAAAACTTAATATTTATTTGATCATGTAAATAATTTTTCTAAAATTTATACCAATTTTCGGGGATCTTTTTTTCTTATTTCAAATTATAATCGATATTTTTAATCTATTTTAATTATCCGTTGATACAGCGAGTGAATAAGGTGAAAAATCCTTTTGGGTTCTGAGAAATTTATTTAATGAAGTTCAATTTTTTAATGCATTGTAACAAAAACAGCGCGAAATTCGTAGACATAATCAATTTCCTATAATAAATTCTTTCCTATTTTGCATATCAGAATACAACCATTAACAGACACGATGACAATAACATAATTCGCTCCTTCGAATGGAACTTTTCGAACACGTTTTTTACTCGGAACAAGATACTAGGCGCTTATGTAACGTGTGTCACGAATTTGCTAAGATACAAAAATAATATCGATAAAATGGGGAATTTATAGCTGTGTTGGAAAAGTTTTGTAATCTCGAATTATAACTCAAATACTACTTTTATCTACGAAAGCAAACGCTACAACAATTTTTAGAACTTGATATCGAGGAATAATCACAATCGTAATCGAATATTCATGCGATTATAAAAATAAATAAATTTATTTTTATAATATTATTTAATTGTGATCATATTTGACATCAGTTTAGCTATATATCTAATTTTTTCCGTTCAAAGTACCGTACGTTTTAATTTCGTAGTATTAATTTCTAAAAATTACGAAAAACTTTAATTAAGGACGGCAAATAATTTTCTCATCAATGTTTCCACCTGTTATACAGGTTGGTTCCGAAACTTTTCCCACGCAGCATGTACGTGACAATTCCTCTTATTCCAGTTTCCAAATTACCGAACAATACGGATCGCTTTACGGATTGCGTAATCTATACACATGTAATAATACTATCTTTAAACGAAAGCGCCGAGAAATCAATCCGCAGCGATATAATTCCGGGCGCTGCAAAATTAATATACACGTATAGGAGTCTGAAAACAAGTTTTGAGATTCTCGAAAAATATTTTTTAATTTTTTTTTGTGACACACACCGATCTCTTTGACAGTGTATGTGAGGAAGAAACGATCGCTGGTCGTAAAAATAGCATTTTTAAGTAACATTCGCGCTCGAAAGGTGTGATTTTCTTAGGATAATTACAATAATATACACGAGATGCACGAGAGGAATGTTTTTCGAGTATCTCAAAATCTCTTTTTCTCAAAGAGATGCCGAACCGTATAAAACGTATAACATAAATCCACCGAACAGGCAGCAGCTGAAGTGAACGGTATTATTCGCCTGTGAATCGATTTGTTTCGCCTTTACTTCGGATTTTTCTGTATGTAAAAAGGTAAGGCCAAAAGACATAGGCGTTCAGTGCGTGAATCACGAACAACAAGAGGGACAATTTTCGTCGTAACTCGCAGAGTTAGTACAATTCGCTCTTACTATTTTACACTGAGAATAAGGTAACGAGGTATTTCATTGCGGTTTTTGTACATGTAGAATTGAATATATTCCGTTCTTCGAGAGATTTCATTTTTCCTTTTTTTTTTTCTTCATACTTTTGGCATTTGCGTCGAAAGCTTCGAACAACGGGTATTGAGCACTTTTCTTTTTCTCTAGTTTCTTCTTAGATCGTTGAAGCGACAATGTACTAATTATGGAATTATAAACTTTGTCTTCCGCGTATATATATAATCCTAAGGAACATGATGTATTATTTTCGTACTTGTGTATGTTAGTCACAAATGTAAGTCTGCATACGACTGATAGAGAATTGAAAATGAAAAAGAGAAGAAAATGAAATTAAAAATGGAAGTCCTTCGCGACTGATAAATTATTCGTCATTCAAAATTATTAATTAATTTAGCGAGCGATAAATCTTTTTTTTTTTTCAGCAAGTTCAAGATATCCTAACGAGTACAAATATTTCTTCATAATGTTTATATATGTTATAATGTTTTTTCTTTAGTCCTACGCAGACTTGTGACTAACGGTATTTGCTCCGAAACAGTAATGATGCCTGTAATGCTTATGAATCGGATAAAGTACGTTCATGTGTGCTTCCTGGTCGAAATCAATCGAAATTAGGTCTGGAACCTCGGAGGATCGTCTTCGGCAAGGAAGCTATCTTGTTCCCGCTTAGATAATGCGAGAACGTAGCAATGACCCGAGACGTCATGTATCGCACTTGGTGCCACATATGTCCCGCGATTCATCCTGTTACATCCTCTTCTTTCCCCCTCCTCACCGTTTTATAATAACTAGGTAATGCAGAATTTCTATTTTTCTCTCTCTTTACGCGGTAAATATCTTTTTTTCTTCATCTATCATGAACACATTTAACATATTGTTTCTTTCTTTCTGTTTAATTACACAGCGCATTTCGAAATCAACTGGACTGTGAAATAACAGCGTGGATAAGTGATTTCCTTCAAATTCTGGCTATACTACTGCGTTCTTTTTTTTTCCTTTTCTTCTCCGTTTTCTTCCCTTCATATACGCCAGTCTATATATCATATACTTCGGACGTATTCTTATATAATAATATTAATGAATACATATATTTGCGTACACACCGCAAGCGGAAAGGATTTCGACTCTACAATATTTCTCGAATCTCACATGACACTCTATCTTCAAGTATTGAACGCTATAGCTAAATTTAGTATTATAATTAATATAATTTCGTAATATATATATATATATATATATATATATATATATATATATATATATATACGATTATAGAAGAGATCTGCTTGTACTATGATAAGATTGCTATTAGCGATTGAGTTTAGAATTGAATTGGTCGATTATTATAAATGTCTATTGTAAAAAAGAAGAGCGCTTAAAGACGAAATCCTCCCCGGTCACGAAATGCACTTCCATACATATACAAATATTATATAATGCCTACTTGCTAATGCCAGTAAATACAATTGAGCTACTAATATGATCGTAGCGTGTATATTATCATTAAACTCGCGTTTCAGTAATTAGACGCGTTTCGTTTTTTGAAAAAAGACTTTTTCTCTCGCGTCTAAATATTATCTCAAGTAAAAATGCGCTAGAAATTCTCCGAACATTGAACGATTTAGACACGAGATGTGTGTATATGTGTGTGCGTGCGCGCAATAAATGTATAAATAATTTCTCTGAGCGTAATGCTCACAAAACACCAAGTTTAGAAATAATGTGTAAAAGTAAACGATAAATATTTTTGATAAATTATAATTTATTACAAAAATTCTCGGTAAGACGCTGCGCAACCGAGATTAACATTTGTTCATGTGAATTTTCTTTTGAAATACGATCTTTAAAAATAAACTTATCACGATCGATTTTCTTAATAAATCGTGATAAAAGACTTATCGCAATTTTCTTTCGCCGAGTTATAAACACGCAATTTTGTTTAAAGTTCCTATACAAGATATTACATGTTTTAATCGCTGTGCATACAATAGAAGTGAATACCTATTTCTTTTGTTAAAAGTTAGAGAAAAGATAGAAAAGATAGAAAAAAATCGGATATTCAGTTTTTTTTGGAGAAATTTAATTTATCGCTAATTAACTCTCCCAATTTGATTTATTGGATAAATATTTTTCAATAATCAACAATAAAGAATCAATTTTTTTTTGCCTAATTCAGCAAAAAATATGACTTCAATCTTTAGGAAATTAACTACAATTTGACATTATTTTCATTAGGATTGAAGTGCTTAAGACCGCTTAGAAGAAACAAATCTACTTATACATTCTTTCCAGAACATTGTTCTATTGAAATAAGATTCATTCGTGATAATTTTCGATCCACAGATTACCAAGGGGACAGCTGCAAAGAACAGGTGAACAGTTAAGCACTTGATTGAAATTTATTTCGAAGACCTGAGAGTTCATCCACGCTGTACTTTTTAGCAATCAGGTATGAAGGAGGTACATGTGCTTCTCATACGCGAAAACCCGAAAGGTAGAAAACCCGAGACTGATAACCTGTAGATCAAGAAGTCGTTGCCAAAAGATACGACAGAGAATTTTCAACAGAAAATTCACGTGTTAATTCACTCGCGCATAGCGACTAAAATTCAACAAATATAATAAAATACAGTGCGCTTCTGGACCGCATCGCCTTAAATATCATTTCCCTAGTTTGAACAACAACAATGTATCTCGTATCACAGTATATTATTCAGTAGTGTATTTAGTATTTGTCTCTCGCTTGTCTTCACTTTGGATATGGCAAATATGAGATAGTAACAGTAAAATTATACTAATGTAAGTCTATAACTCTTTGGGGCTAAATGCGTATCACAGTGGGAAAATTTTCAACGTTCCTATGTTCATCACCGTTCTCCTCTCTTCTGCTTCTTTCTTCTTTTTTTTGTCTTTTTCGTTTTACTTATTTTAGATTATTATTTTTTAACTGTCCAGAAGCGCACCAGTCATCAGAAGCGTGTCGCTTTTGTTTATCTTTTTGTTTCTTTTTTTTCTTTTTTCTTTTAATAAGATCACGTTATCCATACGCGCACGTTATTATAAAGAAGCGTAAACCGGCAACCAGTATTAAGCAAGCAATATAGTAATATAATATTAGAGAGTAGAAGAGATTTTTCTTTTTCTTTATCATATTAGTCAAAAAATGCACCATATGTTACTTAAGATACGCATTTCCGTATCAACTATGCAGTCTTATCCTAACTTTTCGCTGCGTAGTGTGTTTCTGATAATGCACTATTATGGAACATAGGACTATTGAATTGTACTTTTTTCTTCTTTTTTACTTTTCAAAGATTACTGTAGTTGCATATGAAAACTTTTGGAAATTTTTAACCCTTTGCACTCCAAGGTATTTTTGAAGTACCTTTGGTGAATATAAATGATTTTTTCATAATTCGACTGTGCCTGTTAAATAATTTTTATATATATCAAAATTATACATCAAAGTCATCTTCACTATCGAAAAATTCAAAATCTAAATATTTTTCCTTTTATATTTTTTAAATTGTGGTACGAAATATGTCTGTCGCCGTAGCGGCGCTTATGGAGTGCACAGGATTAAATGTCTTATATCACAAAAATATTTTTAAAATTAAATAACGAATCCATTCTTTTCAATTATTCTTAAAATAAAAATTAGATAAAATTTTAATTGACTCAGTTTCTTCTATATATATGATATTAAAAAGAAACCCATTCATATATTTGATATAATATACTTGATAACATATTTTACAGCAAATATTACAATGTGAGATTTTAATTCTCAGAAAAACTCAAACTAAATATATATTCTGAATAATTAGAAAAACTCAAACTAAATATATATTCTAAATAATTATTAAAATAAAATAAAGTACAAAAAGAGATTTCATATGCAACTTAATAAAATATATGTAAGCTATATATTGCTTATATGATTATCGAATTGATGCGATATTACGCGCTAGTATTCATTAAAAAAATAAAATCGTTAAGTTATTTTAAGTAATAGTATCGAAAATTTTCAAACCAGAATAAAAATAATACTTGATCTTTTTTTTACACACGAAAAAGAAAATACTACACAGCTGTTGCCTAATACTAAGAACATGTAATAGATAATATTAATATCATCGTCGTGTGCGTCAATAATAGTACACGGCGCTACTTGCGGTATGTTCTTGATAATCTTCATTGTTCATTTGTAATATTCTGTAATTCTACATTCCAAATGCACAATCTCTCTTAGATCTTAAATGAATTACAGATATCAAACTTAAATTTGATTCAATTATGTATATGCAAATACAAGCTGACGTTTGAAATCTGCAAAAAAGGCGAAATTGTTTAAGACTTAAATTTACTGTTGTTAAGTAATTGAAAGTTCTTTTTACAACTTTTCTTCTTCTCTACTCATCATATTAGTTTGCTTGCAAGTCCGTCTCAATTTTGCAAAATCGATACAATCGGTTTCTAAAACTGCCAAAACAATATATTGCACTTTTGTATCGAAATGTGCTTTAAGAGAATAAACTTCTTCTTCATTAATTTCTTGCATCATATCCTACTGAAGATAAATGTATCGAAGAATCTTCTGTAAAAGTACAATATGGAAATGCAATCAATGTGCACATAATCTTTCGTAAATCGATAATACTTACATAAATAATAAAGATTTAATGTGTGTTTAAATTTAAAACATAGACCGGGAGAACGCCTGGATGACAATAGGTACAGTAGCATCGAAACCATTGATCGTCAAAATGTTTTCGTCACAATTTATCTTACGATATGTTGAAGAACAGCACATGCTACAATTAATTAGCCTGCAAAAAGAAAATTTTGCGTCTTTATCTGTTTAAAAAAAATTAATGTAACAAATAGAAATGTGTGTATTTACTTTGTCTGCGGAAGATTCAATTCATTTCTGTACAATATCAAAGCTTTCTGAGATTCATCAGAATATTCGTACACTTGATCCACAATATTAATAAAGACGTCGTATTTCGTTTTCTGCTTCATAGCCCAATGTAATGGTTTACTCATGTTGACTCCTGCAGCAGGTATTTCCTGTAATGTTTTTAAAATCTCGCTATGGGATTGCGTGTTGTTGACATTTGCCGTGTAAAGTCCATGTTGTTTAAATGTCGCTACGGTAACGTCCGTTTCGCAACGTAAAAGTATCATCGCGATCAGACAGCCCGTCTCGGCACCAGTCATGTTACCATTATGCCAAGCGGGTTCATTTAACATCACTCTATTCATGCTAATTGTCACTAGATAGCGCAACTTCGTAGGTTGTTGATGCTAAAAATGATATGATGATATTATATTAATAAAAAATTATAATTGATATAAATGACAATAAAATTATAATTAAATTGAAATTGTTCATAAATATCACAATACAATCTATAAGAGAAATTGACTTACAGCAAATGACAAATTAAATGCTTCACGTAGAGCGTTTATTACTTTGATATTCGGAGAAGGTGGTGGTGATAGGGGCCTCTTTGCTGTTTCTTGTACTTTTCGCTTCTCATAAGACAAAGGTCTTGAAAAATGTATATATATATATCAATGATATAATTGTGATGTAAATGTATATATATATATATATATATATATATATATATATATATCAATGATATAATTTTAAGTTTAATCTATTATCTATAAAAAGACGATAAATGCACTTACTTTCCAGAATTTTTGTAATTTTTTAGAGTGATGAAAATTAATGCTGGATGAATTTTACTTTGCGCTATAAGTTCTGCATTAGTAAGTTGATCTATTACATTCTCGATTGCCAATTCATCTGATTCTAATAAGCCAAGATTACTAATCCTTTGCAAATTGTTTAAGAGTGTAATAGTATCCATTGATGGTATCAATGCACTCCAAACCTTGACGAAATAGCCGAATGTTATGTTAGCCCATTGATATCAATATTTAGATAAATACCAATTAACGCTAATTGTGACTAACAAAATTTTCTTTCCATTTATATAGTATTAAAAAATATGGCACTTGTTTTTAACTATATATTTTATGCAAAATTGAAAACAATTCTTTTATAATTTGACAAAATTTAATTATTCACATCAATACTTAATTTTCAATATTATATAATATTTAATAATTACACATACACACACACACACACAATACAAATTTAATGTATGTTAAATTTGTATAAATTCTATACAACTTTATTTGTAATATTTCTAAAAATCACAACAAAGTTGTATAGAATTTATACAATTTTATGAATTTTGATGAATTTATATATATATATATATATATATATATATATATATATATACAGAGTGTATCTTAAAAAGCTCCCACTAAGCAAATAGCGTTATTCCTGATTAAAAACCGAGTAGAAAAGTCCTGAACCATTTTTCTTTCCAAGATTCATTAAATAATTAATCAGATTTAAGTATTAAAAAGATTTCTGAAAAGATGAATTGTTTAAAAATTAACACAAAACAGTTTATTTTTTTTTGCTTATCCAAATCTTTATATGTTGATAATGAGGAAGTTTATCTTTTTATTGGCGCGACTTTACTCATTAATTACTGCTTTATTAAGCATTATGGAAAAAAATGAACTTTTAGACTCGGTTTTTAATCAAGAATAACGCTTAGTGGGAGCTTTTTAAGATATACCCTGTATATATATATATATATATATATATATATATATATATATATATATATGTATATAAATTCATCAAAATTCATAAAATTGTATAAATTCTATACAACTTTATTTGTAATATTTCTAAAAATCACATTTTGATGAATTTACACACATACACACACACACACAATTGCAACAAAAAAACAACATTGTAACATCTCACCTTCCTGGATTTTAGCAAATGTCCAGGTACATGTTCTAGTGAATATCCATTTGTTTCCAGCAAAGAAGCTGCTTCGTTCTCATCTTCACAACGTTTGAAATTTTTTACATTTTCTATGTACTGCAATATTTCATTAATATTTGGATTTTCGGATTGGTTTTCTAAAGCCATCCTGGTGTTTTCTATGCCGCATATTATATATTTCAATATCACTCCTTTTTCTATAAAATAAATAATTGTCTAAGTAACATTTTATATCAATGATTAATGATTATATCATAATATAATAGTATAAGTTTACTACATATAAGTTATTTATTAACACACACATATATCTATAAATACATACATCTATAAATTATCTTAACCATTAATTTTTGAACAACTTTCAGTGATGACACTGAAGTCTAATTAGAATCATCCATTTCAATTATAATTATAATATATTTTAATTATAATTATAATTAAGAACATAAGTGAAGAGATAATAAGAATGGATATTATTATTATCTCAAAAATTATTATCTTAGAGATTGATAAATTTAAGAAAAATGACAAAATATTAAATTTATAATATTGAGCAGTGAATTTATTTATTATTTTTTGAGATATTAATTTTTCTTTCAATCAACAGTTTCTTTTATCAATCTTTTTTTTCTTTTAATTATGGCTTTATGGACCTTTACCTGGATCATTGGTTGAAGTATGAGCCATTTTGACAATGTCTTTATGCTTCCAACCATATCTACTTCTGTATTTTGTGACACATTTTGCTAGATCCAATGGCTTTTTAGAAAGATACCAATTATTAATAGCCTTTCTCAAACCTTGACCCCATCCTTGTGTATGATAATTCAACTCTTTCTCTCTACACAGTTTGGAGGCAAATTTAATAAACAGGAAAAAATCCTGTGTAGATGCACAAATCTTTGTTACATTATCATATGCTGCTTTACGCAATTTCTCGCTTTTGTTTTGTCTACAGCAAACAGCAAGAGCAAATACTAAAGTTTCCGGATGTGGAACAAGATTGCTATCAAATGCCTACAAGTAGTCTCATTTTAGATATAGAAATAAATTATTTTATGTGGTTTATATACAATTTGTAGTAATTACTTTTATGATTAGTTCTATGGGTACCAGTTGCTTTTCCTCATTGTCAGCAAGTTCTTCTATGGATGGAACATTCTTAGCTATAAAATAATTATGGGCAAACCAATATCCAGGCTGATAGTTGGCATATTCTTTTCCAATATATAGAAACCGTGATAGACGTATTTCAGGCTCTACAAATTGTTCTTCTTCTTTTTCTTTTTGTGATCGACGTTCTTCTTCTTTTTGTGTTCGAGTTTTTGGACGACGAGTTAATGTATCAAAATGTTGTAAATGAGATATATTTCCAGACATTTCCTGGAATGTATTCAAAGCAACAATTAAATTATAGATTACAGATTTATAAATGTTACTATTAATTACAAATATTTATCATTAGCAGATAACACGAATAATCACTTAAATTTCTGAAAGCAATTTTCAAACAAAAAAAATGAGAAAAATAATTTTTCTTTTAAATATTTTTTCAATATAAATACAAATCTATATTACTAAAATAACTTTTCCAATTTAAATATTTTTAAAGTAATAAATTCCAAATTTATACATAATTTTCTATAATGTTTACTCTAAACAATTCTTCATAAATATTAAAAAAACATATATAGAATGTATGCAAATATATAAAATTAAATATAAATTGCCTTGCAAGACTATTATATAAATGTAGATTTTTTTATAAATAGAGATATTTGATATAATAATAAAGAAATATATTAAATATATTTAAGATAGACGAACAAAAGTTTCAAAAATCACACTGTTTTGTTCAACAAGATTTTATTTCATAGCTAGCAAAGTATTCGGAATCTTGACTTTGATCATATGGATAAACAAATAATCGCGTTTTTTCTTAAGTTTTATACCTATATATATATATATATATATATGTTTCACTTATTTGAATTTTTCTCTTTGAAAAGAAAAAAATAATATACATATGAAGAGTCACTTTGGATTTCATATGACTCGAATTGACACTCGCACCTCTCGTTCTCCATATATACACATACACATGCTCATCACACATATGACGCGTCAAACCACATAGACATGTACATGCATACGTGCATATACGTATTCGCGGGGATCGCGCGTACGTATCACCTGGTTACCGGATAAGGTAACCACAGAGATACGCGGAAGGATGACGCGAATTTTCGTCAGTGGGAGCGACACGAAATTGGAGTAAAGTCAAACGTGAGCTGGAGAGACGCGATGTTGTCCTGTGTGCGTCCTTTACCTTGCGTCAATGTGGAGCAACGTTATGGAACGAGCGCTCATGCAAGAGAAAACAGAGTAGACGACAATATCCACGACGACGATGACGATGATGACAACGTTGAACGACGTACCCGACGTGCAGGAACGCACTGACGCACGCGAGCGACACCGAGCGGCAACAGCCCACATTATATGATTCAAAACGGCGATAACAGATGGCGCGACACGGACGTTTCTCTTTCAATTCGACATTTTTATTTACTATGTAGCTTTTTACGCTCCCTTATGGTATTTGAAATAAGTGCTGTATGGCTTAACAGCCAATGCCTGTTTTTGCCAAAAAAAAAAAAAAAAAAAAAAAAAAATCGACATTTATCTTCTTTTTATACTTTACAATAAAAAATAATAATTAAAAAAATCGGCCGATCTCTCTCTCTATCATCTCTATTTCTTCTCACAGCACGAAAAAATATTCCACCGAAATTAACAAATGAAATAGAAATATAATTAATTATACAATTACATTATTGGGCAAAGAGCATATATGCGTTAATCTACTTAGGTTTCAAAAAGCAAGAATATTAATTATAATTAGATTAATACATAAATTTTGTTTAGGGATTTGTTACCTAGTGAACAAAAATGTATATTACTATAATAAATTTTTCAATTTCATTGCTTTTAAAAAACAAGTTTTATTTTATGCAAATTTTTTTTAATGCTTTCTCTCTCTATCTAAATATTTCTTTTTATAAAATATAAAAAAGAAAATATCTTATATAAACTTATATGATATTTATATATCAAATTTATATATTTATGTATGAAATTACATGTTTTACATTAAGTAAAAACATTGAATTATATGCAGAATGTATGCAAATATATGTGTAATCGAATAATATAAACATAAAATTATATGCAAACGTTCTTTACAAAGATATATGAATATCATAAAAAATTATCACTAAATAATTGAATAATTATATAGAATTCATACATATGTATGAAATACAAAGTGCACCGCGGGAGAAAGAGAGAGAGAGTGTGTGTGTGCGTATGTGTGTTATAATTGCAATATACTGTAACAATTCAGTCACTTTTATTCAATCAAAATGAATAAAGATATCATAAATTAATAGAGCGCACGAAGTATTAAAATCATTCGCAAACATATCAATTCATGTACATTCGCAACTAAAGAATTAATGAAGGTGATCTTCTTCGGGAGTTTGATTCGTTCGCTACATTGCCTCGTTCGTTCATTACCTTTAAGAGCATATATGTGAGAGACAAAACGAGTAAAATGATCGTCCCTCGGCCATCGCGCGTTAAACTCCCTCCGTGTTGTTATGACTAACATCAATTGCACACAAAGATCGAGATAAGTTCAATGAAAATGAATAGATGATTCTCCCAATCGATCGATCAACTCTAGAATTAACTTGCCACTATTTAAAAATCGATATCACATTGTAATTGTCTTTTAATCTTCGCGTTATACAAAGAGAAAACAGTCTTCTGCTATCTCTAATTAAACATTAATCAGACTCTATATAACATTTCGTAATTCAATCATCAAACTTATCGTTCACAAGCCGCAACATCGTATTGATACAGGACATGTTTTCGACTCTTTCACTTTCGATTTAGACACGTGGCTTAATTATATTGATAACAGAATCGAATCGCAAGATGATGTAAATTTTTGTACGGTTGCTCTTATATGATAACATTATTTTTTCTATGCAGAAAAATAAATTTTATCAGGAGAAGCAATTTTGCAGAAACTTACATCATTCCTTCTAAAGGTACAAATCATAATAATATTCTCGAGTGCTTTCGATACACGTTCAGACAGCATCGACACCCTTGAAGCATATAAATATTTCCAAAAAGAAAATTAATTGTCCTGCATTATGATATTATTGAATGTGAACATGTATGAAACACGCGAGAAGAAAGATCGAAAATTTTATTGGACAGAACATGATATCTTTTTCGCAAAATATATTAACTCTTCGAATTTATGAATTTTTTTATGCCAAATCGTGTAACTTGTGGCCGACATGCCAAATCTTTGTCTTTTTGTTTTTATTTTTCGCGATCATGAGCAGATGATCGAATTCAGAGGAGATACGCGCACATATGTAAAAAGAATCCATAAAGGTATAAATGTGTGTGTGTAATCATGTATAAATATATATATACAGCGAACCGCTTTATCGCTGAAAAAATTGCGTGACGCATAATGTGCACTCGCATGTGTATGCGTGAGATTTTACGACCGCTTATTTATGGCCGACGTTTCTCGCTGAGGCAACTCTCAACTTTTTCTCAATTTCTTGTCATTTTCTGATTGCTTTTTTATCATCTTGTTCATTGACCCGTTCCTTTCGGTAATATTGGAACCTGGAACTGCAGCTCGAATGATTATATTTTTGATGATCAAGTAAACGGTTTCATAATTTAAGTTTTTTTTTAAATTACATCTTCTTCCATTTTATAAGGTATTTATTTTATTTCATTTGATAATTTAATGATAATTCTGCCATGTGTTAATTTTCGAACGGTCGTAGCTATCATTTATTTGTTGTCTTAATATGTAATTTTGCATATATATAGATAGATTTTTTAAACAAATAAAAAAACTACCGAAAGAATAATAAAAAACTATTTATTTTGAATAATATTGAATAATTAATAATAACGGAATGTATAATTGATAATAATTATATATTCCATCTATGAAGCTATAGAAACTTATTTAAAAAATATAGAATATAGAATATGTATAGAGAGTGGCAATTTTATTTTTTGTAAATTCGAAGTTTTTTTTATGTAAATCACAAAAGTGAGGAAAGTTTGCGAAGACAAAGATTTTTACAGAACAAGAATCAAAAATTTTGAATGGAGTTTAAAAATTTACACATGATTGATAATTTATAAATATTTATATGTTGAATATTACTTTATACAAGGAGCTTCTTAAAATTATTAGATGTTTTTTTAATAGCAAATTTTCTGGCCAATTTGGAAATGATTTTTTTTTAATAAAAATGTCAAAGCATCAATAACCGAATTGCAAACAATTAAAAAAGAATTTTTTGCAAATTGTGAAGCTGAAACTATTTTAATTTCATGTGAAAATTATTTTAATTAATTTTAATTTGTTTAATTACAAAGATATATATGATGAAAAAAATTGAATACTCGCGAAAAGTGATTTCCCTCGACATTTTCGCTAAGAAATGATCGACTCCAGATTGATCAGAGAATTTATTCTTAAAAAGACATCTTGTAATTTTGGGATTTTTTATATACATGAGTGGTTTAGATACAAATTCATAAAATAAAAGTTTGAAAAATAAAAACTTTTATGTTCGCTTTTTATCGTAAGTACACATATAATAAAAATTATTTAACTATGCAATCTGACCTTGAAGATGAATTCAGTATAGTTATACTGATTGATGACATATCGCATTGTCGGTACTTCAAATCTACTAATAACTTGAACTCGAGTTTAAGTGGATTTGTATCATTTTGATATTTTAGATACTCATGTATACAAAATTATATCTTTGTGAAATTCTGCGCACGCGATGATTCGGAGCAAATTCTACGCTATTGAAGATAGAAGAAGAAGAGATGAAATATCTAAAAATCCTGAAATCTACGCGAAGAAAGATTCACGCGAATCCGCGATAAAATTGCGCTTCGGAGGGAATCTTCACCGATGAATCGACGAGCGCAATATTAAAGAACCTTACGTTTTCCATTCCGTTTTCCAGAGATAAACGTGTGGTAGTACGATCGCACCTCATCCAGAAGCAACGCGTACAATAATTAAAATACGCATTCGTGATGTGTGTCGAAACGAGAGTTCGCCTAGTCGCCTCCATACGATTATGCGACACGCACACCTATAAACATACATGTATATACATACGAACATAAAAGCGCTAAACTAGCCGCATATTACTCTCCTGTGCTTCCGCGCACAGCTGAAAGTTACTTGTAATTGTTAATAGCGAGGGAGAGGAAGGGGGTCTCGCTTGTTCCCATATGAGGGGGACAGGGGGGGGGGGAATCTACGAGCGAGCGTGGCCGTGCGTGAAGCCGTGTCCCATCCCCCTCCCCTGGCTACAAACGAGTGAGTTTCTCTACTCATTATGCGTATTTATAACTACGCGAGTCATACACACACACACATATGTTGGTGTTCGCGATACTATCGATTTTTCTGGATCTCGGCGCAACAACGATTATGTCCGCGAGTATTGTACATATGTGCGCTCGCATGTTACGTAACACGTTCTGTATCGCGTTTCTATTAATGTCACTAATCGTCCGGATATTAATCACGTTGTATCGTATTTCTCGACCGTGTAATATACTGCGTTCCTTTGTATACGTGAATCCTGTAATTATTGTCGCGATCGTTATCTCTTTAGTGCACGAAGCACAACGCATCGCGGCGATTCCGATTCTTTCGAATTTACTTCTTTTTTGTTTTGGAATATCCGATCCCTCTATGGGGTTTAACCCATTCAGACCCTATGTGCACAATTATGCACAAAAACTTTAAAATCATGTGAAATAGTTATTTTTTAAAATTAGTTTCCCTGCGATCTCTCGGTGGAAAAAATATATATATAATATATATATATAAATAAATATATATATAAAAATATATATATCTCGAATATATATATATATATATATATATATATATATATATATCGTCATTTTAAACCCTTAGCAGCAATAAAAATTAATTCAATAATGTTTTACATTACAGAAAAATTCAGGTCTGAATGGGTTAAACAGAATCTAAACAGATATATAAGCACGAACACCCTCGGGCATGTTTAGGTTTTCGAAGAAACGCCGCGTCGTTTCCTCGATGTTCGTCAACAGAGAACAAAGGCAAAAAAAAGGACGCTTTTTTCGATATACGAAATATTTTGTTAAATTAAAAATTACGAAACTCCTATCTTTTTTTTAAAACTTGTTAAACTCCAAATAAAAGAGTATCATATATTACATTTTAGTTTTTTCTCTCACAGTTTTTCTATGTTTTTCACTTTTTTTGAAGACGTGCGATCGATTTATAGAAACCTAATGGAGGTGTCAACGAACCTGCATTATCTCTATATATACGTATATAAATGCGATCGAAAGATATCTTCTTATATGTATAATGCGTTCGCAATAAATATATCCTGCTGTCAGATATTCGCGCGTTGCGAGACAGTGTCATTTCATTTCCCCTTTTCATTTGAATTTCTTCTGAAAATAATCCGTCGGATTAATTGCGCTCTATATGTAAGAAGTCACGTTCGCACTTGAGCGAAGCTGATGCCGTGTATACATGTAATTGTTATACACCGAGTAATGCTGATCGTACATAATAGTAGAAAATGATAAGAAGCTGACAGGCACAGTACATTTAGATGATTATTACCTCTAGTCCGTGGCTACTCGCGCGCGCGCGAACCGGTTTTTAATAAAATTCAACTCTTCGATTATGTCGTCGGACGTAATCGGGGAGCGAGGCATCGGGATGCCCGGCGAGGCCAAAGAGAAAGAGAAGGGGGGGGAGAGAGAGAGGGAGGGAGGGAGACAGAGAGAGAAATAGATCTTTAGCAAAGAGAGAGATAGTCGTAGCAGAAATAAGCGAGACAGTACAAACGTCACGTTATTCGCGATCACGTACTCGCTTCCACGTAAGCGAAACAAAGAGATCGATCGTTCGAGTTGAGGAGCGACGACCATAGCTGAAGTTCTCTCTCTCTATTATATATATATATATATATATATATATATATATATATATATATATTCTTTCTCTCGCTTTCTCTCGTTGTTTCTTTGTCATTCTCGATTTACGGAAACGCGATTCATTCTTCTGGTAGTCTCGCGACTCGGTCTCGCGACTCGCGAAATTAATGTGTTTTGATTGACGCATGAATGAGCATGATAACGCAAAAGTTGATTTAGCGATGCTGGCAGCAGAGCTTGCGTTTATCGAAAGCTTGTTTGCACGAGAACGCGATCGCGAGGCTCGCAGATAAAAGCAGCACTTCCGATAGAGATGTTATTCTCCAGAATCTACAGACGCGTTGTTGTTCCACTAATACTTCGTTTTATGAATCGCTAGATGTATGATTTGCTGTCCCTGAATTTTTCTCTCTCTCTCTCTCTCTCTGTCTCTCTCTCCCTCTCCCCTCATCTTTTTCTTTTTTTCCTGCAGGTCACGTGCATGTTAAGGATTGGCTCCGCAAATCTTCACGATATCTAATCATAGATCGTCACTGAGTAAATTTAAGCTTATAATCGTTGGATTAATTTATCTCTGCCTCATACATTTTACTCGACGTAGATTAGCTATATTTATAAACAGTGATAAGAGTAGAATCTCAATAATTGAACAATACAACATGATCACAGATTTTTAGCGATATGAATCGGATGGATTTGTAGATTGTGGATAATAATCTCGTTTTGATAGATTCACGAATCATCGGATAATTTAAGAAATTGTAAATTTGAATAAAAACCACGCTATCACAAAATTTTCAAATCTCCATTATTGTGTATTCATTACGGATTTTTAATATCATTGATCCGGTATTTCTTGTTAGGTCTGTAGAATATTTTAAATCAGATTCATGATCAGAATCTTAATTCTTTTAGAGTCATATATACAAGTTTGCGTCTTATTCCTATTTATAGTTCGATACTTGCCGTTTTTCATGTTCTTAGATTATCATTATTCGCAAAAATTCAGAAGAATTTAGAAAAATAATGAAATAAAGGAAGGAATAGAGAAAACGATTTTTAATGTGATTGTATTGCAATGCTTTAAGAAAGAAAGAAAACGAGAGAGAGAGAAAGAGAGAGAGAGAGAGAGAGAGAGGATTATAATTTTTATCTAAAAAAAAATATATATATATATATATATATACATATACATATACATATAAGAAAGATATTAAGAAGATAATAAACGTGTTTTTATTTCCGCTCTTGTTATATATTCTTTTTATCTTCTATATTTCCATATATTTTCTTCTCCACGATTTCTACATAATCACGCGAATGTAGAGCTTCTCTACTATACGCATCTCGGACAAATCTATGTTAATTATCCGAATACGATCACCTTCGGTTATTAGAACTAACGGCACAAGCTGTAATTTCTCTCTCTCTCTCTCTTGTAAGTCTCGTTACATAAATTCTCTTCTTGCGTGCGACCTACCATGTCCTCCGCGGATTAGACTGATAAAAATATTGTATGTTTTCAAATACAGGCTATTTATCAACTGTGAAAAATAATTTTCTTCAACGAAGGCGAAGCGATGTTTTCTGTTCGTTTCATAACGGAGACGCTACTTATTATAGATGGAAAAATAGACTAGTAGCAAAAAATAAATCGTCAGATTGCGTCAGATCGAATATTAGTCATTCGGAAAAAAAAATTAACATGAGAGGTATAGCCTATTTTCTTGCATCTAGATTGCATCGTAGATCGAGATGATAATAATTCATAATTCGCGTATGAGAGATAAAACGATAAAATATATATAATATATACAATAGCGCGCGTTAAACCGCGATAATATCTAAAATACTTCTCGTATGACCGAGACTAGAAACTTAAGTTCGATCGCGTGTCACCGTGAACAAACGCTTCCTAATACAATTGAAATCTTACGCAATATATGTTCGATTTTTATAATCGGCTCTCTTATACAGCGACTCTTCTATTTCATCTCTGATTTATTACTCGCGTATGTCCCTGAACATATACATAAATTTCTCATTAAGTCATAAAAAGATATAATGTGACTCTTTTAAAAGATACTTTTTTCATTGCAATATTCATGCGAGTGTCATCTTTTTGCTAGAAACTTCGCCGTATAGTCAAGATCAGCTGATCTCCGCGCCGCAAGCAAAACACAGTGCCTCGTACTGTGAATTTCTAAAATAAATTTTTTCATCTCTCCCGAGTCGCACAAAGAGCCAGGAAATCCACCTATGTTGTCCCCTCTTTACACCGAAATCTCCAATTGCCTAAATCGCCGGTGTCTCGAGAAAACTCGCTTCCGACATGAAGGAGATCCACGGTGATCTCACCTGTGGTTTTAATACACGCATCTCGCGCCGCGTTAAAAGCCTCGATAAAAGCCTGCGCGACGTAACGCACGTAGTCTCCGAGAGATGCGAGGAGAGAGGGAGAGAGATGGAGCGAGAGAAGAAACAAAACGAGCATCGTGGGTGAAAAAGAAAACCCGGTGCGCTGGTGCTGTCACCGTCGGCAACAGCGGATAGGTCTCTTTGGAGCAGGATGGCTTCTCGCGCGGTCTCGCTCGCACCCCGAGAGCCGAACGCTGCCGAAGGCCGGCGCGAGCAGCGCCGGAAACAGCCGAAACGCGGGCACACTGTCTGAACGTCACGTAGGCGGTGTTGCTAGGCGGTCGACCGGTGACAGAGGACGGCGCGGCGAGAGGGGTGGGCAACTCTGGCGCGGTGGGGGCCCCCTCCGTATAAAAGTCGCGTCAGCGACCGGCGACTGATCAGTTGAATAGATGACGTTACGCGAATCTGGGATATCCTGGCCTGCTTCGCGTACAGTTGCGGTGAAAGTCTTTATCTTATTTTTCTCGAACGTTATTATCCTATCATACCGTTCGAAACCGCTTCTCAATCGCTTCTGGCAGTCGTATATCTCACTCGTTGCTTCGCTTATTGAGAAAAATCGTGTCCCGCGAAGGGATCGCCGACGAGGAAATTCGTAGCATTGTGTCTCGTCCACCGCTGGACGTTCTCGCGAAATCATGGAGGTCCTACCGTGTCCCGTCAACGTAGACTTCAGCAACACTAGAGGTAAGTACTCGATTCTGTCGCCGGTTCCCTTTCCAATTGCTCATTTTCTCAATCCTGTTTTTGAAACGTCCGTCTCCGTTCTTCGATCGTTCGAGCCGTTGTTCTCAGCTGACAACGCCGGCTGGAATCAGCTGATCTTTACTCGCAGCACGATTCGTTTTAACTGATGAACAGCTGGAAAAATTTATTTAAATTTTAGAACACGAATGGAAAGTCGCAGATTTTGTGTAATTGTATGATTCGGTAAAAATTGGAATAATTGCGTCAGCATCTCTTCCAATAAGACGAGAGAGAAAAGAAAGAGAATGCCCTTCGCTATTGTTTTTTTCCTTCTGTGTTCTTCGATTGTTCTTATTACGTTTACATATCGCTTATACGGATTATTCTCTCGTCGTATTTATAAATTGAGGGAAATTTTCCAGATATTTAAACGTTCTTAATCCTCCGAATAATAATTATTAACCAAAGAACATACGGAAAAAGATGTTTCAGAGATTAATTGCTCTTTTTCGAATACAATTAAAATAGGAAATATTACACAAAATTAGAATCTTTTTAATAAATTAATTTTGCAACTTTACGCTAGTTACTTTACGCTAGTTTTATCATTTTCGATTCGATAATAATGAAAATACTTTTAGAAATGTTAAAGATAAAAAAGCTTAATTGTTTAAATTAAGTGGAACGATACTTTTATTAAATGCGATTACAGCAAAGATGTAAGAATCGAGGTCAAACGAGTTCATACGTTACCGACAACCTCGCCTCGTCTTAGCCGGTTGCTAGAAACAATAAGCGAAGCAAGCACAGAATTATTGGTCGTGTAGTTGACGCGTGAAAGAAACGGAAATATCATAATAGTTAAAATATATTATTTTCAAAGACTCCTCCCGCATTAGAATAACTGATATTGAAAGTCTAACGAGGTGAGAGAACCGGTGTTGCATCAGCACCTTTTCTGACGACAACTCTTTGTGATATTACACGCTTACAGACGTCTGTGTTTAAAATAATAAAACGATGATCTCACATACGCGAGCTTAATTTACCTCGAAAGATCACAGCTGGAATTAAGAAAGATAATTATAATTAATTAAAAATTAAAATTTAATTTAAAATTAATTTAAAATTAAAAACACAATAATTGGAATATTTGGACTGATATTCGTATGAAATCTAATATTATATAATATCAAAATTAAATTGGTATTAAAGATTACATTCGAGTAGAATAACATATGATATGAATTAACAAGAATCGAACTGTTTTTCGTTTAGCTTGATGCGAGTTTTCAATTGCTTTTATAATCCAAAGATAACGGTCGATTAATGTTACTTTAAGATTACGTCAGATTACATTTTTATACTTCGGAAGATATTGTACACAAAGCATTCCAGACTTGCCGGTGTATACATTTCAGCTGCCATAATGCATTGATTTTTCGATAAAAATTGTCTTCTCGAAAAAATCTCGAAAAAAAATTATTTTAAATTAAATTATTTATTATTCCAAATAGCTAATTCAATCATCTTTACTAAGAAATAATTAATTATTCCGAATTAATTTAACTCCACATTCAAAACTTTAATTCGATTAAAGTTTTAATCATGACAAATAATTGTTAAAATGTCCAGTTAAATATATTAAATATTATTGTAATAAGACAGAAAGTGTAAAGAAAAAATAATTTATATCTTTTTATATCGATCGTATTTTGACAATGATGTTATATTATCACTTTGCTCGATATAAGAAGTTGAACATGCGCGCTCAATTCCATTTAATTAATTGTTATAGCTGGAAGTGAGACGGACGAATTGGACGGTGCTTGCCAAGCGCTGGCAAAGAGGCTCGAAGTCGAGCTTAGGAGGGCTAAACACGCCCAGCTGGCCTGCGGCGAGGTCCTCCTACCGGCCAATTTGCTGCCTAAAGTAGCCAAAGACGTACTTACTATGGCCGAAAACGAACCCTGTGGCCTTAGGTAAATAGAGAATCTTTCTGTCTCGCTATATCTGTCATAATCCGGAAAAATTCTAACGAGTCAATACAATTCGAGAGCCCAAATAAACATTATTTCACGCAACAAGTGTCCATTTAGAAAGTGTAACGTGTTTTCTCCAAGTTATCTTCCACGCGAATAATTTTAAAGGTGATATTAATGTTTGGGATGCAATTTTTAACTATCAATAAAGTAAAAAATTTTTTTACTTAATTATTAAAATTTAATACCGAAAATTGATTTAAAAAATGTTAAAATCTTCTTTAGAATAAATTTGCTATAAAGCAAATGTCTCTAAATAAAATTTTAAAGTTTGATATATACTGTTTAATTTTTATTGACGTTTGTGTGTGCGTGCGTACATGCATAATTAAAAAAAATTAATATGTGTGTAATGTAATTTGTTACAGAGGCTGCACGCTATTCATTAGCTTCGAAACGGACAGCATGTGTCGCAAACTGTCAAAAATACAGTGCGATCCGAATGCTGTATCGACGTTCGAGCTCTATCTCACATTGAAGCAGGATTACACGTCCTGGCACATGCTGCTACCTCAATTCTTAAAGTGAGTATATTTTATGTAGTACAATCTTGCATAGGATTTTAAACTATTTTAAATTAATTTTGTGTTAATTAATTCAAAAATTTTCTCTATTCTATAATACTTGAATGATTGTCTAAATGAGATAACATTCTATAATAAAGATATATTCTGTTGTTTCGCTTCTTAAATTAGTTATTGTTGTCAAAATTTTTATTTTCGTAAAATGAAATAGCACTATGAAAGATTTGTTTTATTTAAATCATATAATTAAATCGTATAATCTATCCAGCTTTTTCACACAAACATCACAACATGACCAAATAAAATTTATGGCTAACACAATACTCTCAACATCCGCAATCTGTTCTTTTTTTTCAGAAATCTCACGCGTGGCGGTACCATCATGATCAGTAGAGATTTTACTTTGGAGAAGAAGAAACTCTACAGATCCTACCAGCAGTCTCATTGAAGGATTTTGGATCACACATTTTGCACGTCTTTCATCCGTTTTTTGCCTGTCGCATAAACGGACGTGGCCATTTTTGTCAGTCTGTCGCCCTATGGGGAAATGTCAGCTGAATTTGTACAATATCGCAAGACCAGGGAAAGAAGAGATTCTAAGGATGACGGAAGCAACAATGCAGACCAGAGGTTAGACTTTTGTCATTGTAATGACACGCGATTGCGAGATATTTTGCGTTTAACCTTTTAACCGAATAAATATATGGATTTTCTATACAGAGCGACATTTTGGAGAGAAGCTTACTCTTGTGCGAAAAAGAATATCGTGAATTTCAGAAAGATGTAAAATAGTTTGTGTAACACCGCTTTATACAGTTGCAGTGAATGCGATTGATCTTTCGAAAAATTAGACCTCATGTATCTAATGATGTATAGGTCTAATAATTCGAAAATTTTGACAATTAGCAGTTTGATAAACCAGAATTTAAAGAACTAAGAATTTACAGATTTCAGAATTCACAAGATTTTTAAAAGAGTTTGATACATTTGTTTAATTATATATATTATATAGAAATTTTAAAAACTATGAGAAGGATTTTCAAGATAGAATATTTAAGAATTCAAAATAACACAACACACACAAAGGAGAATATGAGAATTAAATTATCTGCGATGTCGAAGATTGTATAGAATTTAAAGTTTTGTCAGAATCTAAATTTAGATCTGGAATTGGAGAATATTGTAACAATAAGAACTTTTGATAAATCCCACAAGAAATTATCATTGTTGAGTAGTAAATCGGTTAAAGGGTTTAACGACAACATCGCTCTTTGTTTTGTTTGCTGTCACCTTGCAATATTATATCCAAGGAGAGAGAGACCTATGCGTACGATAATTGTGATAGCGTGAAATAAATACTATATAGTAGTAGCAGCAGCAGATCTTATCGCGAGAAGGGACTCTCGTGTCTTCGTTCTCGAAGAAGAGATATGTGATTATAAGACTTGTAACAAATTTCACGTGATATGTAGCTAATATAATTAGTTTTAGAGAGAAAGAGAGAGAGAGAGAGAGAGAGAGAGAGAGAGAGAGAGAGAGAGAGAGAAGAAAGAGAGAGAGAGAGAGAGAAAGGGAGAGAAAGAGAGAGCGTTTTAAAGATTAATCATATATAGTCAGGTAGCTATAGTCGCGTCGAATGTATTTAGCAATCATTTTTCGAAGTCCGCATGACAAGTGAGCGCACATTGTTCATTTATTTTTTTCATTGCAAAATACGAAATGATCATGTTGGAATAATGTGACAGTATATTTTCCAATGTAAGAATTATCTCCTTTACGGAAATCTTGCAGGATAGCCCAGAAGAGTAGGTAACAAGACTGACTATTTCGTGATTAATTTAACCGTTAACATCAGCATGTTTAAAATGATTCGATCTTATAATCGAAACATTTTAAATTAAGAGGAAAGCGTTTAGAATTTAAATAATAAATTCACAATTTATATATATATATATATATATATATATATATATATATATATATATATATATATATATACATTTCGATTAATTTTCGGGAAAGAATCTATCTTTTTTTTTGAAAATTATTTAACAAATGTACATTTTGAACAATGTGTTTACAGTGCATGTACGCATTTTTCTGGGACATCCTGTACCTTGATACAGATGATGGCACAGACAATTCGGTCCATTTCATCATTCCATCGACCGATCTTTCCCCCCTCGTCATTTTCTCCCTTTATAAGTCGCTGTGTGAAAATCTCATTAGATTAAAATAATAGCATTCTCTCTCGATGATAATAAATCATCCCGCTAAATACCATTGATTAATCATGTCGCGCGGATGTGTGATTTGTTTCAATAATAATCTGTTTAAATCGAACTTGTGTGTCAAAACCTGCACATTTTCGATTTGTACAAATTGGTTCTCAATCGTTCTCGTTCATTTAAATCTCAATATTTTGTAAAATTTTGTTTTATTAAAATTCTGCAAATATACGAATTATTTTTCGATAATATTTGTGCATCGATGAATATTTATTCTTTGATAGAAAACGTCGCGAAAAGCTCTCAGTAGAACTCGTCAAAGATTTTTCGTTCGTTGAAACACTTCATGAATCATATCGAGAGGAAATCTTCAATGAAATAGAGTAAAAAGCGATGCAATTTCGAATACTTTAGAAAAGTAACGAATCTAAAATAAGAATTAAACCAGGAAGGAGAATCCTATTGTGTAACAAACAATTGTGTAGAAAGATAATTGTATAAACTTATGCAAAAAAAATGAAATATACGTGTGTCCACTAAGCTACAGATGTGATTGAGTTATACAGTAATATGAAGTATTGATCCATCTCGAAACTGTATCGCTTAACTACTCTACGCAATTTTTTAAACAGATAAAGAAATAATGATGAGCTGGTTCGCGCTACCCATTTTACTGAAAAGGGATGAAGCGGACACTTGGGTTGGATTAATGTTTCGCCATTGAATTATTGGTTAACCTTCGATTCAGTTTGTCATATTATTATTATTATTATTATTAATTGACTACCGTACGTACGTTATGGTTAATATCTATTCACGTTCCCTTTGTGTTTACATTTTTTATTTCTTTACCCTTTTTGTTCATTTTTTTAGTTCGCTTATTGGTCTTTGCGCTTCGTCGTTTAAATGCGATTAAAGACCTTAGTAGCGGTATTGTGATATTAAGAATTATATAAAATAATTAAGGGAGAGAAAGAAAAAGAGAAGAGCGAGTGCGTGATTATCGTTAGAATTTAGATTAAGGACATTCGTTTCGTGAGGCTTCCTTCGAGGGGATCGAGAGAAATGCGTTTGTTGCACGTAGAGAAATACGAGCACTCTATTTTACCTTTGCACGCGCACAAAACTAGAGTCGAAAAATCTCTTCGTGGTTTATTTACAAAGGACGGCGACGCTTTAACCGGTCGAATCGAATAAGTTGGTTCTCTTTTTTTCGAATTAAATTAAAACGAATCTCGCGCGTGGCGACAAGGTTCGATGAAATTAGATTGAACTCCTTTCTCGATAAAACTTGATAAAATGGAGCCGTCTCTCTTTCAATGAAAGTCAATGAAGCGTAAATACTCTTGCAATAAAATTCATTGTTTGAGGAAAACTCTAAGGGTGATGAGAGGAAGACAAAGAAAAAGTGAAAAAAAAATATATTGTATACATATATGTATTATTTTTTTATATATATTAAAATAAATTATAATTTTTATCAACAAACTTGAATTTTTGGGCATAATTCGATAGTAAAATTTTCGATAGTGAGAAACTTTTCTTCTTTACTTTTTCAAAAGTTTATACATATTATTATTTTTTCTTTAAGGATTTGAATTATAATCTCATAATATTAGTGTAAATTAAGAATTTTTTTTTCAGAATCTAAGAATAGGATCTCACGTGAATTTTTTGTGCAGCATCTTTTATGATCTCGAAAATCTTGTAGATTAAATAATTTGCAAAATTTTAGTTTTAAAATAAGTTGAAATTATTCTATTTTGTTGAAAAAATATAAAATTAATTAAAAATATAAATTTAATATAAGTAGTAATATAACTTTGATGTTATACATATACATATACATATACATATACATTAATATTAATATTTAATCAAAAAATATGTAATTTTTTGGTTGTTTATTATAAAATTTCAGAAAAAAAATTTATAAAACTAGTACTTCAAAACTACAATACTAGCATAATGACGAGTTTAATTCGTTTCTTTATCCAAATTCTTATTAAAGGTTCAAGTTAAACTGTTTTTGACTTTATCGAGAAGAAGTCAAAATTTAAAATCTCAACATTTTGAAATGAGAGAAATGAATCTACGACGAGTTCAAAACTTGCCTCTCAATGACCTAAATGATGGAACTGAACCGGTTAAAGAGGTCTAAGAGAGAGAAACACAATCCCGTCCAGAAAACTTTTTCCCACCATCCTCCGAATCGTGCATACATCTACATCCCCTTATTTTTTTTTTACCAAAATAAAAATCGAACAAAAGTGAGGCACGGCCACGTGGTCAAATAGATACACGGTGTAAATTTGGGCTATGGCATTTGCACGAAGGTGTAAGACTGATTTGCTGAGGTGACTTTACGAACGATGCAGAAATGTTGCCCTTTTCAAGCCAGCCGGCACTTTATTGTAATACAGTATGATCAAAAAACTCGAAAGGAGAACGCTATCTATAAAGATGAGAAAATTATTTCACGATAACATAAAAAATGCAGAGAAAAGTTTCGTTCTTTTACAATTACATCCACGTATAAATATTGGTGTAAAAGAAGCGATACTCCTTCCGAGAAATAATATTTGACCGACACTGTATATTAACGTATAAATCACTGTAATCGGCAATTATTTGTTAATAACAAACGCTACAAACAACGACGTCGCAAGTCAAAAATTATCGCGTTGTAGAGCGACGAAAAGCAATACTCGCGGCCTCGTTTAATTGTTATTATTAGTTCATTATGAACGCGTGTAGGTGAGTCGCACGAATGCGCATACATTTTATATAAAAAAGATTAATAATTTAAAATAGTTCTTTTTTACATGAAAGCCAATGTGAATAATGTGTACGTATATTATCGAATATGATATAATTTATATTATATTGCCGCAAATATCGTATAATATATGTATGTATATATATATATATATATAATGATATATTTTATAAAACGAATTCTCCAAATATTGTGCGAAATAAAGAAGTCAAATGTGAGAGCTATTAAAAGCCTGAATACCACAAAAATTTTGTGATTTATTTTATTTATATATTCAATTTTATAATTGTTATGTATATATACTGTGTATATAAAAAAGAAGAAAAATTCAGTAAAATTTTGAAAATTTATTAAATCCGTCAGAGTCGTTTATAACACTGTCAACGATTAAATATGTATGTAACTAATAATATACTTTATAAAATAATATATTACATCGCACAATAATATTAAATGTGATATAAAGATGATGATTCTCATATATAAATATAATTGCGCGTTTTTACAATGTATGAAAATTTTATTATTAAAAATGCAAAAATTTATTTCTTTTTTTGTATAAAATTATTTCTACAAAGTAAAAAACAGTGCAAATTTTTTTCTAAAAAAACCATGAAACATATATGTTATATCAATATATATGAGAGCTAGAATATAATATTTAATACTTTTTGAGGCGTATCTTTGGTGATCTTGTGCGAGGAATACATCATAGAATCGAAAGAAGTTGAAATGATAATGATAATAATTCGAACGTTGATTAGTAACGAATGTGTTTGATTGGTTGTAGTTTATCGTTTGTAGCGGTTGTTTGTTGACAAGGCAAACGTTGGCTCGAGGCTCGCTCTACGAAACAACACATTGCGTTACGCACGTCGATGTTGAAAATTGCGTTATATTATTACGAGAAGATGTGCTCTCGTCTCGCTTCCATTTGCGAAGTAATCATTATCTTTTACGAACCGTCTCACGAAAGAATT